GTGTCAAACTTCGTACATCCAGAACTGGCCGATACGACCGCTCCTTTGTCCCGAGGGTGTCTAGATTGTGGAACAATCTACGGGAGGAAGCTTTTCCCAGTTCTACTAACCTTAGGCAGTTCAAAAATCGTATCAACAAAATTTCTTTGGGATCATCATAGCAGCCGCGGTGTTCCGGCATTTAGGCTTCTGCCTGCGCGGCTGTTTCGATATAAAAAAAAAATGCTTGGACTTGTGTTTGAAGTTAATGTAACTCCTGAGGGTGTCATGTTTTATTGACCTCGAAATGAAATTACAGATTTGGAATTGAACTATTTACTGAAGTTTCTGTCATCTCAGTCGTCTTTTTTAAAGAACAATAAATGATAATGACAAAATACTTTATGAATAAATGTATAGTTTATATGGTGTTGCCAGAAGTGACCTAGAACCAGGTTTTGCCTCCCAAACATTACTGCTACAACTATGAGGCCTAACAAAGGTCATCAAAAAAGTATTTATGTCTCAAAAGTTTCTTTATTCTTCTATACGTTCAAATCCTTTTTAGAAAAGAGAAAACAAAACCGATAACAAAACTAAGCATGCCTGGATTCGTTATACTCCCGTCAACAGGCACAGTTAAGCCAGACGAAACGGAAAAAATAGAAGTTCAATGCACTCCATTAGAAGCGATTGCTTACGAAGATGCTATAGTGATGCATATATCGGAGCCTAGAAAGTGTGACATAAACGGGAGACACTTGAATCTACATGCCAAAGGATCAGAGCCTCATCTTGACTTCAAAGATATCGATAAGGTTTTTAGAGAGCAATATATTGTGGAGACTGTAGACGACTTTATACAAGGCGTAAGGATACTCTTGTTTTCATAGCGACATGTGATAAGGACGTTAAAAATATGGGCGTATCCAGGGAGGGCAAAGGGAACAGCTGCCCCCTTTCCTCTAGATCGGCAAAGATTAAATGATGAGATCATTTTAAATTAAATTTATCATCTACAGCAGTGGTGTAAAACTGCTTGTCAACAACGTTTGATAACTGATTATAATATCTCTTGATATGTACTCATATACTATATAAAATTACGACCCTAAATAACAGCATTGAATTACACTCCACGCATAGCGCTCATATATAGTAAATATTTTCTTCGATAATCGGATCGAATTCCAAAGATGCAATATGTATAAAAGAGACCCATCATTTGCGGCCGATGCCATCTGCTGAAAATATGTTTTAAGGGTAAATGTACATGCAAATCTAGGAGTTGTGAATTATAAAGGGTGTATCAATAAGAACGCAATATTTGAATTTAGCTCCATTTTGGCAGTCATAATGTCATAATGATTGTGACATGACAGATCGATAGTAGATAGGAGGAAGTTTATGAAAATGAATCACTACACAATAGAACAGCGTATCCTAATTGTTAAAAATTATCACCAAAATGGTGAAAGTTTAATTGCCACGATTCGAAAAGTGCAGCTAATATTCGGTCGGAATAATGTTCTTACCTCATCCACTGTGAAAAGAATAACCCAAAAATTTGAAAGTACTGGTTCTGTTAATGATGTGAAAGATACGATACGACCTCGCAGCGGTCGTTCAGAAGAAAATGTTAGAGCAGTTCGCGAAAATGTAGCCGAGAGTCTAGGCACGTCGATTCGTCATCGCGATCAAGAATTGGACATTGAAACATCCTCTCTCCAGCGTATTCTAACGAAAGATTTACACCTGCATACCTATAAAGTCCAATTGATTCAACAGCTTATGTCAACAGACCATGCACAGCGAAGAGAGTTTAGCAATTGGATTTGGCCAACAGTATGTGAATGGTGATTTTGTAGACGAAATCATTTTTAGCGATGCCCATTTTCATCTCGGTGGCTTCGTCAATAGACAAAACTGCCGCATTTGGGGCACATAGAATCCAAGAGTAATTCATGAGAAAGCTATGCATCAATAACGTATCACTCTTTGGTGTGCACTATGGTCTGGAGTATTTATTGGACAGGGTCAGACCTACAGACAGACCGGCAGACAAAACTATAGACAGACCGATATATAGACAAGACCGACTGACGGAAATAAGTAATATGATTTTTCGTGACATAAGGGGCTATAAATTGATCCCCTCTAACGTTTTTATATGACCTTCCAGAAAAAAGTTTCATATAAAAGTTATAAAGTCTAACATGAAATTTTTCGTGTACTTCTTTTTTATCTCAGGCCGTGGTATTTATTCCTGGCTTCAGTTGAGGTAAGGTTTCAGATTAAATCACGCATTAAAAGTTCGCCCAGGTGGGTCAAATTAATCACTTCCTGAAGCATTAAAGAGACCAAAAGTGGATTGGAGATCCTAGCACCATCTATGCGACAGTAGTAGAATCAAGCGCTCTGTCTCTTTTCGTAGTAGATTTCTTAATTAATTTTTGTGTTCTGCTGTCTCATATATGGCGCTGGTTCAATCTTCGATGTTTTCAGATTGGGGCTTGCTGTGCTTATATCAAGTCAGAATCGGTGCTATATTTTAAGAACGCCTGCGTCCGAAAGACATCTTCAGCGAGGATATATCTTAAAAATATAGGTGACGTAATAGCTAACGTCGTTTTGAAGGTGGACAATAAACAGAATTACATGGTTTCTCCTAGGGAGTGCATCATTGAAGCCTACAATACAGAGACTGTAACAATAGCTTTCACCCCTGATTCAATAAACGTGAGTAGATCACTTTCGGAGAGTCCTACACATCGGGCATAAGATTCTGGAGGGACAGTTCCAACTAGCATTTTTTCCTAATAAAGAATAATCGTATGTCGCTTTTCATAATGGCATAATAGAAAAAGTAAAAATACAATTTTGTAAAATATTTTCAAAGGTTAAAAATGTGTGTCTTCCCTAAAGTACACTAACCACACCACATTTGATGTCTCTATATCAATTCTGCATCGTTCTAATAATTTAAAGATACTATAATAAATCATTCTAAGATAAAATAAGTAGAATATACAAAATATAGGATGTACACAGAACTAGCCCAAATAGGCGCAGAGAGTATCTGAAAAATACTTCACGGTCTTCAAAAATAGGAGTACTTTTATCCAAATAATTTTCAAAATTTTCAACATTTCCAAAGACTTCAGAATTATAAAAATATTATAAATTTACAATTTTGAAAATTTTTCAAAAGTTTCACTTCCAACATTTGTTAAATAATCTTCAAAATTTCCAAGATTCTTCAAAAGTTTAAAAATATATGTGCGTAGTCCAATAGTATCTGAGATTGAGCGGAGGTAACGCGACAGGATGCGCGGACACGATGCGGGATCGGATCTCACCTTAAAAATAGCCATCGATTATTGTTTTTAATTAAAAGTAGTCAAAAATACTCATCAGAATCCTGAAAGATGTGGCAATCAAGTGCGCCTTTCCTAAAGTACAATAATAACAATACTCATAACATTCGTTTGATGTTCGCACTTGTATGATTAGGTAATCGAAGGCAAATTGGAAATTTCATACAATGCAACCGCAAACAGCAAGTACGTTTTGAAACTGATGGGCGAGAGTTGTATCCCTCGAGTTGTCCTGCTAGAACCGACAAGCAAAGATCATGAAAACCAAAGTTTAATTTTGTTTCCGCCCACTTTTCTCGGTGAGCAAAATGAACATAACGTAAGCATAAAGAATGTGGGTCCTATCGGTGCCAGAGTTATCTTGGAATTATGTGGAAATACTGAAGAGGTTTTGTCCTTGCAAGTTGCTGAGGATACGAGGCAGTATTTGAATATAGCTGATTTCCCAGGTAAGATTCAACCGTTGAAAACAGAAAATCCCCAAAAATAGTATATTACATGTCTAGGCGGATAAGTATGCCATTATAAACAGCTGATTTGAACACGCTATAAAAATATCATGAACGTTTAAAATAAACAATTGAAAATGGCGTCAAGTAGGATGACTGCACTTTCTAAGTAACGCTCTGTCATCAGTTCATGATGTATTATGTTCGGCACAAGTTAGCCCTTCTGAGAAATAAGTTAGCTACGAACATGTATATCAAATAATTGAATGGATTAGATTAATGAGGCAGGTTCATACAATTAAAATCTGCGTATTAAGCATGCTTTTCTGTACAATTATGGGGCTCCCTGTGAAAATATGCAACCCTCACTGTTCAAAAAGTTTTGGAGGCAGGTATGCTTTCACACAAAGTTATCTCTTGATGATGGACGGCCCTCCCCTTCCTCTGAGAAAAATTCCTGCAGGCGCACATGATCGAAAATATGTCTACACCTAGCGTGGATGACCATCGACGGTCCACATCGAGCAGGGAAGGCCTATTACTACACATAAGCGTCCGAAGCATCGCAAAGCGTATGATCGACAGACGAAGCTCAGAAATATTTCTACACCATTCTAAAGATAAGTGTACGGGGAAATCTATGTTGAGTGAGATATTTCTAAAAGTTGCGTAGAGTTACCACGGTTGGAGGCGTACAAGGATACCAACGACAAAAATTGAAATAATATACCCTCCTAGCCTCTCTACAAACCCCCATCCTCCAAGTTTTTACCCCTAAAAACTTTTTAAAAATGCTCAGTATTCTCTGAAATGCCAGAAGACGAACTTAGAGCGATCTTTTTTTTTCACTTTTATTGCCCTACCTCCACCGACCCTGGATCAGTTTGCAAAAACTATAAAGTTCTTTCGTTCTTGGCATATTAGTAACCTTGTGTACAAATTTCATCAAAACCCGACCGGTAACTTACCAAGTTAACGCAGGTTAAAGGATTAGCAGACAGACAGGCAAAGACCGTTTTTCGTGATGTACATGTCATATAACACCAAAAAACATATCTCAACATCTTTCGTGATTACAATACTTCTACGCCAGTTGCGTAGCAAGTAAATTGAAGAAACACATTTTTAAACAAAGTTGGACAAAGAACTTCTAAAAATCGATCCAGTGGTACCGAAGCTAGGGCAAAAAATGAAAAAAACAACAGCTCAATTTTCATTTTTTGACGTTTCGTAGATTTCTGGTCATTTTTTGAAAAACATGTATCAGAAAAAGTTGAGGGTAAGGGTTTGCAGGAATATCTCATTTTATGCTTAATAATATATATGCATACGCTTATCAGCCCGGTAATTTCTGTGACCTAAATGTCCGGGCACCCACATCAAAGTTACTTTGTTGTGTTTCGGTTCCATCGTCCATGAGATTCGGGTTAGAATTCTTTTTCTTTCATTACAAGTACCACACACGCATTTATTGGTTTTGTCTTCCAACAATGTGAATTCAAAAGAGCACAATGTTTGAGACAAAAGACTAAGGGAATTATAATCAACACAGATTGTTAGCACACAAATCCTCTCTACGCAGCTAAGGACTACCGTTTCCTTCCAGCTTAGTGGTTTGTTCGTCCAGTGGTCGGTACTCGGTGTGAATTCTGCCTTAAGAGTGTAGCAGAATGAACGGAATTTGTGTGGCGGGATTTTGGACACGATCACTGACAGGTTGGTGACAGCTGTACGAACAGGGCTATAGTATACAACTTACAGCTTAGACCTCTAATAATGCCATCTCTGAAGCAGATGTTGCATCATATCACATACTCAAGCGTAGACTTTCTGACCCCCTTAGCTTTGGACTCACCCCTACCTTTTTTCCTACCTACATTACTCCTCGAACTTACAGTACCAGTCCAGCAGTTTAGTATTCTGTACCAGTTGGTGCAGTTTCCCTGGTGGCACTGTTCTAAACTCCCTCTAGTTTTGGTTTCACGAAAAGTTTATGTCCTTTGATATCCAACGCCTCGCACTCAAACCAAACATGTAGGGCTGATTCTCTTCCATTTCCGCATTGTATGCAGCTAAGGTCTCCATCATTTTATGCAGATGTTCTTTCAGGTGATTGTGCCCTGTAAGAAGCCCTGTAACTACAAGGAGTTGGTTTATACTCATTGAGAGCAGTACCGCAGCCTTGTTTGGTCATGTTCCCGAGATAAATTCTTTCCCATGCCTGCATCCAGTCACTTCCTTGTGGTTTCTTACCAATTCTTTGATTTGGTTTCTTATTGTGCTTGTGCAGGTTGTGGGCCTGTAAATGGTATGAATGATCCTTTCCTTGTGTCCGTTACCTAAATGCCCTGGCACCCACATCAAAGTTACTTTGTTGTTTCGCTTCCATCGTCCATGAAATTGGTATAGAATTCTTTTTCTTTCATTTTAACCAACATACAGATCAAACGTGTTTTTTGGTTCTGTCTTCCAATGGTGTAAATTAAAATAGCCCAATTCGTAAGATATAAATATGTGTGTGTTGTCTAGTTTAGCAAAAATGATTTGGGGCCCTCCTCTTTGCCGTGTATTCACTGACCCCCATAGCCTTGTACTGACTTTTACTGTTACTCAGGCCGTATATTTTTGGGACTTGTCTTTGGATTGTTCTTAGGTATGACCTTTGAACTTAGCCTTGGCTCTACTAACCTAAGCTGCTCTAGCCTCAGCCTAACTTCAATAACTTAAATGGGGGTAAAATATCGTATTTAGATAATCAACAAAAAGCCACTTGGAAAATTTCGAAATACAAAGGCGGAAAAACGAGCTTTTCCAAGATCGCTTTAATTTTTTCCTGATTTCATTTGAAGTAGGATTCCAAAATAAATTGCACATTATCATTGCCTCTTTTTCTAGTTTACAAGATGCCAATATTAGAATTTCAATATGACATGTCATCTCTTGTCCTCCAGCATCTACTTTGTTTTTTATTATGGACGCCATATTGGATCTTTATACAAATGAATAGAGTTTCTTATTCTGATTCCAATAATGTATAATACAACTCAAGCCGCGTACAGACCAAAAATCCAACGCCGAGCAAACGAATGCACCACATGTGACATTGGCGTTTGTTGTTGGAAGGTCTTGGAATGCGTTCGTCTACACGTCGTCTACACCTCAATTTAATTTCGAGTTGGACTGCGTCGGGTTAAATTCGGTACTAATGTCGAATGCAGACAAACGACTAAATACTAGACGCGCAACAAATCCTGTCCGGACCAAATCAAACGCCTTTGATGTACCGATCAAGGAGCGAACGCAATCGAACGCCAACGCCGACCTTGGAAACCATTGGCTTATGTTGGCTCGCGCCGTACACACCGAATCGAATACCTCCAAATCTGTAACCACATGTGACTTGGCTTGCGTTGGAATCTCGGTCTGTACGCGGCTTTACACTGACATTGTCCAACCTTGGTTATTCCAGAACTATCGTCCATAATTTTTTTGTTATACAGATTGTTATACCAGATTTATCCCAAAATCATTTTTATTTTTTCCTGACTTTATTCGAGATGAGATTTCAAAATAAATTACATGTTGTCATTGTTGCTTATTCTCCTCTACAAGAAGGCAGTCAAATTATCCATGCAAGGTTTCTTCAATTTCGACTTCCACTTTGTTTTTTCATATGGACGCTATATTAAAATGTTATACATTTAAATGGACCTTTCAGTCCTAAATTCAGTGATGTATTTTCTTAGTTGATTGTTGTGGGATGAACATTATAATGCCGGGTCCACATCAAAGCAACAAAACAAAAACAAGGAACAAAACAAAAACGCAACAAATGAGCAACTTTTTTGAAACAAAACAAAATGAAAACTTATGTCCACATTGCCAAGAGACTAAAAACTTTTCAGTTGTTTTGATTCGTGCAGTTCATACCAAAAATTTCCAGAGAGAAAATATGTGGCGTTTTTATGCTGAAAGGCAGAAGCGCAAAAATTTTATCATAATGTCTGCTGGTTATGTGCTTCTCCAGAGTTGTGACTGGAAAAATAAAAAACACTTGTGGAAGAATCCATCCTTACTTGAAATATATAATCGTGGTATTGAAAAATCATTGTTCGGTTTGCGAAAAATGATATCGGATTGCAAGGAGAAATGCGTTCTAGTTTCGAGAACTTTTTAAGAATGCCCAGTGGAAACTGTGAAGAATTAACAATTAGATGATCGGTCCTGAAATTTATAAAAAAAATATCAATTTCAGATATGCCATTAACGTAGTTGAACGTTTGGCCTTGACACTAAGATTTTTGGCGATCGGAGACTCTTATCATAGCTTGACGTATCAGTCAAAAATATCAAAACAAGCAATATCAATAATAATACCAGAAACTTGTGATGCTCTAACTTAAGGCCTCAAAGAATATATTAAGGTAAGTTTGTTTCGCAACAAAGTTCACATCGCACCGACAATGTTGCCTGATATGTAAACCTAACAAAAGCATCTTTACCGACTCGCGAAGGGAAGGCCCAAAGTTGCCAGAAACAGAAACAAAACATGAATTGTTGCTTAATTTTTGAAAGACATTGAGTTGCTGTGTTGTTGGTTTGGTGTCGACCCGGCATTAGGAAATAAAAAGGTATGGTGAAACTTGAACACAAAATGTAAATTATGTTGATGTTACTAATAAGAATGATGATAAATAAGCAGCGATAAATCTATTCTTTGTACATTGTTTACTGCTCGGTTTATTTCCCTCCTTCTCAGTCTTCCAAAGTCTAATACTATGTTCAATTTGAGGTCTGGTCTGATATGGGTACAAAATAAATGATGGCTAATAATTTCAAGACCTACTTAGGAACTTCTGTTTTTCTGGAATAATCAAGGTTCGGCGATCTCAATGTATGACATAAATATTTTTTAAATCAGAATTAAAAACTATTCATCAGCGTAAAAATCCAATACCGCGTTCATAAGAAAAAAATAAGTTGATGCTGGAGGACAGGAGTCGAAACATCATATTGAAATTCTAGTTATGCCATCTTGTCAAGGGGAAAAAGTGAGCAATTTATTTTAAAATCCTACTAGAAATAAGTCAGTCAAAATAAAAAAATCGGGGTTCTTTCTGGATTTTGAAACTTTCTAAGCAGCATTGTTATTTACGTATCGTCAGTCACTCCTACAATTGTAGCACGCCTGTATGCCCTCCTTGATTTTCATTGTTTTTCCTGTCCTCCAGAAAAGCAGGGAATTTCTACATTTCTACCGATCAGAGTCAGCGCTCTATTTTGAGGTAATGTTTTTATTTTGAATTTTAAGAAATTTGAGGCCGATGAATCTTTATTTTTATTATCTGTTTTATAGTAGAAATCTAGAAATGGCCTTCGTGAAGGAGAGTAATGACTATGAAAATCAAGGAGGCCATAAAAGCGTTCTACAATTTGAGGGAACGACTGACGATTCGGGCCTGAATACGCAACTTGGCCCCTATTAAAGCGACTTGGTATCTCTTATTGTTTCCGAGATCCCAATGGCGAGGGTCGAATTTGAAATACCCGCTATAAAGTTGAGAGATTTTTCTAAGATGTAAAATGTGTTCTGTTCTGTGTTTCTCTCCTTTCGACATGCCCTTGTCAACTTTTGACACACGCTGCTTTTGAACCCCATGCCACCAGCTGAGCTGCTGGAAGTTAGTTATAGCCAGTGTAAACGCAGAAGAGATGGTACATTCGCAATGTTTCATCTCTTCGCGGCAAGCATAGAAAAGACGTTTACTTGAGACCATTTTTTTCTTATCAAGAAACATTAATTTCAGCTTTCGTTGACGTCAAGTATTCAACGTTGGTGAATCTGCCACCGTCAAAAATCGGAAACTTCAGGGTGTTCTTTAAACCGACATCTGACAAGAAAATTACAGCTCTTCTGAAAATCCATACAGTTGACAACATCTTTGAAATCATAAAGGTATGCAATCTTTGGGCAGTGGACACTAATTTAAGATTGAGAGCTGAGTACCGATTGAGGGTTGATCAATCCCCGGATTTTCAACGAATAGTAACTCACCCTCAATTTGAGATTCAATAGACACTCACAGATTTTCACGTTCCTCGAAATTTCCAAAACGTTTAATTTTCAAAATTTAAAAATTTTCAGTTTTCAAAATTTTCAAAGCTTTCAGTTCTCAAAATTTTCAAAATTATTCCCATCATTTTAAAAAATCTCAACATTTTCAAAATTCACCGGCATGACATCCGGGCCAGATGAAACGACATTGTCGCACCAGGTTGTCTGCGCACGTGCACTGCGATTGCGTCGCTTGGCTGATTGTACAGGGCGGTGCAAATGTGCTTCTACAGGATGATACGGGTCGTTGTACTGAGGTGTATAACAAAACATTTTTTTGATCATGGATCTTATATTTCACAAGATTCTCCGGACATTTTTTAAAAATCCCTTTCATTCTTTGTTTCAGATTTCTATAATTATTCTCCTCGAGTACTGGGTAATCTTTTTTTCCAGATAGAGCTCATGGGCATCGGTTTTCACCATGAAATCCGCTTCGATCTACCCGTGTCCTACTATATGAGCAGCAGCAAGTCTAGTCCGTCTTTCAGCTATGATCTGGACTTTGGATTCACTTCGCTTAATCGAATTTTGAACAAAACGTTCACAATAACGAATCTGTCATTCAACAGCACGTACAAGTTTGAGATATGCAGCAACTGTGCTGTGATGTTCGTACCGAGTGTAGGACATTTGAAACCGATGGTTACGAAGACTATAGTAGCATCTTTTTGCACTAATGAACCGCTAGCACTGGAAAAGGTGAGGAAATCTTGAAAACGGGCTCGTCGAACAAATAATACGGCAAAAGAGATACGCTGCCGTACTTGGGTAAGAGTGACTGTCTTTTGTGTGTAAAAACCGAAGACTGTGAAAATTGAGTTCATAGTTCTGGATTTGTTCGAACCAAATAAATAATATAATTACGACAGAACAATAGTGAATGAATATTGCAAAGTTACATGCCTTTATAGAGAATCATTTGAATGTGGTTTCGGTTCATAATTGTTGTTGAAGCCTGAAATAAATAACATTCCGTCTTTAATTGTAGTAATGCAAAAGCAGTAACATATGATTTTCTGCAAAAAAAACAAATTTACTGTCTTTTTTTGTAGTTTTCAGAATTTATTTATAATATTTTTTCAAAGGAAAAGCGCAGAAGTGCAGAGTTTTATTTTATTGGCATACAATTTGTTTATAGTGAAATTCACATAAATGTCACAAAAGTAAACCTTTTCGACACCTAATCATTCACTTTGATAATTGTGTGATTACATACATATATTGCTGCACTTAGATAGAAGGCAGTAAAGTGTAAAAATCGGAGTCTGAGGAAATTGGCGTCAAAATTCTGGATTTTTTCGAACTAAGTCGCTGAGCTTCCGCAGAATAGAAGTGAATGAATATTGCAAAGTTACAGGGTTTCATTTACATGTGATTTTGGGATATAATTGTTGTAGAGGCCTAAAATAAATGAAAATCCGTCATTAATCGTTGTAATTAAAAAATGGCGTCAAGTAGATTGACTCTGCACTTCCCACGTTACGTCATCAATTCGTACAGGATTATGTTTGGCACAAGTTGGCCCTTCTGACAAAAAAGTTAGTCACGAACTGGTATAACAAAAAATTAAATGTCCTTCCTTTTTCCCCTGAGAGGAATTGCTGCAGGCGCACATGAACGAAGAATTTTTTATAAAATTTTTTTCTATAGGAGCAAAAGTAATTATTTATAACGATAAATACTTATTCACAAATAGTAGAATTGTACATAAAAAACAAAATTAGTAAGAATCATAATAGGTTATAAAAGGTTGAAAACGCAGTACTTGTATCATACAGAGAATAAAAGCAGTATAGTTCGAAGACTACTGATTTTTTGCTTTGATAAATTAAGTTACTGCTTTTATGCTTAGAAAATGTACTTAATATGAAATATTTGACAAAGCGAAAAACTAACTATTAGTGTTGAATAACGTGATTAATGCTATATTTAGCAATTGTAATCATAAAAAATATACTGGCGTCAAAATTCAAAAAAGGCAGTAAATAAAATTCGTTGTATGTTATTCATCAACTATACTTTAATGTTCCATCTATTCAAACTCGTACCGCTAAAACCTTTTATTGTGACAGGGCTCGCACAAATTTATTTTTGAAAGCACCCATATAATTATGTAATGTGCGAAACTTTCAATGCCATATCAAATTATTGTGATATAAATGCTGACAGTTTGAACAGCATTCTGGGAGTAGCCAGAAATTGCTTAAATAAATAATTTACGATATGTTTCTCACTTGAGTGAAATACGTTTTTCCGCTTCTTTTTTTTTTCTTTAGATGTAATCACCTGCTTTTTTATGTTTTCTGTTTTTGTTAGTTTGATTTATATTAGGACTGTCCTTCGTTTTTGTTGAACCTAAAAAGTTAGTCCCTCTAAAAGTGAAGGGAAATCATAGCATTTCATACTCATTGCCTTTAGAGACAGTCAAAAATCTCATTTGTAATATTGACGAGAACAAAGGTTCAGGACCCGACAACATCCCTCCCATTTTCATTAAAAGATGTTCGGAAAGTGTATGTGTACCTTTACAGATTATATTTAACGCAAGTCTAAAACTAAGATATTTTCCTACTAGATGGAAGGTTGCACATATACTTCCGATATTCAAAAATGAAGATAAACAACTGGTAACTAATTATAGACCTATCAGTGGTCTGTGCACTTTTGCAAAGTTGCTCGGAAAAGTTGTTTACAACCTAATAATTCCATCAGTAAAAAACATAATAACTGACGAACAGCACGGATTTTTTCCAAACCGTTCCCTAGAATCTAATATTTTGTGTTACACTGATTATATTTGTGAAGCCCTAGATAAAAAGACTCGAGTCGATTGCATATACACCGACTTCAGCAAGGCTTTTGATAAAATAAATCATGAATTGCTGGTTGAAAGGCTTGCTGAGGCTGGTGTCGACGATGCACTATGTCATTGGATATGGTCTTACATTACCAATCGTAAGCAAATTGTAGCTATCAACAGTTTCAAGTCGCTGAGGGTTACGGTTACGTCTGGCGTCCCACAAGGAAGTCATCTAGGTCCTTTATTATTCATAATTTTTATCAACAACTTAAAAAAATCCTTTAAATATGCAAATTGTCTATTATACGCCGATGATTTGAAAATATTCCATACAGTGAGAGACATTAATGACTGTAAAGAAATCCAAAGTGATATATGTAGATACTTTTGTCAATTTTTGTGACAATAATGATTTGTTTCTAAATGCTGATAAATGTACTTTTATTAGACTCTCCCGGAACAAATCTCTCATAGAATACCGGTACCAAATCAAAAATACACCTTTGAAGGAAACGGATATACTGAAGGACCTAGGAGTCCTCCTAGATGCAAAAATGACTTTCCAACCACACATAGAAAACTTGTTTTGCGAATCAAACTAAATGATGGGATTTATCTGTAGAATCTGCAGGGATTTCAAGAGTGCAAGAGCCATGACATCCCTATATTATGCATATATTTATAACAAGTTGAACTTTGCTTCCGTTATATGGAACCCTCAGTATATTACATACATAAATCGAATTGAAAGTGTACAAAATAGATTCCTGAAGAGATTAAATTTTAAAATCGGCAATCCGGTACGTGACGGAAACTATGATCATATTAGACAACATTTCAATATCATGACCTTAAAAAGTAGAAGAATGATGTCCGACGTGTGTCTTATATACAAAATATTCAACAATTTTGACTGTCCCTATTTGCTTTCAAAAATAAATATTAATGTGCCAGATAGAAACTACCGCCATTCCAAGTTTTTCAGGATTCCCTTCTGTAGAACGAATTTAGGAGTCAACTCACCTGTAATTAGGGCCCAAAGGGTGTTTAACGATACCTCTAATAATTTGGACATTTTTGTGGTTAATTTTAACAAGTTTAAAGCAACGGTAAGGAGGCAGCTTACATAGGATAGTATCATACTATCTAATTGTTTGTTTGCTGTGATACTGTTGTCAACCATTAATAGTTTTATATACTTTTATACAGTATTTTATATGTTTTGTTATCAAAGCTGTCTAGTAACGTGCTCTGTGTTTGTGTTTTTTGGTGACTAGTGCGATTCATGGAATAGTTTAACTGATACATGCTAATTTTTTTTAAAAATAAATTTTAAATTTATATTGTTTTATAGTAGTTGCTATATCATAGTATTGTTTATTCTCATACAGTAGGCTTGTGTTACAGATTTTCATCTTCTGGATTTTTTAATCTATGTATCTTTTTATTTTATCACTATAGTAAGCAGCGGGTGCTGTCTTTGGAATTCACATTCTGTTGCACCCCAAACATGAGTAAATAAATAAATAAATAAATGGTTTCCTTAACAGTTGGGCAATAAACGCTTTTATTTATATATATTATTATTTATTTATATTCATCACAAACATTTCATGATGCTTTACAGGTGAATATAAACTGCCACGTGGTGAGAATAGAGTACGTGGAGCCTTCAGCTGCAGACATTTCCTGGGACGATAGACAGGAAATGATGGTTTGGAAATTACCAAGCCAGACTGAATCGTAATAAATATATATTTTTTAAAAATACTAAGCTAATTGGGCAATATTTTAGCGGTGACCTTAACGATAAGGATGGTTCAAAAACGAAACTAGTATCGCACACAGAACCAGAAATAATCGAAAAGTCAGAACACGATTTCATAAAACTCTTCATAACAGGAAAGGCAGATTATGCCATGTACATAACGACGATGAAAGAGATTGTATTTCCCAATACTTTTTTGAATGAGGTAAGTGAAAATAAGCGACGAACTAGTTGAATGGTTGATGATTAACTTGTTGAAATCTATAAGCCTCCAATCTATTCGAGTCTTATGGAATGTCAATGCAAGTCATATTTCATGATCATTGTTCTAGCAAAGTACAGTGGAATTTGAAGTTATCAATGATGGAACGGTACCGCTGCAAATAACATGGGCAATCAAGGACTTCGAGGAAGATGATGTACAGAGACCATTCACACCTAAGACAGAATCACTCCGAAGTCACGGTAAAGATTTTACACTTCACAGATGGGGCATTTAAAAGTGAGGTTTTAAAATTTGTTCATGTGACCGTCAAGTAGGCGTGAAAGAGAAAACACGTTTTTTTTTTCGTGGCACGTACATTTGCTAAGCTACGGGCTTCGAATTATTTCAAAGTGGGGTGTTTTTCGATGGAAAAACCAAAGAACCTGGCGGTTTCATCATGGAAAATGGCTTTCGGCCAAATTTGTTGAAATTTCGCATAGAAGTAGTGTACAACGTTCAAAAGTTTCCATGGGGCCAATCTCCTAGCCCCCTCCTTTATCCCCCACGGAATCCATAAACTCCCAAGTAGTATTAATAGATATGGAAGGACAACATAAGTCTTAAAATAATATTATTAGAGAAAAAGTAAAACATACTGTTGCTAAGGTTTCTCCCAGATCGGCCAATAGTGAATGGATTTGATCTTGACGGTGGCCTTGAGGGTTATGGTCAAGGTCGGGTCATTTTTGTCGTATATCCTACATTTCGCCAGAAAAATGGACAAAGCGGAACATCTACTTTCATGCAGTACTCGAACATTTCGAATACGCAATATTTTTCATGGTTAGGAAACCCCTCCCATACCTCCTATAGAGCAGCCCAGAAGCTCCCTAATTACGGCGTATTTATACATATCATTATAACTTGTAATGTTGACAGAGAAGAAGTAACACATACTGTTTGTTAAGATTCATTCCAGAACGGCCAATGGTGAACATGGATTTGACCTTGACCGTGATCTTGAAGATTATGGCCAAAGTCAAGTAAATTTTTTAAGTGAACCATCCTACTTGGTAGTGACGTCACTTATTTTGACTGTCCAAGTGGTGATGGATCTTGCTGTAACTGGTCGGACAGAAAAGTAGGATGTACGACTTTTAAAAATTTACCTGACCTTGACCATAACCTTCAAAGTCACTGTCAAGGTCAAATCCATGATCACAATTGGCCAAACTTTAAGAAATCCTAGCAGCTTCCCCTCGGATTATATTATTTTAAGACTCCCATATTTATCAATAACCCCCACTTCGGGGTTTTTGGGGTAGGAGGTAAAGGTGGGGCCGTCAAGGGGTTGGCCCTATTGGAACTTTCGATCGTCATGCTGAAAACTACCTCTATGCGAAATTTCAGCAAATTTAGCCAAAACCCATTTTCCATATTATGGAATTCAAATAAAACTTGAGCTGCTAAGTCGGCAGTAAACATTTCAAACCAATATTTGGTCCACTTCGCATTTTCTTATTTTTTTACTCCAAAATAAAGGTGTCTTTGAAATACCTCAGACGTTTTGAAAGGTATGCGCATTAATTAAAGATGTACGTATTTTTATGGGTATGGCGGTGGGCGCTTGTTTAAGTCGACTGGTTTGCGCGATATTGCATTAATAGGCTACACTATGAGTATTTTTTTAGCTGTATTGATCATTGTACATAAATTTAAATATAAAATTATAATTTATTTTTATACGACATTCTTAAATATTGGAATTGTAAAAAAATAGTGTGCAAAACTGAAGGCTTCAGGCCATAATTTAGGAAACTACTACCGTTTTTATCCTGATTTTTTACACCAAAATATAGGCTAAACTGTGTAATAGTACACTAGAGGTTTTAAAATGGGAAGCGCATTCTCTAAGCGCTTGTTTGTCGGCTAGTCACACACACAAAAAATATTTTATTTTATAATCTTCGCTTCGCTCGCTAATGCTAATTCTTCTAACCACAAGGCCTTTTGTCGTGAAATACCCAGGCTTAAAACTCAAGCAACTTCGCTATAAGCAAGATGAATACTGCTACAGTTTCACCGGTTGGGATCAAACCCTATTTTTCGGTTTTTTGTCTGAGCCTTATGAAATAGTCAATTTTCTAAATAAAGAGAACGAAGATAAATATCAATCGTTTTTCCAGACTGTTCCTTGCGAAGCACTTGCAGTTCGACCTCTCTGTCATCGTTATTTAGTTCGACCACACCTACTGGACATCCAGCCTCGACTTTTCCTGAGATGCATGTCCAGAAGAAAAATCCTTTTAGAGTTATTCCAGAATCTGACACTATCCCAGTTCATTCAGGGAGACGATTCCAGGTTTGTTAGTTGAAATATGTCTTCGAATAACACAAATATCCTATCACAGAAAAAATAATCCTCTATGTGTGTCTGGCCGTTAAATGAAGCCACATACCGGAAGTTTTAAATTAGATTCTCACCACTGAGATCTTGGAAACGGTGAGAGATATGATGTCGGTTACATGGTAGCAAAGCTGCGCATTTAGGTAACTAAGAAAATTCTGCTTAGAATGTTTTGAAGTCCAAAGTACTTCCTCAAAATAGAAAGTGGGTTGACATAACCACATTTTTCGTTTATACGATGGCATAATTACAATTTATGACGTTTCATCTCTTGCCCATCAACATCAACTTTATTTAAGAATATAGAAGATTTTTACATTATTTCTATTTTTGGTATTGCAATAATTATTGGTTTATTTTTACTTCTAGTATCATATTCATAATTTTTATAAAGGGTTGGATGTTTTGTTTTATGGAAATTCTGGTATAACATATCAAAATAATTTTTTTATATATCAAATTTTTGATTCTATAAACAGCGATTTGGGGGGATATAGTAAAAGGTTTGTTATGAATTGTTTTTATGAATAGTCTTTGTATTATTTGTATGGTTATTATTCGTGGATCTCCAGATAATAATTCCATAGGTTATGTGGCATTCAACAAATGTTTGATATGAAATTTTTCATTGAGTTCCATTGAAAATTTGACTGTAATATTTGAATTTATAATAGAAATCTAAATTTCTTTTTATGTATTGGATATGTTCATCCCAACGAAGATGGCGGTCTAAATCAATTTGGAGATATTCATGATTTAGTTTACGTGATATATATTCATTTTGGAGATTTGTTTTCTTTATATCTAGCTGATTATATAGCGATAATTTATGTATGTTAGAAGTGAAGAGAATAAGGTAGGTTTTTGTATAACTAATAATTAATAATTGAGTATCGAACAAGTCCGTTATCTGTACTAAATCTTTTTCAATTTCCTCTTTTAATGTTGTCCATGTTCTGGCTTTACGGATGATGGTGATGCCATCTGCAAATCCTATTTTTTCTCTTTTTGTTGATAGATTGTACAAGTCGTAATATATATACCAAAAAACAGGAAAATAATGGGCAACATCCGCAAAACGAAGGTAAGTGAATTCAAGCAGAAAATAGGATAGGTAACCCGAGCAATACGTATTTCTGCTTGTTGGCTAGATGCACATATGCAACCACAAAAGTATATACACATGCCCATACATCCGGATACGGGTAACCCGAGGAAACGAAGATGGATGTAGTGGGAAAAATGACTCACGATGTCCCCAACAAGAGCCAACCTACACATTTTAGTATATAATGGCTATAACCTCGACTTTTCAAGGCGACGACAACTAACCACAGCGACGCGGCCGGTTTTAGCTACTTGCTGTGGTACTCCAAGCCCAAAAGAATTTACAGAGAGAAAATGATTCATTCATTCCTACTTTTCAACTTAAATTTTCTAACTTCGCTCCTATTATAAATAAATCTGTTGCAAATTGTTCTGAAAAATGCCGCTTCAGAAACTTATGAAATCTAGATAAAGACTTGCTCATTGAGTTTTTGGAAATTTCTCCTTTCGAACAATTGATCCATTTACCAAAAGTTGAGGAAAAGGGCTTATTTTTGAATGAAGTACTGTTCAATATCTTCGATGTACTAGCTCCTGTAAAGGAAATTCAATTCAAAGTTCGAAAACCCCCATGATTAACGTTTTCTATTAAACGCATGATTAAACTAAAAAACGAAAAATTTAAGAGAAACAAAAATTGGGAAAATTATAAACAAATGAAAAATCAAACAAATATTGCCATATATAATGAAAAGAAAAGTTATTTGAAATACTGTATTGATAAAAATATCAATAAAACTAAAGAGCTTTGGAAAAAATATTAAATTTAAATATTAGCAACAAAAACACAGGTTGTATTCCCGTTCAGCTGAATAATTTGAATGGCATAAATAACCATTTTCTTCAGATCTCTCGAGCAAGCTCAACAATAGACTATGACACTTTGGATAACTATTATAGCAATAGGCGTAAACTTTATCTGAAGTCACTTGAAACACTGTGAAATACCGGGTGTGTTTTATATATCTATATTTAACACGCTCTGTTGCTGCAAAAATCGCCAAATTTCGCAGCAAATATCCCCCGTATAAGATCAAAGGCAGTTTCACCGGTCCACGTGGAGTAAAGCACGCCTATGCGTGGACATAGCCAATGAGAAAGCGTGTATTTCAGAGCTCCGAACAAGTGCAGGTGGCTACTGAAAATTGAAACAGTTTAGCCAGTGCCGTGTAGCGGTGAATAAATGTGTTTTCTTTAGTCTGTCCGTGTTTTTTCATAGATTTTATTAGTTTGTGTGTTTTTGACTTTTGAATACTCAGTTTACTTGTTGATTTAATTGTTGCGTTGATTGTTCTTGTGTGTCATAAATATGGCTCTTTGGAGACCTTGGGAAAATGCTCCAAGCCACGAGGAGATGGTTGATGAATCTGTGCAGGCAGAATTCTTTCATAAAGATTTAGAGGAACAGACCCAAAGAGTAATCCTAAATATGTATGATTGTCTGAAAAACGAAAATCCAGCTTCCTCGCAAAATCAAATTTTAAACAGAATTTGTATCCTGACAAAAATCAGTCGGTCTACCATTTATCGGGTTATAAAAAGGGGAGATGTAGTCAACCATTCCTTCCACAGAAAGCGCATAGGGCAAAAATTAAAAAGAATAGACGTGGGTTTTCAGGAAGATATTCGTCGTATAATATACGGATTTTATAAAGAAAATTTGGTGCCCACGTTGGAAATAATACGGGATAAATTAAAGGATTATCCTGAAGATTTTTATAATTACAAATGCTTAGACTCACTGCACTGTATTGTAAAACTGTGTGGTTTTCAATACTAAAAAATTAGATAAAAGAACGGTGATTATGGAGTCGTCTCGAATCGTTGAATTGCGCCAAGAATTTTTGCACAAAGTTAAAATCTATAGAGAGCAGAAAAGAAATCTGATTTACCTGGATGAAACGTGGTATGATACCCATGAGGTTGTGCAGTACGGCTGGGTTGACGACAGCAACAAGTGCATTTTAAATGCACCATGCAACCGTGGAAAACGAATCATTATTCTCCATACTGGCAGTGAAAATGGATTTATACCTAATGCCTCTGCCAAAAATATCAAAGAATCATGTGCCGACTATCATGAGGACATGACCTCCGACTTATTTGAAAAGTGGATAGAGCAGCAGTTAATACCAAACATTTCCCCAAATTCAGTGATTATTATGGACAATGCGCCATACCATTCCCGACAGAAAAACAAAATTCCGAATACAGGCACAAAAAAACAAGACATTATTGATTTTATGAAGGATAAGGGAATGGAAATACCACAAAAATCAACCAAAGCCATATTATTGGATCTTATTAAAAGACAAAAATTTGAAAAAGGGTATGTTGTTGACAATCTGCTTCAGCAAAATGGCCATGAAGTATTACGTCTACCTCCCTATTACTGCATTTTTAACCCGATTGAGTTGGTCTGGGCTGCTTTAAAAAAAAAAGTAAAAAAACATAATCAGACCCCTCAATTAAGTGAATCGCTATTGGCCACAATAAGAGATGCAGTATCTCATATTGCTGCCACAGACCTATGGAAGCAGTGTTCTAGGCATATTATTGAAAAAGAAAATGAATATTGTGTTTTCCTCCTGTAAATCCCGTTGTAATTCCTCTACAAGATGACTCTAGCGACAGCTCCGAAGGCGAGGATGATATATAAATACCTATAATGTAAGTCTTTATATACCTTTTTATATACCTACCTGCTATGTAAATATTTGCCTATGTCAAACGTTGGAATTCTGTAATTTTTCCATTTCTTAACTTTCAGTCAACATAAATTAAACTCCCAATATAAGTATTTTTTATCCCAAATCAAAAAAATAAGAAGATAGTAAAATCCATTTATTGTGATATAAAAACATTATTATTATCGTTCTAAATAAATGCCGCACGCCTATGATACGTCATGAAATTACAAAGGACGCGCCGACCAAAGGTTTTTATGCTATTTCAAGTGACTTCAGATACACCATACTAACGTCAACACTCTTTTTGAATTTCACAGTTTCTCAGGATGTCGTTAAAAATGCACTTCTCAGAATTAAATCGCTTGCCATAGGTGCCGATGGTATAAATCTTGAAATGATATTATTGTGTTGCCATAAAACAATCCCCTACATTACAAATATAATAAACGACTGTATTTTAGATAGACAATTTCCAGACACGTGGAAAATTGCCAAAATTATACCAATATCAATGACTACAATGATCTTCGCCCCGTAAATATTTTACCAGTGCTATCAAAATAATGGAGATTATATTGGACCAACAAATAAGAGACTATTCAACTGAGAACAATTTGTTACCAGACCATCAATCGGGATTTATGTAAGGATTCAGCTGCGAAACTGCACTGTTAAATATAACAGACGACATCTTCAAAGCAACAGATTCCGGAAAAACTACCGCTCTCGTGCTCTTGGACTACTCCAAGGCATTTGATAAACTAAATGATGAAATGCTGTTTGGTATTTTAAACTGAATAGGGTTTTCCGAATCTGCTAGATATGTAGAAATAGATAAAGGTATGTTCTCCAAAGATGTCATCCCATCGGATATTCCACAAGGCTCCATTTTAGGACCTTTCATTTTTAGTATTTATACCTCAAACCTTTCCCAATGTCTCCGAAGTTGTCAGGTAGATTTGTATGCTGACGATACTCACCTTTATTTTTCTTTCAATCCTAACGAGAAACGTGATGCATTTGGCCATTATTAATCGAGATATTGAAAGATTAGTTGTATTTTCGGAAAGTCATGGTCTACAGATTAATGCAAGCAAATCACATGTTATTTGGCATATTGAAAGATAATATTGAGCCCACTTTTCATGTCAAAATAAAAAGTGAATCTATACCCTGTTCTGCAACTGTGAGAAATTTGGGAGTAAAATTAGAAAGCTTATGTTTCTCTAAAAGTTCTATATGCTCATCAATATGTCCTCCTTGTTAAACTTGAACTACTGCTTTGTGAAGTACTAGTGCTCAGCCATTTTAGTTTTTGTAGCAGTGCTTATAGGTTTTGTTTAGACAAGATTGGCATGGATAGAATTGAAGGTGTACAGAAGTCCTGCCTACGATTTATTTATGGTATATGCAACTTTGGAAGACTTTCACATAAGCAGCTTGATGCAAACTGGTTGAATATGCGATGACGAAATGATATTTTTTAAGCAACCAACATATTTATTCAATAGAATAACTTTTCGCACCGGTGTTCATAACTTAAATTTGCGGTTTCGGGGCTACATATCACCTCCTCCTCATCAAACTTTTCTTTTTTGTAGATCTTTCTCACACAACATTTACCGGCTTTACAATCAAATTAATAATGACTTTAAAATTGTGCAAAACGAGTTTAAAAGCAAATATAAAAAATTTATTTTTGAAAAACACATTTGACATTTAACAATAAAATAATTCCGTCCTAATCGTACCTCATCGGTCCAGTTTTTTATTCGTCGACTATGTGTTCCCTTCACTGTTGTTTAAAAAACAATTCCAGCAACAATCTCGCCGACTTACTCCAGACGATGAAGAAAAAATTCTTCGAAAGCTTGAGATTTTAAGTTATAAGAGTGTACTTTTGCAATACTTTGCATTCTACCCAAAGAAATTAAAGGATTTATATATATATATATATATATACAGGGTGTTCCATAATTATTGCGACAAAATGATAGGGGTTGTAGAGGGCATAAAAATATGCAATTTAGCCTTATAAACCCCTGTTCGTAAATATGCCGTTTGAGCACTACCGCTAATTTTACCTTAAGAGCTCATAGGAGAAACAAAAAATTCAACAGCTGCAAAATGTTCGTCTAGCACATTTGATGGTCTCGCCGATTTGTAAAAAAAAGCCTGCTGTGTTTACATTTTTGTTATCGTAAATTCTCCACACCGATTCATTAAATTTATCTGAGTGGTGCGTCAAACTAGATAGAAAATTAGAAAATAACAGTACCTTAGTGTTAAAATGCAGCGTTATTCGTATGCGGAACTTGCGGATATGCATTTAATTTACGGAGAAGCTGGTGGTAACGGAAGACGAGCCTCGTGAATCTACGCCCAACGGTTTCCAGAACGTCCTCATCCGCATCACGCCATTTTTGCAAGGATTCATGGACGTCTTCGTGTCAGCGATTCTGCATCATGTAGAGGCCAATCCGCGTACAAGCGTGCGTGCTATTGCACATGAAATGGGAGCGTCTCAAACTACTGCTTGGCGGGTTCTCCATGACCAGCAACTACACCCATACCACCTTTTAAAAGTCCAAGCCATGGGTCCAGAAAACTATCTGCCGCGTCGACGTTTTTGTCGTTGGTGGCTGCAGCAGGAGTTGAGGCAACCAAACTTTGGTCGCTACGTTTTGTTCACTGACGAGTCCTGTTTCACAAAGGACGGTTATTTTAATAGCCGTAACAGTCACATTTGGGATGAAGAAAACCCTCATGCCATAGCCATCCATAGAGACCAACATAGTTTTCAATTAACATCTGGTGCGGCATTGTGGACGAGCATATCATCGGGCCATATTTGCTTCCACCACGTTTGGATGGGCATGCTTATGGTCGATTCTTACAGCATGTGCTACCGGAACTATTAGAAAATGTGCCACTGAACATAAGAGCCAACACGTGGTTTCAACACGATGGCGCTCCAGCCCACTTTTCTTTACAAGTGCGGCAGTATTTGGACGACAAATAGGTGGATAGGCCGAGGTGGCCCTGTGCCTTGGCCTGCGCGGTCACCCGACCTGACCCCACTGGATTATTTTCTCTGGGGCCATCTGAAACCTTTAGTGTACGAAACTCCTGTTCCCAACCAACAAGACCTACTGGGAAGAGTGATGGTCGCGTCCGCACATGTTCAGGACATACCGGGGGTATGCCACAGAGTTCGCCGATCATTGAACAATCGTGCACAGCTGTGTATTGAGCAAGGTGGAGGACACTTTGAGCAATTACTGTAGGTAAGCTGTTTCAAGAAACTGATCTTTTTTTTTTTGCTGCAGCCCAAACGGCATATTTCCGAACAGGGGTTTATAAGGCAAAATTGTTCATTTTGATGCCCTCTACAACCCCTATCATTTTGTCGCAATAATTATGGAACACCCTGTATATATATGTATGTATATGTGTAATAGGTAAAGGGCTGAACTTGTATCATTTTTAAATGTCTTCAGCCCTTTTTTGTAACATATCTCATTTAAATGTATCTTGCTACTATTTTTACCTAACTGCATGTTGCAAATAAACATTATTATTATTATTATTATTATTATTTAACAGACTTCGTATCGCTTGGTGAGAGTCAAAGTTAAAATACCCGGCATGTGGTTTCTTTTAGCGGCCAGACAAACATGGAGGATTACCAGCTTAAAAACCCCAGGGTAAGTTTCGGTGTTACATTAGATAAAAAATATTTCATGACTGTGACTGTAACTCTTTATTCATAGGTGACCTTCGCTCCAATAGAAGCCTCTCTTTATACTCTTCAATTAATTTCCAACATTCCTTCATTGAGTCCCACACTATCGGAAATTGAAGTTGCTCTAATGGGAAAAGCCATTCTGCCAGAATACTATTTCGAGTTGGAATATACCGATTACCTTAATAGTCGACCGCACATACCGAATTGTAATAATGAGGACATTGCTAACTGCAAGATCATTGAATTTTTATCTATTGGAGTTGGAGTCGTTTGTACAAGGTGAGTAAATGAAAAAATATGTATTTATTTAATGCAAGAAGGTGGTCATGTGAAGAACAGGTTATGAATATAGGTATGCTGACGACGTGACGTCACAGTGTGAATCATATATACGATAGGGCTTAAAGCAGATTCTTGTGGTACTTCCTTATACTGGGTGCGCCATCTATTACTTTTTTTTACTTATAAGTTTATGTGTTACCATGTAAGTCACAAGTCATGTGGTGTGCATAAATGAACTGTCAAAGGTATGCCATTTATAGTCATGGATTCGTTTACAGTACAACAACGCATTTTGGTTATCCAAACTTATTACGAAAACGGTCGAAATATAAAAAATACTTTTCGCAAACTTTGCATTAGTTTTGGCCGACATGGACTCCCCACGAGCCTGGAATTCGTTGGATTGTTAATCGTTTTGAGGAAACTGGTTCAGCTGAAGGTCGTAGACCATACCAACATGCTCGTCCAGCTCGTACTCGTGAAAACATAGCCGCAGTGAGTGAAAGTGTGCGAGAAGATCCAACCACCTCGACTAGGCACCGTTCGCAACAATTGGGAATTAGTGAGACCACTTTACGTCGGATTCTACACGTTGATATTCACCTCCATCCATACAAAATCCAATTAACGCAAGAATTGAAGCCGGCAGACCATCAACAGCGGCGTGTTTTTGTTGATTGGATGCTGGAAAGAGAAGACGGATTTTCGGCCAAAGTGTTCTTTTCAGATGAGGCTCATTTTCACCTCAATGGGTACGTAAATAAGCAAAATTACAGATTCTGGGTCGCTGAAAATCCACACTAATATCATGAACAACCTCTCCATCTTGAAAAAGTGACTGTTTGGTCCAGTTTATGGGCTGGTGGCATCGCTGGACGATTCTTCTTTGAAGATGCCGAAGAAAAGGCCATTACCGTCAACGGGGAACGTTATCGCGGCGTGTTAACAGACTTCTTGTGGCCACACTTGGATCGTATTGGTACCGACGATCTTTGGTTTCAACAAGACGGAGCAACGGCTCACTCATCTTGCCAAACAATCGCACACGAACCTTCAAGACCGCATAATTTCACGAAATTCAGATGTCAGTTCGCCCCCGAGATCGTGCTATTTAACACCTCTTGACCATTTTCTTTGGGGATTTTTGAAATGAAAAGTGTATGCGAATGGTCCCCGGACAATTCAAGACCTGAAGCGCAATATTCGGACTGAAATTGCGGCAATAGACCCGATTATTCTGGGAAAAGTCATTGAAAATTTTGATGTTTGGATGTTAGCCTGTAAACAAAGCCGCGGTGGTCACATGACTGATATTATTTTTCATACATAAATGGCATAAAACAACCTTCATTTATCAATAAAAAAAATTCGATTTCACCTCGTAAAAAGCGTGTTGATTTTTAAAATAGAAAAAAGAAATAGATGACGCACCCTATACCAGATTGCATATGTGGCTAGATGGATACTGGTTTGAGCTCGGATGCATATGAATGAATGACACAAAAAATGTATGTTGCTCAAACTATTCAAAATAAGTATGATAAATAATATACAGGGTTATCCAAATTAAGTGTCCACCATTAGTAACTTTGTTATTGGTGAAAATACAAAGTTGTTTGAATTAGCAAACTAGTAGCATTTTTAACGCTGGTAAAAATGAGAAATAAAAAAAAACAATTGAGAGTCGTTATTTTGATCTTTTTCAGTAAAATAACATTTTTTTAAATGGAAACCCCTGTATATTATATTTTTTTCTGTTAAAGCATCAAATTTTAAACAAAAAAGTTCATAATGACTTTTCCGCTAAAGTCAAAAATAAAGTCAAAATAACGATAAATATTTTTAATTATTTGCAGTATTATAATATTAAGACGGCTATGAAAACAACATGGCGTTCGCGATTTGACAGCATTAAGATAAGCGACAAATTGTTAAACTGGACATACTCGCAACTAGAAGGCTTTGGAAAACAATGATAAAATCAAATAATGTCAAACATTAGTGTAAATACTTGTTTATGAGATTTATTGTGTCATTAATTTAAAGAAAAATGTTCTCCCATGAAGAAAAGTGTGATATGTTAGAATGCTATTTAGTGTGCAGAAAATCCTCCTTGAGAGCAAGAGTGAATTATATCCCGCTCGCATTCAACCGTATGAACGATATTTTCTGAGACTTTATCGAAAATTTAGGGGCAACGAAAATGTTTTTGCTAAAACAAGGGCAAAAAAAGAATTCATAATAAGCGAGGCCACGGAAATTGCAGTTATTGGATATTTTGAAGCTTATCGTGAGAATTCAATAGCAGATATTCTCAAGGACTGTAATTTCAGTTATGGTACTGTTCAAAGGATTTTAAAAAAATACAAATTTATTCCGTATAAGTACCGACCAGTTCAAACGCTTTTGGCAGGGGATCCAGAGAGAAGACTTGTTTTTTGCCATTGGTATCTTAGCTTCTGTCGCCAAAATGTAAATAACTTTCGTTACCTTTTATGGACAGATGAATCAAATTTTTCAAATTCTGGAATGTTAGTAGAAAAAACCACCATTATTGGTCAAGAGAAAATCTTTTGTTAGTACATCCAAGAGGCCCACAAGTCCGTTTCAGTTTCAACGTTTGGTGCGGTATAATTGGTTCAAAAATTGTTGGCCCGTTCTTTTATGAGGGAACCCTAACTGGTGAAAGATATGTGGAATTTATGTCAGAAATTCTGACTAATTTCTTAGACGAATTGGATCTTATAAGTAGACATCATCTGCATTTTCAGCAAGATGGCGCACCTGCCCACAACTCCAGAGGTACTTATCATTTTCTAAGTACTACTTTTAATGATCAGTGGATAGGAACAAATGACCCAATACAGTGGCCTCCCAGATCACCAGATCTAAACCCACTTGATTACTTCTTGTGGGGTTACTTAAAGAACCAAATTTACAAGCGAAGGTACGATAACCTTGACGCGTTAAAGACTGCAGTTGGGGAAAAGATAACCCAGATAGATGGTAGGACCATACTTAAGACAGTTCGAGCAGTTGAAAAACGTGCCCAAAAATGTATTGAAGAACAAGGTGGTGTTTTCGAGCATCTTCTTTAAAAAAATTGTTATTGTATTTTGTAAGATTATAAGTTGATGTTGAAAATAAAGTTTGTCGATACAATTTAATTGTTTCAGATTGGAGGCCATAACTTCAACAATTTGTAACCTAGGAGAAAAGTTATTGTAAACTTTTTTGTTTAAAATTTGATGCTTTAACAGAAAAAAATATAATATACAGGGGTTTCCATTTAAAAAAAATGTGATTTTACTGAAAAAAATCAAAATAACGACTCTCAATTGTTTTTTTTTTATTTCTCATTTTTACCAGCGTTAAAAATGCTACTAGTTTGCTAATTCAAACAACTTTGTATTTTCACTAATAACAAAGTTACTAATGGTGGACACTTAATTTGGATAACCCTGTATATATGTATTTGGAATCAGAAAAAAAGTGACTATAATTTTCAATAGAAATATATAGGGTGTTCCATTCAATAAACAAAAGTTTATTCGGTAGCACTTAGCAAACGTATATTGGACCCTACTTCTTTGGTATAAAACTTTTTTCCTAAACAGTCATACTAAAAGTTATATCGGGTCGATCGGCGTGTGTGAGGCGATTAGCACCATTACTTCAAAGTTATCGAAAAAGATAAATTACTTCTATAGAGTTTCCGATAAATAATCTCAGTATGTATTCCAAAAAAAATTGTGTATAACACATTAATTCTTCCCTATTTTTTATATTGTTCAAGTATTTTGTTTACAGCAAATGAAAACAAACAAAATTACAAATTCTACAAAATAAAGCAATGACAAACATTTTAAATAAAAACCAATATGCCCAAATTAAGTCTATGTTAGAAAAGCTGCAGTGATTGAATGTAAAAAAATGTATATGTTATTTAGGTCTCATCTTCATATTCAAATTAAAATATCATTTATTACCACCACATTTAGAAAACTTCACAATAGCAAATCTGTATTCCAAAAGGGAGTACATATCTGAAATTAAGAAATTGAATAATGATATCAAACAGTGTTCAAATTTAAAAATGTTCAAGGTGAAATTATATAATCTCGTTATGGATATCTAAGTCGCATAGCGATGTAATTTTATCTGACAAGAATGTCAAATTACAGAAAATTTATTCTAAAATGTGTAAAAGATTAATAAACTGTGGGCCACCAGTTGTTTTTTAACTTGGTATTATTTTGACAGTTGGTAACACTTCCATGCTCAACCCATTAACAGATATATTGTGTCAAACTTCCGCTGTGAGCATTGTATCGTTTTAATCTTGAACAAAGGTGGAAAATATTGAAAAACTATTTTCAAAGTGTTGTAGAAACTTTGCGAAAATTTAGAAGACTATTTGGTTGGAATGAAGCTCCGTCCGCGACTGGTATACGAAAATTCGTGAAAAAGGTTCGTGAAACTGGCTTTCTTGTGGATAACAAGGTATGAGCGTGTTCGACCCGTACGTACGGCCGAAAACAGTGCTGCTGTTTCCCAGAGTGTGCGTGAAAACGCGAGAATGTCAACTCATCACAGAGCACAAGTGGGCATCAGTCGCACTTCTGTGCGGAGAATATTGCATAACGACCTAGGATTATTTCCTTACAAGGTGCAACTTGTGCAAGAGTTGAAACAAAATGTCCATCCGCTTCGATATCGTTTCTCTGTGTGGGCTCTAAATCAATTGGAAACGGACGCCAATTTTGCTAGCCGAATCATCTTTTCGGATGAAACCCATTTGCATGTGAGAGGTTACGTTAACAAGCAGAAATGTAGGATTTGGGGTTTTGCAAATCTATGTGTCATCATAAAAAACCATTGCACCCAAAAAGAGTAACTGTTTAGTGTGGCTTTTGGAGTGGTGGGATTTTTTTCAAGTTGAAGACGGTAACAGCGTGACGGTAAACGGGGAACTGTAGAGACATGGTGAGGAGTTTTTTGTGGCCACTATTAGACGACATGCACTTGCACAATCTCTGGTTCCAGCAAGTTGGCGCAACATGCCACACCATCCGTGAAACAATCGATCTTTTACACACTAAGTTCGGTCATCGCGTTATCAGCCGTTTTGGAGACGTTCAGTGGCCAGCTCGCAGCTGTGATTTGACGCCCATGGATTACTTCCTATGGGGTACTGTTAAGGACCGCTGTCACACTAACGATACTCAGACAATTGATGTTCTTGAGGAAAATATCCGTCGAGCTATTAATGAAATAGACCCACAAACTATCGAAAATGTGCTTCAAAATTGGGTTAAGAGGATGGACTACTGCCAAGCCAGCCGCGGCAGCCATTTAACTGAAATTGTTTTTCATAAATAATCGGAAGGTGTATTCTTTTGAACAAAGTATCGAGTGTTACATATTATTCAAGAGTGTAGTTTTAATACCAATTTAAAAAAGAAACCAACGGATGGCCCACCTTTCAGTACAAACTTGACATTGTAGCATTAATGCTAAATACGAGTAAATCTTCAACAAACAAAAACATTAGGTGGCGGTTGCGGCAATGGCAATCGAAAAAATTCTCGTTTGGCTGAATCCTCTGATGACCCGATTAAAAAAATGGCTAATGCCCTTACCTAGTGCCTTATTCCATAAAAATACTAGACTAATAAATTCCAAGTTACATGTACAACCACTTGTAAATATGATCAAATAACATTTAGTTTCACCTATCGGCGACTGTACTTGTGAGAAACGTCACTCGGAATTACAAGTGCAGCACTGTCAAAATGACATTTCGTAAATATGTCAATTTGTAAAAGTGTAAATAGAGCACAGAATTGATTTGATCGGTGATTTTAGCCGCAAAATAAAAAGCACATGCATAATGTTTAGAATGATCATTCCGAAAAAAAACGTGGCAGTGTCCCAGAGATGCTTTTTGCCTTAATTTAGAACGACTTCCTCGTCGTACAAGTTTTGAATATACCCTTTAAGACAATATTGAGAGAGCTCTCTTAAATGATGAACTGTCGAGGAATCAGAGTTTCCCCAACAAACGGGTCATACAGGTCCAATAATGTAGACTTAAAAGCCACAAATATAATAGAGATGAAAAAAGTAAAGAAAAAGAATTCTTTAAGTTGTGATATATTGAACATTATTATTTTGGAATGAATCTACTGTGTTTTAGTAAGAAAAATGTGAATAATTACAGTGCATATCTTGAGTCGGGTAAAAAGTATCGAAATCTGCTTAGTTTTTACTGAATTTGTACAGTTAGTCATATTTAGTAATGTTGATTTTGACTTTGCATGTTATTATTCGTTGAATTCGAATTCTTATATTAAAATTAATATCATAAAAAAATCGCGTTTCAAATATTTTGATCTCCTCTTCAAGTGCTGTTACTGGTATCTGACGCTTGTTTGTACCAAGAAGCTTGTCCTATTATTTTCTACCAATCTAAAATCACGTGTAGCAAATATTTGAAATAACAAGAAAAATACTACCACATGTATCGTGTTTAAAAGTTACATAGAATATAATATCTCGAATTAGTACAACTTACAAGTAAATTTACTCATAATTATCACTACATACTCTTTATGGAATAAGGTCCTGATACTGATGGTCCTCTCGGTCTCCGTTTCTCCTGGAGGTTCCTTGCCGGTGCCAGCTCTCCTCTGACTGGAGGGCTCTAAACCCAAATAGGTGTATAAACCCTTCTTTCATAAAAGTTCCTCTAAATTTTAGGTTCTGAAAAAGTTCCTCCACGATCCACAAAGTTCCGCAAATCGAAACTTATTCGGCCGATTGGAACACTGCGTGCTCGATGTTTGCTACAAAGTAAGGTTATGCTTTTGCAGCTTTTGGCACCCATATTTGTGCGTAACAAGGTGGTGCGAGCGTACCATCTCTGGTGCAAGAGAACATAGTTTTCACTTGCACTATATTTTACGCTACGCTACGCACTCGTTCAAAGGTGACGCTATGGAAAAACACCCTCATAGGGGTTGAGGGAATATCAATGAGGGCTTACCGGCTTTATCGAATTTGTGGGTTTATCTCTCTCTCTCTATATATATATATATCTCTCTCTCTCTATCACTCTCACTCTCTCTGCCTGTCCTCTCTCTCTCTCTCGCGAGGTTGGCAAAGGTATTCGCGAGAAGGCTCTCTAGTAGGAACCATTGTCGCGCGGTATATCCGGAGAGGGGTACAGCACAAACTTTCGGTATGAATCAGTGTTGCCGAACCTCCCGATTTTCCGGTATTTCTATTGGAATGAGACCTTAACGTCCTCGTTTTCCACGATTTTTTAAAATAATTCAGATATTTCCCGACTGTTTACCAAAAAAGAGCTGGTATTAAATATAACTAAAAAATGAATTCTATACAGTTTTATGCCCCATGACAGTCATGCATAAGGAAGTCCGGCACCCGAGGGACATAGATTGCCTTCAATTATGTACACACATCCCTTATTCCTCTTTCCCTATATTGGTTTTTGTGTACAACAGGTAAAAACTGGTAGATCACCATCATTATCACATCACCCGACAGCAATAAGGAAACCAGAGCTCGTCTGTATTTAATTGAATATCAAATTAAATTGACAGGTGTTGAGGCTTCAAGTTCAGGGGTGAAACAGATAAACATTCGAAATCTTATGAACAAGAAAGGCAGATGGATTTCAATGATGGTTGCAAAGGAGTTTGAAGAGCTGATTGAGCAAGTTGTGATAAATTTCTGTTTCAGGAACAGATTCTCTCAAAAAACCTGTGTTGTGCATGTGCGCGAAATACAAAAATATAATTGTATCATAGAGGGTGCTGCGTGACGCAAGCAGCAAGTCTCTTGATCCATCGCTGATCTTGTAAAGGCCCTGATTTCTCAATACTGCGGATTTTGTCCTTGAATCTACCGAACTGTGTACCGATTTTTTTTCTGTTCGGTGGTATGAGCTGAATGATTTAAGATCTTTTTTTTGAAGACCATTTATTGCCTCACATTTTTTCTTTTTTCATAGAAAATTCAATTTTGTAAATCCTGACAAAGACGACACAACCTTCAGGTTATCTCCAAAAGGGGAAAATAACCACTTCACATATTTTTCGTGTAAAAGCAATACTGGTATTGTGAAAGGGAGCAAAAAATGTGAGATTTGTTTCACATTTACGCCTCAAGAACTAGGAGCATACGAAGAATTCTACCAATTTCATGTTGAAGGTAAGCCCAACAGAATAAGCTTGAATACACATAAATAAATTTATATCTAAATACATAATACCATACCATTCTATTAATTGACCACATTAAGTATAAACAATGTACATGTGAGGTCTTACAAACTAATTTATTAACTATCCGAGTGACATAGCATCAACGTATTCATCAACTCATTAGTTAAGCAATTTTTTTAGCAAACTTTGAAGAATAAATTATATAATTTAACGTTAGATCTATTATTTTTAGTCATATTCAGTCGCTAGTATGGATTCCTTGTTTAGATTTCTGTGCACATGACATAGGACTCCAAAAATATAAATTGATGAATGCGGTAATATTTGATGATTTTTAAGGTGATTTCTGCACGTTGATCCATAACTGGAATTTGTAGTTATACTCAAAGCCGTTTTATGTAAAATGAAAGTTTTGCTAGATGCTATCAAGTTTCCCCAGAGCATTGTGCCTTATGTAGTGTAACATGCTGAAGTGCACTACCCGCAAAGTGTGGTTATCGAGGGCATCTGCTCAGCAGCCTAAGGAGAAATAATTGTGTGGACAGTCTAGACTGCGAATAATCAATGTGGGATCTTCAGTTTAGTGTTGTATTAAGTACTATTTCTAGAAGTTGTACTGGTTTTGATCTAACAACCGAAAAGTCATAGGAAAATGTAACATGAGATGTCTTGTTTTCATTTAGCGATAACTTGTTGGCTAAAAATCAACTTTTGGCTTATTCCAGACTATCTATACCCGTGCTTTGTCCATGTCTAAACAGCAAAGTGGTATCATCGTCTGCAAATCGGAAGAAGGACCCTTTGAAAGTACTCGAGGGCAGCTCATTGATATAAATTAGAAACAGCAGGGGGCTAAGTACTGATCCCTGCGGTACCCCCCCCCCTTACAAATAGGCAAAAGTCAGAGAGCGGAGCCCTCAGAGTTTACACACTGCTTCCTATTTGACAAATACAAATGAAAAAACGCTTTCGGCTTGTTCCAGACTATCCTATAATAATAGTTATTCCCATCAATTATAAAATGTGGATAAACTGATTTCCACAAAAGATGCGTGTATGAATATCATTCTAACACATTTATTTTTTAAATAGACGGAATTTTCTTGTAGAAATTAGAAAATCTTTTTCATCATTTACGCAATATAATCCAAGAATTTTTTCTAAGCTAGAAGCCAACTATTTAAAACGAGCAAGTAGCATAACCAAAACAAAGTGGGTATAGTTTTGTTACTTACCGAGGCTTTTTCTAACAGCTATTAACATTTTCTTTAAATAAGTTTGTGAATGATTCCATTTTCGGCAAACTAAGAAATGGTCATAGGTTTTTCGTATCATAAAATGGTTCATCACAAAGTTGACTTTAGAGATGAGATGAATGGGTGACGGCGAGACTCTCCCAACTACCGATACACCGCGGCTGCTATAACGAACTTGTTAACCTCATTTTTGAACCTACCTAGGGTTAGTACGACGTGGAAAGCCTTATGCAAATTTTTCCACAATTTTTACACCTTAGGAACAAAGGAGGGGTCGTTTCGACCGAATGTACGAAGTTGGTCAGAATAAAAATGAGAGAAGCTTGGCGGGTACTTCTCACATAGCGGTAGAAGAGAGCCAAATCGCCGACCACCCGTCGCCTCGGTGCGAAAGGGTCCCGAGACTGTTCGTTAGAGAAGTGTCATCAATCAGTAGGAGAACCCTTCTCTGAACAGCATAGAGTATGAACAATGTAGTCAGGGTGATTGAACCGCAAATACAGGGTGGGGCAAAAGTCGCGAAGGGATTTGAAAAATTAATAACTTTTTTAAATTTTAATTTTAATTTTTTTCCCTAACACAAAACTAAAATGCAATGTTTGGAGTTTGTTTACAATTTAAGTGTGAAAGATTACATCACGCAAATGACCGCCATTTTCAGCCTCGCAAAGTGCAGCTCTTGCAAGAGCATTTTCCATTACCCGAGTCAGAATATCTGGCCCCAAAGCACTTACTTCTGCTCGAATATTATCTTTTAGTTGCTGCAGGGTTGTGGGTTTATTAATATACACTTTTCCTTTCAGATATCCCCAAAGGAAATAATCAGGGGCTGTTAAGTCCGGCGAGCGGGCGGGCCAATTGAATCCTGAATTTCTCGAAATTAAACGTTCGCCAAAAATCTGCCTTAGAAGGTGCATAGTGGCTCGAGCAGTATGCGCAGTGGCTCCATCTTGTTGGAAAGTCATCGTTTGATTGTCAGCAAGAGCTGGTCTTAAGAAATTTTGAATCATATCACGATATCGGTCGCCATCTACAGATACAGCATTCCCATCGTGGTCTTCGAAGAAGAATGGTCCAATAATTCGTTGAGACGTAACTGCGCACCATACTGTACATTTAAGCGGATGTAATTGCCTTTGATGAACCACCCTTGGGTTCTCGGTACCCCATATTCTGCAGTTCTGCTTATTTACGAAGCCATTCAAATGAAAATGGGCTTCATCGCTCATGATCAGAGAATGAATAAATTCATTATCTTCTCGAGCCATTCTTTGCAAGCGAACTGCATAAGTTAGTCGTTCTTGAAAATCTGCTGGTTTTAGTTCTTGCACTAGCTGCACTTTATATGGAAACAGATGTAAATTTCCTCTTAATATTCTGCGTAAAGACCTTTGAGACATCTGCAGCTCAGCAGAACGTCTTCGGGTTGAGGTTTCCGGATTCTCCTGAACACTCTCCTGAACGCGTTGAATGTTCCCTTCATTTCTTGCGGAACGTGGCCTTCCGCTTCGTGGGAGATCCATAACTGTGCCTTGTTGCTGAAATCGTGCCACTAAGCGTCGAATCATTGATTCAGAGGGCGAATTCCGCAAATTGAAATGACGACGATATGCTCGTTGAGTTTGAATTATTGAATGGTGATATTCAAAATAAAATTCTATAAGTTTGGTTCGTTGATTGAGGTTGTAACGCTCCATAATTAATCTCCAGGATTTATTTTACACGGTCCTGAAAAAAAAAATGAAAACAAAATAAATTTAAAAAAGTTATTAATTTTTCAAATCCCTTCGTGACTTTTGCCCCACCCTGTATGTGAACAGTACCCGAATGGAACTTGATCTGGGCCTTGCGTACAAAGTGAGAATGACCTGAGAAGCGATTTTTCTATCATGAAAAGGTTAATAATACTGAAGAGTCATAGGAGCACGCCCACTTTCTAGTATTCTCCATCGTTTTCAAAAAATGTCCTTGTAATAGTGCGTACAGAATCAACCTACTTAATACTATTTCTTCTCTAGGCAAGAATCCCACTACATTTTTATTGGCCGGTCAATGTCGAGAGCCGCACGTTTACTTCAAAACCCCATTCATAACCATTGAACCAACATTGCTACACGTGGCAAAAACTGTGACGGTCGAACTTAAAAACGACGAGTATCAAGAGTGTCCTTTCAGAATCTGTAAGGGAAGCTTGTTGGACGGAAATTCCAAAAGAGTGCTGGAAGTGATTCCTATGTCAGGCAATGTGGCACCGAGAAGTGAAACGAGCGTTAAGTAGGTATCGTTAAGCCCCTTTTACTACCCACGCCTAAGGAAGTATTTTAATCGCGCAAGAATCTCGAAAATGAAAAATGTCTTTTTTTTATATTATTTGAAATGAAAAAACATGTCACTCATTTTAGTCGGTATGTCTGCCGGTTTTCTGTCTGTCTGTCCCCAGATCGTTAGCCCAACTATACTTTGAAATGAAATTTTTACGCAAGGTTACTTGTATGCCAAGGACAAAAAAGCTTTATAGATTTTGAAAATTGATCCAGTGGCGGCGAAGAAAAATGCCAAAATTAACAAATGTAAATCACTCAAAAACTTCTTTGACGTTTCAGAGAATCCTGATAATTTTTGAAAAAAAATTTCAAAAGTAAGAATTTGCAGATGTAGGGGGTAGGTGAGGAAGTATAGTAATTCTTTGATGTTAGCTCTCCCAGCCCCGGTAATTCTACGCTCCTATTAGAAATAATATTTCACATACCATAGATTTTCCCGTGCATTTACCGTTAAAAGTTAAAGCGATAGAGAAATGTTCCGTCTGTTGCTGTCTGGTTTCATCGGACGGCGTGCCGGTCTTTGTAAGTGCCGTCGCGATCTTTTTCTCGTACCAGGAATGCCAAATTTCTCGTACATTCAGAATATAACCTCATACACAGGAGTATGTAGAACTTGAATTCGAGTGACGCCTATGGACCAGGTGGCGTTGTTTGCTGCTTTTCATGCAAGACAGATTGGTAGTAATTGAAAAGTGGAGATAGGGGAGGGGGTATACTAGACCCAAAAATTTAGTGTAATAAAATTTGTAATAATAATGACCTAATTAAAGCATTTTCAGTTCGTTTGGTTGGTTACAGATTGGTTTGTCGAATATGACCATCAGGTACAAAATATCAACGCGATGTCTGCTGTGCTGTTGTACAGGGTGGCCCATCCAAGTGTGGACGGAATATTACTCATAAACAACTACATTTTGGGAAAATCTATTTACGGGATGTTACACATGATATTTGAGGGCACATTTCTAAAATATTGGTCATTATACAGGGTGTCCCAATTTTGACCTACATATCAAAGTTGTGATTTTTCAAATAGAATGCCTCAAATTTTATTGCATATTTGGATAAACCAATTCAAAAGAAGAAAATTAATATAACATACTATGGAGTTTTGGTTATAAGCTACTGAGATATAAGGTGTTTTGTCTAGGAAAAAACCCCCACTTCGGCAACCCCTCAGTCCGCCATTTTGAAATTTGAAGTGCTGGATTCTATATCAAAAAAAACTTACAAACCTCTGCTTTTATCCTATTTGTTACTTTTTCGAACTTTAATTTTTGCTCATACAGGGTGGTCAAAAACGCAAATTGTGATTTTTCTCAAAAATTTCAAATGCACCACTCTGTATATTTGTGCAAGTTTGGATTCAATATTTTATAACCTTTTTTTATGCTAGACACATAAGGGTTTTTACGGCTATTTTTTCGGTTATTTATGGAACAGCTTAATTCCCTAAAACATCGCATCATCCTTGGAAACAAATAAATTGTTGATTAGTTACAAACTGTCAAAATAAGCTTTGTGAGCATTATAATAAAAACGTGTATGAAAATGAATTTTTCTAAAGAATAAATGGTGAATATGATGTTCGTTTTGGGCGAAGCTCAAAGGAATAGTTTCCTAGCATCTCGCAATTATAAGCAACGGTACCCTAATATACGACATCCAAGGCCGGAAACATTTTCCATGCTACGAGAACGTTTTATATCAAGTGGAGCAGTGGAATATAGTAAATAATGTATAAATAATCCAACTGTCACAATGAGGCGAATCAGTTGGAGGTTCTATTAAAGTGGAAGGAAAATCCCCATTTAAGTGCACGGCAAATTAGAGCAGAAACTGATATATGCAGAACTTCTGTGCAAAGGATTATTCACAAGCATAGGTACCATCCATATCACCTATGCTAGCATCAAGGCCTTCGTCCTTAGGATTTCGCAGCTCGAACGGAGTTTAGCAGAATAATGCTAAATAAAGTGAGTGAAGACACTACTTTCCTGGATAAGGTTCTTTTTAACAGCATAGGTGTTGTCAACAGGCATAACATCCACTATTATGCTACGGAAAATCCTTACTGGGTTAGGTAAATAGATTTCCAAAATAAATGGAGCTTGAATGCTTGGGGAGGAGTTATTGGCAGACAAGTTATCGGGCCTTTCTTTTCCGACAACAGATTAACAGGTACAGAATACTTAAATTTTTTTGATCGAGCATTAATTTGGTTTCGCTTTTGGAGGATGTTAACCTCCAAACTCGGATGCATATATACTTCCAACATAACGGCGCACCTGCGCATTATCATAGTCGTGTGCGTAACTATTTGGACACCTGGAGTAACAATCGTTGGATCGGTCGTGATGGACGTATATCTTGGTCTCCTAAATCACCAGATATGACACCGATGGACTTCTTTCTATGGGGCTACGTTAAGCAAGAGGTTTATAGATATCCACCGTCTACCTCTGAAAATATGAATCAAAGGATTAAGGATGCTTTTCTGAACATAAGGGAACACATGCTGAAGGATGTGCAACGGTCATTTATCCAAAAACTACGGCTGTGTATTCAACATGGAGGAGATATTTTCGAGCAGTTTTTGTAGATTAGGTCTTGAGTAGTGACAGTAGTTTGTTTATGTTGTTGTTACAGTTGTTTTTCTCTATTACGCTTGAAACTGATTTATAATGTTCTGATTGTTATTAGTTTTTACGTCAAATCTGTACTCACTTTTTGTCTTTTGTTTCCATGGATGATGTGATTTTTTTCCTTAATTTTGATGTGTTGTTCTATTAAAAGCTTAATAACTCAAAATCTAGTGATGTTATCTGAATCAAACCTTATACCAAAAAAAAGGTTATGAAAAATTGAATGCAAACTTGCACACATATTCAGGGTGATGCATTTAAAGTTTTCCGCGTTTTTGACCACCCTGTATGAGCAAAAATGAAAACTCAAAAAAGTTACAAAATGATACAAAATTCAGCACTCCAAATTTCAAAATGGCGGATTGAGGGGTTGCCGAAGTGGACGGTTTTTCTGGACAAAACACCTTACATCTCAGTAGCTAATTACCAAAACCCCAGAGTATGTTATATCAATCTTTTTCTTTTGAATTGGTTTATCCAAATATGCAATAAGATTTGAGGCATTTCATTTAAAAAATCACAGCTTTGACATGTAAGTCAAAATTGGGACAGACTGTAATTGCCACTATTTTAGAAATGTGCCCTCAAATGTCATGTATAACATGCCATAAATAGATTTTCCCAAAATGTATTTGTTTATGAGTAATATTCTGTACACACATGGATGGGCCACCCTGTATAATTAATTACGAAGTATGAAATGGGAGCATTTAGAGTTGATATGATTCAGTAAGACCAACATTTACTTGAATGATGGTGTATTTTTGCAGCTATAGGAAGGCAATAAACAGTCCGTATTGATATCGTTTTAACAAAATCAGTACCTACTATATCTCAGTATTATAGAAGCGTAGCGCTGATATCGAGTTGAGAATCCTTGACGTGATTATATTTGACAGACCAACTATTGACTAACAGGACCAACTGGAAAAACTAATTGGTAGGGATGCAGACGGTATATTGATGTTTCTGAAACATCGATTTACCATGGATGGTCATGTTTGCATGCATTATTTTGCTTTTCCAAGCTAATAAAAGCATGTTAATAAAAGCGTGATTTAAAATCCATTTGAAAAATTGCTTAAGCAATTAAAATGGATCCTTGAATATGACGCACATGAAAAGTACATAACTTGGTTTGAAAAACATTTTTTTATCACTCTACCAAGATGACTTATTTTACTGTCATTCATCCGAACACAAATAAGCTTCTACAAATGAGTCAGTGGCGAAGCTTAGACACCAACCCTTGTAAAAGTGACGACTGTATGGCTTTTGTAGGATTATATTCAATGCAGAAGAGCCAGGCCCGGTGAATTTTGATTTGAGGTGTACCGTAAGACAAATTAAGGAACCATTACATCTTGGAATATCAGCAAACTGTTTGACAGTTGTTAGTAAGGTATTCTATACAGACGTGGCAGGAGACCTTATAATATTGAAGGCTGATGAAGACAATTATATGAATTTTAAAAATGTAAGTTTCGAACGAACAACCAAGGCTGACTTTAGTTAGAAAACACATCAGATAAAGATCAAATTGGTACCAGCGAAATTTACAGTTACTCAAAAACTAATTCACATCATAGAAGTGTATGAAAAATGAAGATACACAAGCATAATGGAGTTCTGATTTATAAAATTTTTCATTTATAAAGAGAATATTGTAAAAAAGTGACATGTACTGAAGGTCAGCGTTGTGACCGAAACCTATGTGAAAATATGTCGCATGCGACACTCAAAAACACCCCCAGGCTTGGCTTTGATTAAATTGTAACCTTTAGATGACCTTTTCTGTTCTAATCAAAGATTACTCAAAAATTCTAGGTGATGTTGAAAAATCCTTCAACACAAAAAATATCCATAGTAAACGAAGGTTATATTGGATTTTATTATACTTGGCACGTGGACAAAAGCACCACAAATCCTTTTGTTGACATTACGATAGAAGAAGAAAAAGGATTTTTGGCTGGTGGTACTTTTAATGATTCCGTTTTAACATTGACGCCGCAGAGAAAATCTGCTATACATGACATGAAGATCATTCTGCAGGTAACACATACTATGTCAAGGAGATCGACTTAATATCAATGACAAATTGACAAATATCGCACAGGTTTACGAGGATTAAAATAATTTTAGTATCAGCAAAACTAAAATTTACCAATTTTTTCTTATTTCAGATTTCCTATGGACCAAAATATGTGATCAAAATAAATGCAATAGCTGGAAAACCACTTTTTAAATTTTCGTTTGTGAACTATGACTTTGGACATTGCCTAGTGCAAAAGAACAAATCAAAATATTATGGCACGTTACTTACTTGCAAAAATTATGATACTCGACCGTTAGTGTAAGTATAATGACTAAAATTGGAATTGCAATGGTATCTCAGTTCGTGTCGAAAACTAAGCGTCGGAGAAAAAAACACCCAGTAATTATGATTTTTCACAACTAATTTTTATATACATGTCTCTTATGGTTAGGCAAGTAATTGACAGAAATTTCAGAAAAAATCCAGCCGTTGAAAAAAATAACTTGTTGAGCCTCCACGATGTCTAATGCACTCAGAAACACGTCTAGGCATACTTCTACTGAGATGATCGATTTACTCTTGAGGAATCTCATCTAGGAATACTTGTACCTCGTGTCGAAGTGCCGGTTTGAGTCTATGGAATATGGGGCAAACAGAGTATATTATTCCCATAATGCGTGAAAGATTGGGAGATCTAGGGGCCAAAGCAACAAATTGGCTTGGTTGTCTTCAAAATGGACCAACGTAATTCTGGCTATATGTGGTCGGGTATTCTCTTGTTCGAAAAGTATACAGGGTGTTTCAGTTTATTGTTACATAACTTTAAGATTCGATAGAACTTTTAAAATTAATGCATAAAGTCTATATAAACATTGGTCGAAAAATGCGTGGCTTCCGAAATACAGGGTGTTTAAATTTACTTTCTAAAATAGTTTTTTTTTAAATATTTCGAACAATATTTGAAGTATAACAGTGAAAATTGGTATACAAGGTTTTTTTGGTACGACAAAACGAACCATGGGCATAGTTTTACTGTATCCGCTAGAGGGCGCTCTCTACTGTACCTGTAGTGTATTAAAATGACCAAAAAACCCTTGTATACCAATTTTCACTGTTATACATCAAATATTGTTCGAAATATTTAAAAAAACTATTTTAGAAAGTAAATTTAAACACCCTGTATTTCGGAAGCCACGCATTTTTCGACCCATGTTTATATAGACTTTATGCATTAATTTTAAAAGTTCTATCGAATCTTAAAGTTATGCAACAATAAACTGAAACACCCTGTATAAGGCAAAACATGTGGTTCCCTCACTTCCTGGATGTAACGCACGGCGGTCATCTTGTCTCTGATGAACGCCCAAGCTCAAGTGCTTCTATATCATATATACCCAAACAGAAACTGGATCCATCACTAAAGACAATATATCTTGATAAAGTAAATTATTAGAAACGTTTTTCTTATTAAGAATAATAATCTGATAGCAGTTCTTAAAAATATCGAATTTCATATTTATAACAAAACACCTCTAGGTCTAATAATGTTATAGCAGAAAATAATACTCTACTCTCCATCTCGTTAGACGTCGTTTTTTATAATTGCTATCGACCGTGAATACGAGAGCTAAAGGTTTCTTGGTGCTATTTCCGGTGCACTCGTGTAGGAGTTTAGCGGCTCATTATCCGAATTTGTGAAATAGTTTCTTACGCAGTGCTGCGGTCTATCGGGTGGTGTAAATTTTAATAGAAATCGACCTTCATTAGTAAGTTTTTTGCCGGAGCCCTTTTTCTCACGCGCCTGGGGATTTAGCCGCAGACATAACTACACTCAACCATCGAGCTGAGGGGAACCGTCTGCACTGATAATCCGAGGCGAAATTGAGTAGTACTCACACCTGTGAGGAGCAGTTCCCCATTCCTATGAACCCTCATTGTTCTATCTACCGGTTATACCTTCGGGTATCCAGTTACACCTAGGATTTCCTGCCCTCGGTTGCTTCCCTGTGGTAGCCAGGCACCTGCCAAGGTTTTTTAATATCTTTTTTTTTTCTTGAAACCATTTAGCTGGGGGTAGTACAAAATAACTTTCTTTGATTGTTCTCCAGGATTACTTTTAAATTTTGTATTTCTTTTGTTCAATAAATGTTTGTGTACCTTGTGAGTTTGTATCTCCTTTAGCGCCAGAGGTCCAACATTGGTTACTTGTTATTTTCTTTTCTTAGTGCTTGAAACTAGGTGGCGCCCAAGCCACAACCATTTGCATCCAAAAACCAAAGTACAAAGAACCTCACTCCGAGGTCTCATTATCTACCATACTGACTCGTTTCTGGGGATAACATTCGAGGTTCCAATTCAGCAGTTATTTGCGCCAAGGTAGTCGATCACTTTGGTGCCTAGGAGTGAGAGATAGGACAAACTAAGGACGGTATGAAGTCCAAAACTAATGACTCGGCGATAACAAAATTTCATTGTAAAAGGCTTTCCAAGCTTTCGAAACTATTGGCTCGTAATTGACCTTGTGCATGAGAAGCGGTCCTGTAAAGCCTAAGGCGGCGATATTGGTGTGGGACCATTCTTCTGACACCCCCTGTACATCTAACTCTTCGTGTACTGCCTTCCTGATTCAATGTCCGACAACAAACCACCACTGTATTTAGACTTCTGTGCGACCTGGTGGCTATTTCTGAGGACCAACCAGCCTCACTCAAGCCCGTTCTATTCGCCCCTATCAAACTCGCTAAGCTGCTGAAAGTTTCCTCGTCTTCTCCCTCTAGGTACGATGAACAGATTAATGCTGTTCTTCACAATGTATTGTACGATGGTCAAATTCCAATTCTATCTACAGACTGGGGCAGAAAGACTTCCCTGAATTGGAGAGCCGATGAAATCTGAATTAATCAAGACATAGAAAAAACATTTATTTTTTAAAAAGCATATAAAAATGCCATTTTAAGTCAATGCATTTTGCAAATGACATCACTCAAGTGTGCGCCTCTATTGTTGATACACTGAGTGAGCCTCTCTCGATAACTTTCCATCACTCTGCTGATCATGTCAGGCGGAATGGCAGCAATTTCCTGGATTATCGTCTCCTTGGGAGTAATTTGGGGGCGATGTTGGTACAGGTTTTTCGTTAGGTAGCCCCAAAGAAAAAAACACATGGGATCAAAGGCATTTCGATGATTTATATTAAAAACGGGCAGGAATACACACGTCAAAAAATGATATATCCTCCACTGCGCTATTCCCCCCATAGGCGTTTCCAAATCGGGGAGGTCTTTCTGCCCCACCCTGTACAAAACACAACTATCACTTTTAATAAAGCATTTCTTTAGCATAAGAGCTACATGTAAGTACACGTTTGCCTTATTACAATAATAGAAATAGAAAAAAAGAATTGTGCTGTTATATGCAAAAATTGAATAAAAAGTGTAATACTTCACAAAACAAAAAGAATCGAAAATAAAACCGTAATTTAAAAATAGTACTACGAATACAAATACAAGGGGTACTGATAATTTTAGATTAAAAACTAGGCAGAGATAAAACGTAAAATGTAAAAAACAAAACAAAACAGGTATAACTAAAATTGTACAAATAAAGTAGATAAAACCGTGCTAAAATGTGCAAAATTAAAATAAACAGAATACTAGTTACTAACACTTATCTAAAACAAATTTTCTTAGGAGCCGCTATATACCTTCAATCTATCACATAAATAGTTAGGTAACAAATTATGTTTAACTTTGAAAATAAACAGATACACATTAAACATAACCCTTTGTTTCACATACAACATATTTAGAACACTCAACATACATTCAATTGGCGCATACCAGTTACATTTCAAAATCTGTCTCATAGCTCTGTTTTGCAATCTCTCCATTTGATTTATTTTATACTGCGGCAGATTAAACAATAAAGTGGAACAAAACTGTAAATGTGGGGATAAAGTTGTAATTTTCTATGCATATTTAAATGTTTACCTATTCGCGTTATAAAACCGACTTTTATTGAAAATTTTCGCATTACATAATCAGCATGAGCTTGAAAGTTTAAATTACAATCCAATATAATGCCTAAGTATTTAATTTCCCCATTATAAACAATATTTTCCCCATCCACAGCAATGTACAGATTTTGAATTTCTGCTTCCCTAAGTTTTGATTTCTTACTAAATATGCAAAATTTCGATTTATCGGCATCCAAACATAGTTTGTTAACACACAGCCAACTAAAAATTCGTTCTAAATCATCATTTAAATATTTCTGCATTTGCTGTAAGTTTTTACCTATAATATAAAGCATTGTGTCGTCATCAAATAGAACAATTTTACACTGTATTGTTACTCCAACTATATTATTGATATAAATAAAAAATAACAACGGCCCCAAAACCGTTCCTTGCGGTACACCATATTTAACACTAACAGGCTCGGACAGAAAGTTCTTATAACATACACGTTGAACTCTATTATCCAAATATGATTTAAACCACTTTAAAAAAGTATGCTTGATTCCTATATGCTCTAATTTACTAAACCAAATATCCCTACCTACTGTTTCAAAAGCTCTCCTAAAATCTAGAAAAACGGATAATACATAGTTATCACAGTCGATGGTCCTAAGAAAATCATGACAAATACCAACAACAACAGACTCGACTTTTTTTGTACGAACAGACGATATCACAAAAACTACTTTATCGATATGGTCAAAATGCTGATCATTTTTTGTCTTAGCCCAAATAAACATATACCTAGAAAATCTTTGTAATAAATGTGTTATTACTGGGTGTTCTATTACCTATTTCACTTACTATGGATAATGTCGACTTGCCATTGAAAACTATTAATACTGCTTTCGTTGGTCCCACCAACAGAGGACCAACCATGGACAGTTGTTTCATGCTTATTGACAATCATCAGCAAACCGCACTGGAAGGTGCGAAGCGAAACCCGGCTACACGACAGCAGTAGTCCGATATGGAGGATCCCATTTTTGATCCCGCCAAGTGCGAGATTCGTTCCATAACTCGTTTATTGCACGCCAAAGGGACTCCATCCGTGAATATTGATAGTAAGTAAGAAAAAGACGAAATCGGTAGATAGTGTTGTTGAAATTCGGTAGATTCACAGACAAAATCAGTAGGAGGAAAAAATCAGAGCCATCACAAAATCAGTGGTGTATCAAGGGCCTTGGCAACACGCAGCGCTGTCTCTGAAAGTAGTATATTTTTTTATTGCCCGTGTACAAACAACACAGGTTTTTAGAGGGCATCTTTCCATGAAACAATATCAACTTTTTTATTATATCTTGTTCAATGAGCTTACTCTTCAAACTCATTTGCAACCATCGTGAAAACTTCTTTTCCCATTCTTGTCTGTAAAATTATGAATAGTTTTCTGTTTATTTTTGAACTTGAAGCCTTATCAGCTAAAATCTTAATTTATATTCAACTAAAAACGCGAGCTTTGGTTTCTTTATTGCTTGTCCGGTGATACGGACGCACAAGAACTAATACAAGAAAAGCAAATTGTGCGCGCATGTATGATTGAATTGGGGCATAAAACTACATAGACTACAATTATTTTTCTCAATTATTTTAAAAATCGTGGAAAATGAGGACGTTCTCGGTATTTCGGTAAGGTCTCATTTCGGTAGAACTGCTGTAAAATCGGCAGGTTCGGCAACGCTGGGCGCAACGAAACACGCCCGGGAGAAGTCCAGAGGAGGGAACACTAGCGTGCAGTGTTGCCGGATTTTTTCCCGCACCTTCCAGTGTGAGAGAGAGCTGGAGCTGTCTGGGGACTTTTTTGTGAGTCAATCATCGTATTACCATAATCGCCAAGTGCTAGAGTGAAAAAACCTATTTTCTGTTTCAGAATCGAAAACCTATTCGATACCAACGCAAACCTATCCGTAAACTTCAAATCAGCAACAATCGCGCCGAACAGTTTGGTGACTATTCCCATCTACTTCCACCCCCTAACTGTGGGAAAACACCACTTTGCTATCCCGTTTGACGTCAGCACTTCCAAGTATATCGTGAATGTTAATGGAAATGCTGTCAAACTTAACATCCAGCTGTTTGACATTAGGGATAAGTTCATCGATATTGGTAGTATGAAAGTTGGAAGTATCAAGAAACGGGCGATTCAGGTTAGAATATACATGGGTAGAGTGAAATGATCTCGGTCTGACAATAAAATACTACAGTTTTCCAGTTAAAGATGATTTTATTTTTTTACCTATTTTCCTACAACTTCAAAACACTTGGCCATCGCTTTACAAGTTTAAATTGACATCCGTAACTTTAAGAATTATATCTTTACTGGATGCTCAATATGTAAAGATATGTCAATAGGTTATATTTTGTAAAGTAGGCATGCTCTTGATGGTGTAGCACCTGGTTTTAATTACGAGGGTAAGGTGAAAAGTTTTCCGCCTGACAATGGAAGATGTTTTATTTCGTCATCTCAAGGCTAAACTATTGTGCCTTTATTTCCTCACAGTACAAATAACGTGATTCCCTTTAAATGTCGAAGTGCTATTTCTCGCAGATAGATTACTTTACTGCACAGTTCCTCACCAGACATGGCTGTTTTGGAATCTACCTAAAGCAGATAGGAAAGAGAGAATACGCGAACTGTACGTACGAGTACTACTCTGACAGGGAGGATGTTCCTGAGCATCTACTCGGATGCAGTAGATGGATTGAGTGCCAGCAACAACTGAGAGCAACGCTCGGCGAGCTCTCTTCTGACTATCTGAATGTGATGAGAAAGGCAGACGGAAAAACCAATAATATGATTCTCTGTTTGATGCGTATGTACTTACAAATACCTTTGGAGCTACCCACCATGTCGAAATGCTGTAATCCGTGGTGGGATGCATGCCGAACGACTAAGGGGGTTTAGTGAGTATGCCGTTTTTGGAGGCACTCACACTTCGGACAGAAAAGGCTGCAAGAAAGAATCCGTTAAACTTTCCTGCCTGAGAGTCGATTAAAAGCTTTCCCCTCTCTAAAACAGTTTCAGAGCAAACTAATACATACAATTAAGCTACAATATATTTTTATTTAGGTACTGAATAAAACACCTACTGAAATGGATGTATACTTTGCCTTGTGGGATCATTTGCCTATGCGTAAACGACCTCAAGAAAAGGCTGAGATGATACTGAAATTACCAGAAGTTCCTGAACCCGTCGTTAAAAAGTAAGTCTCATATTAAAAAAATATTCTTTACTATTCCTTTTGTTCAAAAATATAAAGGGTGTCCCAATAGGTACTGAGATTTCAAGCATAATGGGTAATTAGGGAGCTTTCCGGCACTGAAAATAACTTTTAAGCTGATTGTATCTATGAAATGATTGCATTTAAATATTTCAGAACAGATGTATGTATGTATGTTGAATCATCATCAAGATTTAGTGGCGGATCCAGGGGGTATCCTGCGAGTCCAGATCCCCCCCCCCCCGAGATACTCGAGTTTAAAAAATTCTAACGTATTTTTCAATATGCTGAGGGCACAATCTGATCTATTTAATTCATTTGTTATACATGCTCGTAGTCAACTTTTTCTGAAAGGGGCTAGTTAACTTATATCGAAACTAATTTTTCATGAACTAATGATAGCGTTGCGTGAGAAGGGCAAAGACAACCTACTTGACGCCATTTTTTATATACAATGCTTTATGTGATATTTGCCTAATAGCGCATTTCATTATACTTTTAAAGTAGGGAGCGTTGCAATCACTGGCTCCTATAAAAATAGTGAAGTGAATATTCAAAAATGAATTTTGGACATCCCCGATGTCAGATACTCTAGGTCTATGGACAATAGATAAATTTCAATATATATCACTAATTTTTTTGTATTTAAGGGGAAACGGCAAAATCAAAAAATATAAAGGTAGTGAAGATAAGAAGAAGGGTAAGTCGAAAGAAGAAGGGAATACAGAAAAAAGTTCAAAATCAACCAAGAAGGACAAAAAGAAACTCAAAGAAGATGAAGATAGGCATAGCAGATCTGGGTCTGATCAGCTTTTTGGGTAAGCACGAAATGAAGATGTTTAGTATGCAAACTGTTATATCAGTGTTTTATTATTTATAACATAGGCCAAAGGTGAACTTGACCGAACCTCCAAAAATGGACATGTCGCAGTACGTGAAAATATCACCAAAGACGAGCATTCATATGCTGCCTGATAAAAAATACGAGATCATCGTAGAATTCAATGCCAAACAACGATTGGAAGAGTTTGTAGAAAAGGTATGATTTATCATATTCCTTGGTGCTCCAAAACTGAAATTTGGCGTTACATGTTTAACCTAACACTTATTGATGTCAGCAGCTGAAACTGACATTGTGGACCTTTGCATTAAAATCACTAGATAAAAATCGGCTTTGCTTGTTTAACCTAGCGTTAATGTCACCACCTAAAAGTTGACATCACTGTTTAACTTAATGTTAAAGTCACTAACTGAAAGTCGAAACTACTTTTTTAACGTAGCACCAAAGTTAGCAGTTAAGAGTCGGTGTTTCCATAATAAACTAGCATTAAAATCACCAGCTAAAAGTTGACATTACTGTTTAACTCAATGTTTAAGTCACTAGCTAACAGTCGGAGTTACTTTTTTAACCTAGCACCAATGTCAGCAGCCAGAAGTTGTTGCTATATTAACCTAGCATTAAGATCACCAGCTAAAAATCCGTCTCTTGTTGAATATAATATTGAAGTCATCAGCCAAAGCCAGCGTTTCTTGTTTAACCTAGTGTTAAAGTAACTAGCTAAAAGTCGGAATCACTTTTTAACCTAGCAAAGTCGCCAGCTAAAAGTCAGAGTCTCTTCTATAATCTAGAATTCAAATCACCAGCCAAAAGTTCGCGTTTCTTGTTTACCCTAGTGTTAAAATCGCTAGCAAGAAGTAGGAGTTACTTTTTTAACCTAGCATCGAAGTTACCAGCTAAAAGTCGGTATTGCTAAATTAACCTAGCATTGAAATCACTAGCTAAAAGTCAGCGTCTCTTGTTTAATCTGGTATTAAAGTTACCAGCTAAAGTCGGCGTTTCTTGTTTAACTTAAATTAAAATCACTACCAAAAAGAGTTACTCTTAACTTAACATCGAAGTCACCGGCTGAAAGTGGGAGTTCCTTTTTTAATCTAGCATCGAAGTCACCAGCCAAAGAGCGAAGTTCCTTGTTTGATCTAGTATTGATGACATAACCAGCTAAAAGTCAGCGTTTCTTGTACAACTAGTGTTAAAGTCCCTAGCTAAAAGTTAGGGTTACCTACTTTTTTAACCTAGCATCAAGTCACTAGCTAAAAGTGGGTGTTGCTAAATTCAGCCAGCATTAAAATCACCATCTAAAATTCTGCGTCTCTTGTTTAACCCAAGATTGAAGTCACCAGCTTAAACTTGGCGTTTCTTATTCAACTAGTGTGAAAGTCACTAGCTAAAAGTCGGAATCACTTTTTAACCTAGCAAAGTCGCCAGCTAAAAGTCAGATTCTCTTCTATAATCTAGCATTCAAATCACCAGCCAAAAGTTCGCGTTTCTTGTTTAGCCTAGTGTTAAAATCGCTAGCAAGAAGTAGGAGTTACTTTTTTAACCTGCTAAATTAACCTAGCATTGAAATCACTAGCTAAAAGTCTCTCTTATTTAACCTGGTACTAAAGTTACCAGCTAAAGTCGGCGTTTCTTGTTTAACTTTGTATTAAAGTCACTAGCTAAAAGTCATAGTTACTTTTTTAACCTAGAGTTACAGTCACCAGCTAATAGTCGATGCTGCTATATTAACCTAGCATTGAAATCACTAGCTAAAAAATCAGCGACTCTTGTTTAATCTGGTACTAGAGTGACCAGCTAAAGTCGGCGTTTATTGTTTAACTTAATATTAAAATCACTACCAAAAAGAGTTACTCTTAACTTAACATCGAAGTCACCGGCTAAAAGTAGGAGTTACTTTTTTAATCTACCATCGAAGTCACCAGCCAAAGGTCGACGTTCCTTGTTTGATCTAGTATTGATGGCATAAACAGCTAAAAGTCAGCGTTTCGTGTACAACTAGTGTTAAAGTCCCTAGCTAAAAGTTAGGGTTGCCTACTTTTTGACCTAGCATCAAGTCACTAGCTAAAAGTGGGTGTTGCTTAATTAACCTAGCATTGAACTCACTAGCTAAAAGTCAACCTTGTTTAATCTGGTACTAAAGTGACCAGCTAAAGTCGGCGATTCTTGTTTAACCTAGTATTAAAAGCACTACGAAAAAGTCGGAGTTACTCTTAACTTAAAATCGATGTCATCAGCTAAAAGTATGAGTATCTTTTTTAATCTAGCATCGAAGTTACCAGCTAAAAGTCGGCGTTTCTTGCTTAATCTAGTATTGATGTCACCAGCTAAAAGTCAGCGTTGCTTGTACAACTAGTGTTAAAGTCACTTGCTTATGGTTACTTTTATAACCTAGCGTCAAAGTCACTAGCTAAAAGTCGGTATTGCTAATTTCACCCAGCATTGAAATCACCAGCTAAAATTCGGCGTCTCTTGTTTAACCTAGTATTAAACTCACCAGCTTAAAGTTGGCGGTTCTTGATTAACCTAGTGTTAAAGTCACTAGCTCAAAATCAGAGTTACTTTTTTAACCTACCATCAAAGTAACCAGCTAAAAGTCGGTGCTGCTAAATTAACCTAGCGTTGAAGTCACTAGCTAAAAGTCGACGTCTCTTGTTTAATCAGGTAGGGCAGAGCGGGGTCACTTGATCAGGTTTTTGTTCGAGCTAGTGTAGGATCCATCATAAGAAGTAAATAGTAAAGAGTTATTCTCAAATCAGTAATTTATTCACTTGACCGCATTGTAGGATCAAAATACTTTGGCTATCCTTTGTTTAATTTGATAAATTCACATTATAATCAGATGATGCATACGGCTCATTAGACCCCACAGGCGGGGTCAAGCGGTCCACCCAAAGGGGATACTTGAGCTATTAAGTTATTCAAAGCTTAACACATTAAAGCATCTGATATATCGAAACAGAAACATAACAAAATTTCTAAGACTCCTCATAGGAAGAAAAACAATGGGTTATTAAAATCTTTGCACGTAACACATATAAGATACCTAACCAAATTTCTAAGGCTTCTCATAGAAATAGAAACAAACAAATAAACTATAAAAGTGATTTAGGTAATTAGTTTAGTCACTGTCACAGTTTATGCAAACACAGACAGTACTGACACCAGAACTGCACTTGATGTGAGCCCATGCTCGGCAACTAGAGCACTGTACCCATTCTTCTACAGGAAGACTGTCTGAATAGGACTCAGTGCACACTAAACAAAAACAATCATCCTCTTCAGTGTCTTATGGAAGTTGTATTTTTTACATCTTTCTTCTTATTTTTCCAACGACTTCATTTCACATCATTTTTGTTCGGAGTGTCTGTCAAAATTGCATAACTTCTCTTTTTCCTTCGTGTTTGTTGCTTACTGGGCCCTGATTTCGGTAATGGTCTCACAAGCTCCGGTGAAAATGAAATATCTCTAGACGAAGACGGCATAGCATTAAATTGTCTGGTACTTTTAGGTTATATTTAACGGCACATTTATAAGAAAGGCCACGTATATCTGATGGAGTTAAACCATAAAATATTGATGCCATCTATATGAAGTCTTTATATTCGTTCTTGTTGAACCGAAAAAACTTGGCGTGGGTTTGAATACTCCATGAACACATCAGAATCAGGGGTAGCTTTTAATTTATTGACATACCTCGAAAGCGTGGTTCTGTCTATTTTATTATCATTAGCTGCTTTACGCATACTTGTTCCATTTATGACTTCACTTACAGCACTAATATTAGCTCGGTCTGTTTTTCTTTTGTCAGTTCGCATTCTAAAATGAAAAAACATTGTTGAAATATTTAAGCATACGACATAATTATCTAGCATTAATTTGCATAGTATTTAACCATATTACATATAGCATGTTATAAATCGTGCAACCAAAAATAACAACAAATATAAGGGGTCACTTGAATATGGCTCATTCAACCCCCTTCGTTTTGGCTAAAATGACCCCTTTCCCACATTCCTTTTAATATGGCTTTATAATAATTAAAAACCTTTTGGAAATAGTTTAGTTTTGTAGCAGCTATTAACAGTAACAATATCGAAAGCAAAATACACTTACTTGAAAACCATACGATGATACTCGTAGTTAATCAGAAGGTGGTAGACAAGGACCAGTCGACCGAGGCAGTACCACCCGATAGCTTTTCCCAGGGTGTCTTATAAATGTCCGCATGTTTCCACACCTAAGCTATGCAGTCGGTTATCTACCAAAACAAAGAAATTAATGATGATGGATCCCTCGAGCACTAAAAACTCCGGACGTAAACTCACTCCACTCTCGGAATGTCCGGGTGGAGGGTGGGCTCGAGGGAACAACATCGAAGATAAAATTTGTTTTTCGAACATCTGCGGGATCAACAGCAACATTGATGCTGTTCATCACTACCTGCAATCCAATCGTCCCGCCGTGCTTTTCTTGGCGGAGACAAAAATCTCAGAGGCTGCACCGATTAACCATCTCAACTTCCCAAACTACGAGGTGCACTCCAATCTGAGAAAGAACGGGGGAGTTGTGGCTTTTGTCCGCAGCAGTCTTTCCTGCTCCAGGGATCTTTCTTTGGAATCAGACCAGAAGGACATTCTGTGGCTTCGCCTCAACTCCAAAACATCACCCAAATTTATTTGCTGCCTTTATCGCTCTCCCTCGAACCATAACTGGGATGACCTACTCGAATACCTCGCCGTCCAGATCGACTTCCTGAACATCAATCACCCCGCTTCAGAGGTAGTTCTTCTCGGTGATTTCAATGCCCATAATGAGCTTTGGTTGGGCTCAAATAAGACCGATGCAGCAGGTCGTGCAGTCGAAGCGTTCGCTCTTACTCAAGGGCTGACCCAGCTGGTGACGAGCCCTACTTTTTTCCCCCGCGTCTCGTCACACGCCAGTAGCCTGCTGGATCTCTTTCTGACCACGCATCCTGCCCCTTACAGCACTGCCGTCCTGTCCCCCCTGGGTAACTCAGATCACGGTGTTGTGGAGGTTAGGTTTCGGTCAGAAGCCGCTGTGGCCGCAGAAACTCGCACAGGCCGCAAAACTTGGCATTACGGACATTGCGACTGGGAGGGGCTCAGAGACTTCTTCTCTAGCTTTCCTTGGAGAGATGTCTGTTTCACTGACGCGGATGCGTCGACTATCTGTTCTTCAATAACCGAAATTATCCACGTCGGAATGGAGGAATACATCCCTCACACAGTGAAAGTTCCTAAACCAGGGTCCAACGGCTGGTTCAACAAATCGTGTGACACTGCTCGCCAGCAGAAGATCAAGGCCCACAGAACTTACTTACAAAACCCCACTGTAGAGAACAGACAAGCCGACGTCGAGTCCAGAAACAAATACGTTATAACGAAGCGGTTCGCAATGCCAAAACCCAGCATGATATAAAAGTTAGGCACAGGGTAATGTCGCAGCGCAATGGCAGTCGGTCTTTCTGGACGCTGGCCAAGCAGATTGAAAAGAACTTCTCACACAGTAGCCTTCCACCACTTACGTGTCAGGATGGAACTATTGTATTCGACTCAAAGGCCAAGGCGGAAGTGCTAGCCAAGATCTTTGCTGCCAACTCCACCATGGACGTCCCCACCAACGCCCAAGTGCCGTCAATTCAAAGGGTTCCCCACACTATGCGGGAGGTAACATTCAGGCATAAGACCGTAAGACGAGTGCTCTTGTCGCTCGACATCAACAAAGCTTCTGGTCCGGACTTGATTCCTGCCATTGTACTGAAGAGATGTGCAGCTGAGCTTGCTCCAGTTCTTTCGCGTCTCTTCCAGATATCTTATGAATCCGGCACCTTCCCAGAAAACTGGAAATTTGCTCATGTACAGCCCATCCCAAAAAAGGATCTAAAACCGACCCTTACAACTACAGGCCTATAGCTCTGCTTTCTGTTATTAGTAAAGTGATGGAGAGGTGCATAAATCGCGAGCTTCTGGACTACCTCGAACGTCACAGCTTGATTAGCGACACGCAGTACGGTTTCCGGCACCAACGATCCACAGGGGACCTCCTAGCTTACGTCACGCAACTGTGGAGTAAACTCATCCAGTCTCATGGTGAGGCTCATGTCGTTGCCCTTGACATCACGAAAGCGTTCGATCAGCTGTGGCACGCTGCCCTCTTGAGCAAACTTCCATCCTACGGCCTCCCAGAAAAGCTTTGCAGATGGGTGGCTGACTTTATCTCTGGCCGCAAGATATCCGTCGTAATTGACGGATTCTCCTCCTCATCCCACAACGTCAACGCGGATGTTCCCCAGGGATCGGTCTTGGCTCCAACACTGTTTCTCTTACATATCAACGACCTCCTTTCCTGCACGATCAACCCAATCCACAGCTTCGCTGATGACAGCACTCTACATGCAGGAATTCAGAGTGACAAGCCGATCTCTGCCGCTGAGCTGGAAAAAAGAAGACTAGCGACGACTTCTTCTCTGACAAGAGACCTGGAGGCTATCACTGCTTGGGGACGCAACAATCTTGTACAGTTCAATGCTTCCAAAACACAGTACTGTACTTTGACGAACAAAAAGCGTCCTAGCGCTCATACAGTTTCGATGGACGGTCGAGTCCTACCAAAGAGCCATTCATTTCGGCTGGTCGGAGTCCAGATCACCGAGGACCTGATCTGGCACGAACACATCTCTTCAATAGCTGCAGCTGCTGGGAAAAAGCTAGGCTATTTGTTTAGGGCTAAGAAGTACTTTTCTCCGCATGACCTCCTCACTCTATACAAGGCCCAGATAAGGCCTAGCCTCGAGTATTGCTCACACATTTGGGGTGCTGCCGCCCCGACTACATTGTCCATGCTCGATGCTGTCCAGAGGAGGGCGGTCCGACTGATCGATGACTCTTCTCTAACAGACAGTCTCGGGACTCTTTCACACCGGCGGGCCGTCGGCGATCTAGCTCTTTTCTATCGCTACACCAACGGGCTTTGCTCCTCAGAGCTCTCTTCCATGATGCCGCCGCGCGATGTGCCTGCCAGACAGACCCGCCTGACTTCGGCGTCCCATCCTAACCGTGTCAAACTTCGTACATCCAGAACTGGCCGATACGACCGCTCCTTTGTCCCGAGGGTGTCTAGATTGTGGAACAAACTACGGGAGGAAGCTTTTCCCAGTTCTGCTAACCTTAGGCAGTTCAAAAATCGTATTAACAAAATTTCTTTGGGATCATCATAGCAGCCGCGGTGTTCCGGCATTTAGGCTTCTGCCTGCGCGGCTGTTTCGATATAAAAAAAAAAAAAAATAATAGCCCAAAATTCAGTAGAGCGATATTTTTTACTTTTGGCGACAAATTTACTACATTACGCACTCACACAAATAACGAACGCCGGCCGGCGACTAAAGCAACGTGGATTTGGTTTGCTCATCCCCGCACTTCATCTAATGCTGCCAGTTTGTATCTAACACGCAGCGTGTGAGTGATACTAGGTTGGCGCACGTGACCTCGCGGCTCAAGACCCCACTCTGCGCTACTAAAGTTATCAGCTAAAGTCGGCGTTTCTTGTTTAACTTAGTATTAACGTCACTCGCTAAAAGTCAGAGTTACTTTTTTACCCTAGCATCGAAGTCACTAGCTAAAAGTCGGTGTTGCTAATTTCACCCAGCATTGAAATCACCAGCTAAAATTCGGCGTATCGTTTAATCTAGTATTAAAGTCACCAGCTTAAAGTTGGCTGTTCTTGTTTAACCTAGTTTTAAAGTTACTAGATAAAAATCAGTGTTACTTTTTTATCCTAGTATCAAAGTAACCAGCTAAAAGTCGGTGCTGCTAAATTAACCCAGCGTTGAAGTCATAAGCTAAAAGTCGGCATCTCTTATTTGATCTAGTATTTAAGTTACCAGCTAAAATTTGGTAACTAAACCAACTAAAGGTCAGACTTACTTTTTAACCCAGACTTGAAGTCACCAGCTAAGAGTCGATGTTGCTGTATTAACCTAGCATTAAAATCACCAGATAAAAGTCGGTGTCTCTTCTATAAAATAGTTTTGAAATCATCAGCCAAACGTCCGTTGTTTTTTCACCTAGCGTGGAAGTCACCAGTTAAAAGTCATAGTAGCTTCTTTAACCTATCATTAAAGTTAAAGTCAGCATCTAAAAGTCAGCGTTGCAGCTTCTATTGTTATTCTCCGACATAATTTATGCTCCATAATTTTGCTGCTGCCTTTTGGATCACCATGCAAATACAATAAACTTATTCTAGATTTTCTACGAAGTTCAAGACTACGCGCTACCCCTATGCGTAGTGAAAGGCTCTTATGTAGCTCCCGAATTTTCTCTGGACAAAAATATGCTAACATTCGCTAATGTTGTTCTGGGATGTCATCGTGACATGTACATCCTCTTGCAAAACACCGGCGATTTGAAAGGAAGATTCAAATGGGTCGTCGACAGAAATGATCAGTTTGAGATACATCCGATGGATGGCGTTATCATGCCTAAGACTGTAATGAAGATATGTATAACCTATCGGCCTAAAGTGATGCAATGTCAGTTAATATTGAAGGTATGTTAACCTCGGTAAAGTGAATATTGATGATTTTTATCCCTGAGGCTCCTCCTTCGCGGTGTCTCAATCATCCCAATCAGGCCCACTATCTGTCCAGCGAAAGATTGCAAAAGAGATCTGACATGCGGACCACTCTTACTAAAGAGGACTCTGGTGCCGAGGTCTATAGCGAATCAGGCACAAAACATATGGAAATTGGTTCTCAGTAGATTTGTCTAAACAGTCAGTATGATAATTTCTTGCTTTGCCGAACAAAAGTGTTCATGGGACCAAAGCAATCCTATGATAGTTCCTAAGAAATATGCGGATAGTTGTCTGATTTGCAAAAATGGTGAATGTGTCGACCAAAAACTCTTAGAATCAATCGATATAATCCACAATCCAGTAAAAATAAAAATTAGGTTTGCAAAAATTCCCACAAAGCTGAAAATTGGTATATACCTCAAATACATCATGATGAATATTATATTAAAACTCCTCATATATCCTTGGAGCGGAACCTTGTTTTATTTTGGTTCAAATGTCAAAAATATCACGTTTTGTCATATTTCTCTGAAAGGGAAAGAGATACTACAAAAATACCGTGTACAAAAATTATGGAGAATTCAATTATCTATAAAGTACTTTTATTCATTAAGTCGCCGTTTATGAGGTCTACTTGGAACAGCAGGCTTAAGTTCAGTAAACTCTTTTCAAGCTTTTGTAATTTTTTTTTGAGCCACCAGCATATTTTTTAAACATCTTTTATGAGTACTGTCGTACACATTATGGCCGTTTTAATACCTCAGTTTATAAAACGACTCATAACGATGAAACACGCCACGAATGCGACGTAGCAGCAGCTTATATATTAAAGAACGCCTAAATAGCGAATCATAAACAAAAGCAGTTGGGCAAGTTCTATAGAGAAATGTATAGTCTACAATTTTGGAGCAAGTTATTTTTGTGGTTAGTCGTACCGTTCCATAGAAATAATAGAAAATGGTAATTTTGTCAAGTAACCTCCGAAAAAATATTTTGCTTTCCAAGGATCGATGGGGAGTTATCATATATTAATGAATTAATAGCATATTGAGTGCCTGAAAAAAAAATTTCAAGTGGGTTCGAATTTTTCCAAAAACACGACTTCCATTTTCGTTCATTTTGAACGCAGCTTAGACAGACCAGGATGTGTTTAAATGGTACGTATCAATACTATTACTTTCTTTTTTGAGTTTTCAAGCATTTCACGTTCAATTGTTTTGTATCCAAATCTTTAATTGCTCATGAAATTATTTCTTAGAAATCTCACTTTTTTGACACACCCTGTATAATTAGTATGTTTTTTAGCAAAAGTCGTACATATCAATGCTTCCACATACATGTTCATATCTAACGGTCGATGGCGCACACATAATACAGGATGTTTGAAAAATAGATGGAGATATTTCAGAAAGTGAGTCCTTGTTAAGAAATATGAAAAAAGGTTTTATAAACATGGGTCCGGAAATGCGTGTTCAAGATACAGGGTGATAAATTAAAAAAATATATATCAATTTCTTGTAGTCATCATGGTACCTATTGGAAAAGTTGCAATAACACTCTTTCCATGAATTTTGGATTTTTTGTCACTTGGTTCAATTTTTTAGCAAACATTAATAAACTAATGTTGTCCAGTGACATGCAATTAAACGGTTTTCATTTTTTCTCGAAAACGAAATGAGATACGAAAAAAATACAAGAGGCGAAGAAGTATTTTTAGATGCTTAATTAAACAATAAATATCGAATTTACAAAAAAGGCAAAGGTATTAATAAAAAAATATTTGTTTTAATTTATCACCCTGTATCTTGAAAACTCTGCATTCCCGAACCCATGTTTATAGAAACTGTTTTTCATATTTTTTAACGAGAAATCATCCCCTTAAATAACCCCGCCTAGTTTTCGAACACCCTGTATATGCCGCATAAGAGCACAAGAGTACCTGAAAATCCACAGATCACTAGATCTCATAAACAGTGTCTCAAGAAATAAAAGTACTTGAACAACAAACTTTTATAGCTAATTGTATTCTCTTCAATGTTTTAGCAAACATTAATAAACTAATGTTGTCCAGTGACATGCAATTAAACGGTTTTCATTTTTTCTCGAAAACGAAATGAGATACGAAAAAAATACAAGAGGCGAAGAAGTATTTTTAGATGCTTAATTAAACAACAAATATCGAATTTACAAAAAAGGCAAAGGTATTAATAAAAAAATATTTGTTTTAATTTATTACCCTGTATCTTGAAAACTCTGCATTCCCGAACCCATGTTTATAGAAACTGTTTTTCATATTTTTTAACGAGAAATCACCCCCTTAAATAACCCCGCCTAGTTTTCGAACACCCTGTATATGCCGCATAAGAGCACAAGAGTACCTGAAAATCCACAGATCCCTAGATCTCATAAACAGTGTCTCAAGAAATAAAAGTACTTGAACAACAAACTTTTATAGCTAATTGTATTCTCTTCAATGTTTGTATAAGGCAGCAGCGGTGGCCGCAGTAGTAGACTCTTCGGCCTCCTGATCCGTGCGCTGTGTGGGTTCGAATCCCGTCCCAAGAGAAATTTTTCTCTTGGCTATGTATGTTGTGATTGTCCGTAGGTGGTAGACGGTCTCTGACTGTCGAACGCAGAGGTACCACCCGGCGGATCTCGAAGGCGGGGCCAGAATGTGTGCATGTTGCATGCACACGTGTTCCCTCGCCAGAGTACGTGTGGCGTTCACCCCTTTCCCCTGTATCACCCTATAGCCCCACCACGGTACCCCATGGGTGTTTAGGCCTTCGTGGTAGTTGGCGTATAAAAAAAGAGGAATATGACCAAACATTATATTTTTTACATTCCAACCCAAATAAGTCAAGGTTCCACTCCAACGATATATGTGGAGTTTTGGTATACAGGGTGTAAACGTTATGATAGTCATTATTTAAATGGGTGATAGAGGGCGTTAAAATAAGCAAAAAGTTTCATATAACATGGGGGTCAAAACGGCATTTTTTTAGAGAAAAGCGACTTTAAAGTAAAATAAAATCTGACAACGCTGAAATGCCAGACGCAAATCACGACGGAACGCAGTGTAAATAAAGGTGGAGTTTATTATTTTTGGCTCTTAGGTATTATTTGATAATGTACTCGTAAAATGCAAGCATTTAAAAAAACGGAATTACCACTAACTGTCTCAGCGCTTCACCTGGTTTGTGAAAGTTTATTGAACATATTAAAAAAATCCACTTATAAGTAGGGAACACAATTTTGATACATATATTGTTTTTCTTTTTAAAACCTACATTGCACTTTTTGTATTTAAAGAAGGTGTTCAAAATGTCGTCCTCCACTTTCCACACAAGCTTCATTACGACGAACCCAGTTTCTTCTTACTCTAGGTCCTCGAAGTTGTTCATTTATTATTTCAGCCGCATTAAAAATTTTTTCGTCAAGTTGTGTTTCAGTTGTTATTGGACCAGCCCCATAAATCATCCCTTTAAGTTCTCCCCAATACCAGAAATCCGTCGGATTGAGGTCAGGAGATCTTGCTGGCCATTTTCGAGGATCAGGAGTATTTCGACCGATCGAGCGATTTGGATAATGTTCATTCAAATACTGAATGACGCCTCTAAAAATGTGTGGTGGCGCCCCGTCATGAAGAAACCACAATTCCTGTCTCGGTTGTAATGGCATGTTGTCTAAGATCTGTTCCAAAAGATCTGGTAGGTTATTGGCTAGAAAGCTAAGGTATCCTTCTCCTGACAACTTTGGGGGTAACTGGAAAGGGCCAATTACCTGATCGTCAAGAATACCCGCCCAAATATTTATTATAAAACGTTGTTGGAAATCACCTTCACGAATGGTATGAGGATTTTCTTGGGCCCACGTGTGAGCATTATGGAAATTTAATATCCCGTCTCGCGTAAAAGTACATTCATCCGTCGCTAGAACGTTTTTAAAAAAATCCGGATTTTCAATGTTTTTGTGCAAAAACCACTGACAGAATGTTAGTCTTCTGGTAATAAGACCTGCACTCGTACATGGTAGGGATAAAGCCAATTTTCCCGTAGGATTCCATGGACTATGGTATGCGATAGTCCTACGCGGCGGCCTAATTCCCGAGTGCTGATATCTGCATTGATTTCCACGATATTTAAAATTTGTTCGTCCTGCTCTACGTAACCTGTCTTTCACGAGTGCGAATATTAGTGGGCTGAACACTTCCTGTATCTCGAAGTCTTTGGTATACTTGCACAAATGTCCTTCTTTCTGGGTGTACCCGTTTGCGAAATCTGTCGCGATAAATTTGAGCTGCAAGATTTGAATTCTGACGAGCTTCACCGTAAACTAAGAACATGTCGGCAACTCTTGATTCGAGAACATTGTAAATAAACACGACGACATACGCGAACAAAAAGAAAACAATACGCCCGATACTATGCTCGACAAAACGATAAAGTAATTTATCTATGCAAAACGATAACTAACCACTGTTACCGTTTGTGATCGATTGCCGGCCCGACAAGAGTGATGAAAGACCGACGCGCTGTTGTCATGTGTGTTTTAAATATTTAATTTAATGAAACTTACTGACTACAAATTTTGGCTTAACTTAGAAAAACTTAATGCCATTTATTTGTTAATTACCCAATTTAAAAACGTTTTAGATTAGATTATGAAAATTAGTAAGATTGTGGTAATTGTGGTCGATATCAAGCACTTTAGACAAAAATCTATTGGCTTTTGGACCATGGGTCATATGAACTTTTTGAATTGTTTTGACCACCCCCCCCTCCCCTATTACCCATTTCAATAATGACTACCATAACATTTACACCCTGTATTATTTATATTGAAGTATTTGAGGTATGCACCAATTTTCAGGTTTGTGGGAATTTTTGCATACCTACAATATTTTTTGCTGTATATGTCTGAGCTAATACTAAAAGGAATATTTCGTTGAAACTCCTTGGCAGGAAGGTGTTGCGATCGGTCATGTTGATCATGACCATGATCCTTACAAGTCATTTTCAAGGCAAGTTGCTGGAGATTTCAGAAAACTCAATAGGACAAGTAGAATTTGACGTGCCATTATTGGATTGTAGACTAACTACTCTCTGCACCAGGGACTTAGAATGTCACAAATTCTATGGAAATACCCGATTTTTTAGCCCAATTTCCGACACATATTCCACGACTATTGCGACACAGCATAAAAACGTCTGGCCTTAGGTAACTTGGGCCATAGTGAGGAGGGAGATAGATTTTTATTACTTGTAAGCCCTCTGAAATAAATCAATAGGATTCATATTGTTTTAGAGCAAATGTATAATAAATGGAGTAACCCATCTACCTCTTACTATCGTTGCTAACTCGGTAAACTGGCCAAATCCTGCAGAACACCTCACTTTTTTTTGTCCAGTAAGGACCGAGACATCCCAAACAGTAACGTTGTACAACAAGTAAGTAAACCTCAAGATAAAGATAAATACTGGGTTTACCCCAATATATGGCTGGGGGTCATGACCTCTGGGCGAATCGAGATCGACCGGCCTCCAATAAGACCACCGCCTCCCATTTCAGGAGAAAATGAGTGAATTCAAGTACTAGAAAAAATAACGAGTAAAAATGAGTAGCCGAAAAAATAATGAGCCTGTGGACATTCTTATGATCCCATTCTAGAACCTTTTTCTTGTGGCTGTGATGATAGAAATTATAAGTGAACATCCAAATACATCATAGGGTTGGGCATCTTCTTGAAAAATGTGTTAGTCAATGGTTCAAGGATAATTTACCAAATACGTTTGGTTTATCTCGTCAGTGCTTATATGGTAGCTAAACGGGTGGAGTGTTTGCCTTGTAGAACGGGAGATGTGACACTGTAAAATCTTTTCGAATTAAACTTTCAAGGGATATGGCACTACTTGAGTAAGAATCCCTAGTAATAGGCGCTTTTTTTTATCAATTTTTAGTACCAAAGTTACATGGAACCTGAAGCCTATTTTGACTGGAGAAGAATTTATAATACCAGACGAAATAATGATTCCTGCGGAGACGAATTATTTGCTTCACATCAGTTACGTTCCAAGAGCAATGAACAGCCCACATAAGGTATACTCCAAATTCTTACACTCCATTCCATTTACTGCTACTTAAGTGTACGTGTAAATAAAAAAATAAATTTTGTTTGAAATTTGAAAACAATGTGCACAATTGAGATTATAGAGATTTTTTCGCGAAATCCCGTAGTGAATGGAGCGGGCACAGATTGAATTTCCTCGTCTTCTCGAAGTTTTGACAGCTTCAAGTTACACCAGGAGCGCAAAATGTTTGCTTTAAGTTCCTTGATAAACTCAGCTGTCCTCTTAGAATCTGAAATAAAAAGACCGATCGTTTTTTGTGCAATGTATATATCAATAAAATCAAGCGTTTGATATGACAAGCGCGGTGATTTAATAATTTAACTCGCTTAATTTTCGGCATTGCGAAGACATATTTTCACCCATCTTAGGCGGTTAACCGTACCACGTCATTTTTTGACATTTGGATGACGTCACATCCGTCTTTCTCTATTCCCGGTATTCGCGAAAATTTGAGTAACACATTTGAGTAACACACCGTGGACTCGCGAAAAAATCCTTATTGTTTCTCGGTCTTCCATTGTCTTTAAGGTTTTTTGATTCACGGCGTTTCGACTGGCGTGATCTATCGTCGTCAGGTCAACTGTAGAACATACACCTTTCTTGACTATTGATACCGTTTGATGACGTGACCGGTGGTTGATTGTGACATGTTCCTCGTTCCGGTTGGTTGAGTTGCAGTTGTTTGATGTTTCTTACAATCAGTTGCCATACCGGTTAATTTACACACTTTTTTGACTTCAGAAAAACTCGACAGTATTGCCTTGCCGGCATATCCTGCCCGAAGTGTGAGAGTCTCCAGAAATGGCATACTCAATAAGACCCCTCAGTCGTTCGCCACACATCCCACCACGGTAATGATTGTAGCATTTCTTCATAGTGGGTAGCGTTGCGTTAGGTGCTCATACTGAAGATATTAGGCACATACATACTTTTATACCTATGTACATGTACAACCGCTCAAATAGAAACCTACTATTGGTTCCTTGATCTATTTTTGTTCTCCGTACCTTACTCAGCATAATTCGCCCTGGCGTATATGCGTGGAAAAATTGTCAGCAATGAGTCTCTCGCCGAGCGTCTGGTAGTTATCCTACCTACCATATTGGAGTAGGTGATTAGGAGTATCCTCCTCTTCATTGTAATATAAGCAATTGGTGTACTCTCTTTCCTACCCTCTTCAGCTCATAAAGCAACCATGTCCTAAGAGGAACTGTGCGGTATAACAATCTATCCGCACCGCTCCCTTGTCAATCCAAGTTTTAATATCTAGAATCAGCTTTCTAGTCCATGCACCATTGTCAGTTACATCCCATCTCTCCTGCAATCTGACAAAAAGTGCCTCTCTTTCGTCGCTTGTAGCTTCGACGCGCTTTTTATAGAGCGAACATCTCTCCACAGCCAGCAAATCAATTGGCGGGATACCAGCTACCACCAGCAGTGCATCGGTCGACACTGTTGAGGATCACATCAAACAAAACGTCGTATAGACTATGGAAGTGCGAGAAACAATAGCTCAAAAAATGATGTATGTTTCCAGGCCACGATATTTTTGGAGCTGCCCGAAGGCCAAGCTCTACTGTATGACTTGACAGGCACAGCTCAGCCCCCGTTAATAGTAGATAACATTACAAGAGAGATACCCTGTAAGAAACTGCATAAAGAAACGTTGAAGGTTGAAAATTGGTTGAACAGACAGCAAACATTCACGGTGAAAACTGAGTTGATCAGTACACCTACGATTAAAAGTATTTACAGGGTGACTGGAAAGGAAGTGATTGCACTACCACCAAATGCGACGAAGAAATACAATTGGAACATTTATGTTGTTAACGAGGAACCACTGAAATTCAGGGTATGTTTGAATTTTGTCCTCGTAGCACTGTTTGAAGACGCAACAATCTGGTAGAGGAAAGGAACCAAATTTGACACAAGCGCCTAATTTGAGACAGTGGTGTAACTTTGTATCTTTGTAGCACCGTCTTCTAGTAATACCAAAAAGTTGTCAACTAAGTGTGTTTACAGTTTAGTTTTGCACATGGTTTGCTGTGACATCACAACTTGTTACTTCTTGAGAGTTAAAAATATTTTTAACAGTGCGAGAAAAGTGATTACTAAAATTAAGGTAAGTTATTTAAAACAATTGTCTGATATAAATTTAGTAGCTTACAAATACCATTTTAGCTTCATTTACAATATTGTGACTTTATTAGGTATATAACCTAAATATGCTTGAGTAAACTTTTTAACAGAAAATTCCTAATTTTAGACTATCTCAAATTAGGCCCCTGTATCAAGATGCAGATACCTGGAAACACGAGAATAAGGAGATGGATTATTTAAAAGCCTCAAAAGGATTCGGATAGATACCTTCCCCATCCAGTTCAAGTTCAGAATGCAGCGGAAGCCTTAAGTTGGATGATTCATCTTCAGACGGTTCGATTTTCCGAACATGAGAAGGGTGAAAATGGACAAAATACAGCCATTGTAGTAGATGGGCACATGAAGATTGTGAAGAGATTACCAATAAAATTTTCCTTTGCACTTTTTGTAAAAGAAAGGGATTTTTGAATAGTATCTCAAATTAGAGAACCATCTGTAAATTCACAAAAATACTTATTTTTTTTAAAATATACTACTTGTCTGTAAAAAAATACATTTAATATTTTTTTTTTATTTTAGAGTATGCTAGGAGCATCAAATCGCAAGTTTATTTAAAAATATACGCTCGTTTAAAACAAAAAGTACTTTATTTTTCCTTTTCAATAAAAGTATCTCAAATTTGGTTCCTTTCCTCTGTAGTTTAATGCTTCCAAAACATTAATGTGCGTTAACGTTATTATAAATTATAATGACATGCCTGTAGTGAACATGGATTTGACCTTAACCGTGACGTAGAAGGTTATGGTCAAAGTCCACATGCCTATGTACTTACTATGCACAGGCGAAAGACCGGACCTCCTCTCGTGTTGATAGAGCTTCCCCATATCGCCCGTTCCCAGTAACTCACTAATTGACTTGACGTTGACCGTAGCCTTCAAGATCACGGTCAAGGTCACATCCATGTGCACCACTAGCAAGTCTGGGATAAATCTTAGCAGAACATTTTACTTTATCTCTGTCAACATTACAAACTATAATAATTTCCTCCACCTTAAAATTTTGCGTTTCTAAAATGCTCAGTAACTACATGGAAGTAGATTTTTTATTATTTCCATTTTCCTGGTGAAAAGTATGATTTGCTACTTTCAAAAAATTTCCTGACCTTGATTAAAACATTCAAGGTCACTGTCAAGGTCACGTCCATAATCGTCATTGGCCACTCTGGAAGATATCTTTATAGCAGTATGATTTGCTTCTCTGATAATATTGCTTTGAAACTTATGTTGTCCTACCACATCTTATCTGATTGGGAACTTCTTGGGTTCCCTAGACGATTGGAGGAGTGGTTTCTGAGGGTTGGCTCCATCAGAATTTTTTATTGCCTTATTTAAAACTATCTCTATGCAAAATTTCAAATAATCTAGCGGTAGCCATTTTCCATGAGAAAACTGCGGGATTCTTTTCAAAATTCACCGCGTAATTGTGATCTCGAAAAGCACTGAGTTTCTGGTTAAATCGAGTGCAAAGATTTCAAATCCAATATGATGCAAGCTCATAGAGAAAATTGTTTTTTTTGTGATTTGATATTAGTCAACTGTTCAAATTTGCCAGCTTAGTAATTTTTCCACTACGTACTTTGTTCCTTCTACAGGTTACTACACTATGGTCTACGATCTCCCTAAACTTTGTTTTTTAAAAATGTATGCTACTTATAGGTAACATTCACTAATCCAGACACAAAAGAATATCTTTGCTACGAAATATCCCTGAAACTTCTACCAAGCGGACCTTTGGATGCCATATACATAGAGACGTGCCTTCGGGAACTGAAGAAAGTCACGATTAAACTTGAGAATCCTATCAACATACCGGTCACATTCTTCAACGAATGTCGCCTGCCAGATATCTTGTACAAGAAGGTTGTTACTATTCCACCTCACAGCACGGTAAGAAAAACTGTTTTGACTTTGACTTTATTGGGGTTAAGGGATGTTTATATTGAGTCGATGTCTTAGGAAACGTTTAATTAGACGATGAACAGAATGATGGTGATCAGAATATTTCACCAGATACCCAATCCAATGAAGAAGTTTCGTGACAACCAGACTCAAATAAGTAATAATAATAATAATAGTAATAATAAATCGTCTTTATTTAGGGGGCGAAGTTAGACATAATGCTACTCTGCCACTTAACCCCAGTAGTAACATACCTAGAAAATATCGATGACATATTATCGATTTATCGTCTTATCTTTAGAAAGAAAAAAGGCATACACGTGGTAGTGGCGATCAATCGTCTTCCGCCCAGTTTTTTTTCTCAGTTCTTAAGTTACTGCATGGTTATTATGAGCGAAATTACAAAAAAAGTTTGCTATAATTATAACTGTATTGCTCTGGATGAAATTGAGTGTACAAAATGTGAGGACCGCACTTTATGAACAGGTAACAACTGAGAAAAGGTCAAAGAATAATAATCTGGATCTTGCCGTACCACCTTTTGATCGATTTTTTTTAATCTCCTCCGCTCTTAAATCATTACAAAAAAAGTTTTATCGCTGTGACATTTTTTTCCTGATTTCTCGGATCCTTCGGATCATTATAAACAAGAAATATCTTCAGTAGTAGTAGTAGTGGTGGTGGTGGTGGGAAGACGAAGCCCGGCAACTAGGCCACTTTTGACCCTTTTTGCCGACCCCGTACTACCAACACTGTGCTACTACTCCACAAGCCATCTATTTGTAACTGATTATTTATAGAATAAACTAGCTCCAGCGATGAGTTGTAGATATAGTTAATATTGCACCTACATACGGGGATAGACAACACACAACACAACATTCATGGCACGGAATTAACTTCCAACCCGGAGATTCGAGCCCGGGTCGCTAACCACCGGCTACCGAGGCTCTTAGTAACTTTTCTTTGAAGTTGTTCGTTTCCGATATGTCTGAAAAACCTTGAAAACGCTCATCTTCAATGATTAAAAGCTTGGGTAAAAATTATTATTTTTGAGATATCTAAATTACAGCTAAAACCTTCCTGAGCAAGACTCCAAAGTATATTTCAAGATTAGTTTATTTTAAAGCCAAAATTAGCAAAGTTACTTTGTATTTCATTATGCAAATGTGTAAATAATGACTGTCAGAATAAAAAATGGCGTCAAGCAGATTAAGTTAAGACTTCGTATGCCTTTGTTGGGGGTTTCAAAGAAAATGGATGATACAGGTCGTTTCAAAAGGCTAAATCGAATCGTGATTAGGTAGGTTCTCTTAAGTACAAAGAAGCTTCGACGTCAGCATTTTAAACTATATAAGGCATATCTATCATATCTGTTTCCATGGCAGATGTAGGGAAAATATATGACTTAATGAGCCGTATTCTTAAAACAAAGGATATCCTTGTACTTGCAAATTTTGTAGGAAGTCCTCCAGATGGTATTTATAATAATTTGAAGTAAATGGTTTTGCTTTTTGAGATAAGCATATCCTTCAAAGCAGTGACATAAGTAAATGGATATTCATAATCTTCACCTTATAGTTGGTATAGGAAGCATATCCTTCAAAAATTCTGAGTCCTGTCAGTAGCAGACTCAACTTCGTAACGAAAGGTGGTCAAACGATGATGGCGGAAATTGTGGATGTTAGGGATGTTAAAACGTACAAACCTCGATTGCAAATGCAAATGGCTTGCGGACAGATTTTTAGTTGAGAATGAGGAAACTCGAGGAGGAGCACTTTCATGTATTCACAAAGTGGAGATATATATCTCGGTGACCCTGGATATCAGCAAGGTATTGGTCAGAAACTTGGTGTTAGTCAAGCAACGGTATCTAGGACTGTGGGTAGAGTTGTGAACAGCATAGTTGTACAGTCGAACGAATGGATCAAGCTTCCAACTACCAACCATGAACTGATGGAGGCCAAGCGGATATGGCAAAGTATGTATAAATTTCCGACAGCAATTGATGTAATTGATTGTACACATATAGGAATCCTGAAACCAAATCGCCATGGAGATGAGTATATCAACCGAAAAGGGAAACCTACTTTAAATGTGTTGATGTCAGTTGGCCTGGATCAGTGCACGATTCACAGACTAGATCAAAACTAATAAATAAAGCAAATGTTGTAATACTTGGCGATGACGGTTATGGTATTGAGCCATGCCTTATGACTCCCTTCAGAAATCCTACTCCAGGTGCAGAAATAAATTATAATAAGCTTTTAAAACAAGAAAGAGTTATAATTATGCTCTGTTTCGGCCAACTGAAACGCCGGTTCCCTATCCTACAGTATGTTTGCCGCGTAAAGTTGGAAAATCTGCCGAAAATAATTATTGCTTGTATTGTACTCCATAACGTTGCGAAGAGCTTGGGCGATCCTGACTCTGAGTTAGTTGAACAAGACCCAGATGAAGATGGAGGAAATCATGAGAATGACGAACTTCCTTTCCGCCAACTAGGTCAACAAATAAGAAGAAACTATGGAGGTACCAAGAATGGACACTTGGTACCTCCACCATGTCAACGCTCCAGCTCACCACTGGACTGAAACTTATTGAGCACCCTCCTTACAGTCCAGATCTTGCTCCCTGCGACTTTGCACTGTTTCCGCATGTAAAAATGAAGCTAAAAGGGAAAACGGTTTTCTAGCGATGAGGACCTTCTGAGGTCGGCGTGTGCCGCACTCCCCGGTGAAACTTGGCAGAGCTGGTTCAAGAACTGGTTTTGGCGGATGGAAAAGTGTATTGATGTGGTGGAAATTACTTTGAACGAAGTCAATAAACAAAGCTGTATTGCAAAACTTTTATGTATTAGAAGGAATCGACTATATCCTTTACCTCAAAAACGCCTTCTGATTGCTCGAATTTAGCCCCAGTAGCAAATTTTGATCAATGCGGGTCAATAAAAAAAGGACTTAAGACGTTCTTTGAGGATTGAGTGCAGTTTGAGGAATAATCTCACCTTGGTTTTTATACAAACAATATTTATTTTCAAAATTTTGAACGTTCTGTATCGTAACAGTAATTATCAAAAGTTTGCGTACCCATAAATCTGCACGATTTTCGAAATTTTCAAAATTACCATGATATTCAAAATTTTCTAGATTTTGAAACTCCTGAAAATTTTGCATTTTGTGAAAAATGGAGATTTGGAAAATTCAGAAGGTTTTGAAATTTTGCGTCCGAAATTTTTGAAAATTTGAGAAGTAATAACAATTTTGAGGATTTAGAAAGTTCGAAAAATTTTGACGATGTGTTAACTGATGTGGAAGGATCACATTCTCTCTCATGATAAATACTGACGGTTCACATTAAATACTGATCGTGTGACATTTGCCTGAAGGCGATTCTATTTGGCAACACGTATTCATCCTGTAGAATTCGTTTATCAACGATATTAAATATTATATTTTTTCTGTTTCCAGCATAACTTGGAATTGTGCTACTTTCCAATAAAGGTAGATAACTCTCGATGGAATTTTGAGGTGAAAAGTGATGAGCTGGGAATGTTTATATACTCCTTGAACGTAAAAGCTAACCCTCCACTTGTAGAAAAGGTTGTCCGTTTCGAGACAGAACTAGGAGAAAAATCTTTTGCTTCAGTTAGCTTGCGTAATAATTTCATGGTACCTGTGGAACTCAATGGAAAGGTAAATGTAAAAAGGAATTATATCAGTTACTATTACGGGATATTTTCCTAAATTTTTATATCAACGAAATATCTATATTTGACAACAAGTATCTATACAGGGTGTCCGCAAAGTTGGTGTTTTCCTTTACACGACGTGTAGATCTTGAAAACATAAGCAATTTTTCTTAGTACCATATACACCAATGTCTTAAGGGAACCGAGATAAAGGGCTCTGGAACATCAAAAATATCTGAATACCGACCTGTAGCCGCGACCCGCGACATCACCGAGTGGTACAAGGTCACTGGCTCAACCCGACGACAGAACTGGGTCGGGGTCAGTGTGTCAGGTCAGTATGCAACCTTCAACCGACGGTTACGGTCACGCGTGTAGAGGTAAACGAAACCGTAAAATCGATTGCGTTTCAAAAAAAAAAAAATGGCACACTCATACACCAATAATGAACTCGTTGATATGTTGTTAATTTATGGCGAATGCCTTCAAAATGCTACAGAGGCTTCGCGAGTGTATGCATACCTGGTCCAGAGAGTCAGGGATATGGGCCATTTGGAGGAATTTCGAGGTAGGCACAGTGGGAGGCCTAGACAACCACGAATGGTGCAAGTTGAGGAAGAACTACTGAATCGCGTAGACGAGAATCCCTCAACAAGCACTAGATACGTGGCTAGAGGAGTGCAAGTATCAAAAACTAAAGTGTGGCAATCGCTGCGTGAAGAGGGGCTGTATCCGTTTCACGTCCAACCTGTACAAGCCCTTCAACCTGACGATTTTCCAGCAAGAGTGCGGTTTAGTGAGTGGTTGCTGCATCAACATGACAATAATCCCGACTTTTTGTAGTGCATATTGGTGACAGACGAATCTACTTTCACGCGTAATGGGGTGAATGAATAACTTTCGCAACACTCATGTTTGGTCAGTAGAAAATCCTCACGCTGTCCGTCGGGCACATTTTCAACAAACATTTTCGGTGAATGTTTGGGCTGGCATGGTGAACGGTATGCTCATTGGACCATTTATTCTCCCAAATCGATTGGACGGGATGCAATACCTAGACTTTTTACGCAACATTTTGCCTTCCTTGTTAGAAGATGTGCCATTAAGTGTAAGAAATCAATGTGGTTTCTGCACGATGGTGCACCGCCCCATTTTAGACGCGAAGTGCGTGAGTTTTTGAATGAATTATTTCCGAATAGGTGGATCGGACGTAATGGACCCGTAGCGTAGCCTCCGCAATCTCCAGACTTAACACCATGTGATTTTTTTCATTGGGGAGAAATGAAACGCTTTGTGTACAAAACTGAAGTGCATACTGTTGACGAACTTCGTCTCAGAATTGAACAAGCTAGTGCTTTCATTCGAGGGAGGGACTCCATTCTCAAAGCCTGCACCGATGCTTGGCTACGTCGTGCACGCACCTGTGTATTTGAATCAAACGGCGATAACTTCGAACAATACCTATAAAGTACGTTTACCTAAAAACTGAAAACGCGGCAACGCCGTCATTTTGTTACCTCTGTTCGTGGTCTGTAGTGTCTGCACCACCGCCTGCGTCTGCTCGGTAGCGCATCAGCTGATTTCATTTTCTGTTGGAGCGGTATGATTTCGGGCAGAGACGTACTTAGCCCTTCTCGTCAACTGGAGAGTGAGTACTTTTTTCTTTATTTTTTTTTACTTGGTCGCCCTCGTTTCACTACACATTACCTTTGATATTTCAAGGGTAGTTGTTTCTGAAAAGGACAACCCCAACTTTGCGGACACCCTGTATATGCTCTTATACGAACGCGGAATAGCATAACTTTCTCCCTAAAGTTTGAACATACATTTTAGCGCCAAAGCCTCTACGTAATAAATTCTAGTGTGACGTAACGTAACGCAGATGAGTTCTCTTTCAATTTTTTTGTCATAAAAATCCGAAAATTTTGGTGAGATTGGATTGGTAGCTCTTAAATTAATTATTTTTTATAGAATGTACAAAAAATAAAGTTTGACAGTTTATGAAGCAATGACGCGAGTTGATACGATACGAGTATGGTTTCTTCTTTTTCTCACTAAATCTCTTTTCCGAATTACTACATAATCTGGTATGTGTATTAGATTTCAAGGTTGATTTTTGTCAATTTCGTGCTTGGCAAATTATCTTAAGGAACTAAATCATGAAAACCTAAACGCCGATCTTTTAACCCCCACCGTTTTTCATCGAACTGATTCTGAACTAAATAGAGCATGCGAAGACCGATAATGGAACTTCCGTTACTAGCAGCTATATTCCAACAAAATCCGAACTGATTCTGAACCGGTTCCGAACAGCTCTGGTTCTGAGAACCGCTTAATGTGCCGTTTATTACACTTATTAAGAAAATTGGTAATGATGAAGATAACTTTGGAACAGATTCAAATGGGGATGAAGATCTTGAGCTGATTATAAGAGTTTAAAGAACCAGAAATGGCAATTACATAGTCAAGTGTCTAGAATTTTATGAATTTGTTTCAACCATGTTGTTAGTAGTTTTAATCTTATATATTTCTTTCATTTCCTGTCAAACCATTTTTTAAGATTCTCTGTACGCTAAAAGACAATTTATCTCAAATTCCACGTCAAGCATTCGGAAACTTGTAATGTGTAATTGTCTGTTTCAACCGAGCGTCATTCGTAGAGTATTACAGAATACACTTTGCACTACTATGTAACAGTTATAGCGCTCGTCAATGTTTGACGTACCTGTTTCATGCGTTCGGAATTAGAACAGAGTCATTCTTTTGGAACGTTACTGCCCGTGCTCCAAAAGTCCAAAACCTTGTTGTCACTTGTCATTCTCATGGTTTATTGTTTGGTTATTTTATTTTGTTATCAATAAGTGCTCAAAATTGGCAGAATATTTATATTTTTATTTATACATGTGCTACCTCGTATCGTATACATAGATTTTCTTATGAATGCACTCAGAAAACGTGGTTAGAAATTGGTCGGCTGTCATAAATGATTTGGGCGTTCTGAAAATAAACCTTCACTTCCAAAGTAAAATTTCATCCGCCGATCGACATTCCATCACTGTGTACTTTACGCTATTATATTACCAAGTGGTTTACAAATGTACTCCACAATAGGGAACTAGTTCTGAACTGTACTTACCTTAGGCATGTGCATAAGACTAAATCAGAATTAGTTCTGTACAAGTTGAACTGCTTGTGGGAGCAAACCTAATGGTAGAGAGAAAAGGCAGCAAAAGCTGCGCTTTCCGCATTCATAACTGGAGGAATAAAGCTAATAGAGCACTAGCACTAATAACCTTGATGCCGCACAGTGTAGGTATCTCCTGCATCGCCGTATTATAATAATCTAATAACAATGGTTTCAAAAAAAGAGATACCATACAGCATCTTGAATGAAAGTTTAAGTAACGTGCATGCCACTTACCATGTCATTCCAAATACACCAAGAAAAGGTTTGCAGGGATTATGATAGACAGCATCATGAGGATCATAACAAAACACTTATTATGAAAATCGCAGTTAATTCGTCCTTCACTAAACTATAATCTGTGACTAAACAGCGATTTCAAAAACGCGGGATTACTTTAATTTATCTGTACCACAGCATTGCGAAAATTGTCTATCGAGATCCCCAGATTGTACATATATAAAATACACTCACGAACCCACGAGAGCAGACGCAGTTAGGTACTCTTGTATTTCGCCGACAACAATTAAAAGGTTTTTTTCAAATTTTTAACGCAAACAAGTCGCGATGTCGGTTGCATACTAGTGTACTAGAAACAGTGCAGGGTTACCAACGTCAGAATCACCGCGAGATCAGGATCGTATTCAGGATAACAGATATTTGCAAGGACTAGATTGCAGATAACACGCATTACGGTCTGAAATGGATTGTTTAAAAGTAAAAGTTGTTAGCAGAACCATTTAAGGGCGTCGCATAAATAAAGAATATTGATATGCGCCAGTCTATTCCCATTATGAGGAGGCATTAATCAATTTGTGAAGGAACGGTGCTATGTTTATAAAGATTGAAAACTGAAACACGTTACAAAACATATTCTGAAAAATAATATACTTTGAAATGTTTACGTTCTACATCCATATCCAATAAATGACACAAGAAATATAAGCAATATATTTTAATCAATGTAAATCACTATACCTCTGTTCGATATTTGCAGTTTGAAAATCCTGCATTTTTGTTGGAAAGTTCGACAGCTACTTTGCCAGGAGAAGAAGGAAGATACGTGTTTTGTTTTGAACCATTTGAACTAGGAATAACGAAATGCAAAGCGGTACTTTCTTCACCAATGACAGGAGATTTCATGTGAGCAATATCACTAATACAATAATGAAGTTCATATTTGATTATTTGACCGCTTCCAAATTCTATAAATTTTGTCTGATTTCATCAATATATTCCAAATTCTTATTTCTTAGTTTACGTTTGCGTCTAGAAGCCTGGTTCTATACAACTTTGACGCCCCGCTGGCATTTTTTCGATTACTGACAAATTATTCTTAATTTTTTACTTGCACTTCTACCTCTGCATAGCCAACATAAACACCATTTAGCTTCATAACACGTTTCTAAAGATTATTTTGTTTTGATTGTCAATATATTTTTATAAACAATTTGAGCATTAAATATGTACCTTCACCGTTTTTTTTTTTTCAAATATTATAAAAAATATAATCGTGTCTATTACAACAGACAAACTACTTTTTGAAGCTGACACTGACAGCAAAAATTATATGAATGCATCCATTTAAAAATAATAATACTACCTAATTGCTACTAGGTTTTTCGTGTCATTAAATGTTTCATCACAAAATTAACTCCATATTTAGAGGAATGAGGCGGCATAACTCCCGCACTCTCCTAGCATAAAGTTCAAAAATAACCCTTTTAACGAATCTGCATGTTACCAAACTCGATGTTGCGTCAAAAATTGTTTAAGAGATTTTTTTAAAGAAGTTCCTAAAATTGTTTATTTATCGCTCGGGACAAAGTTTTTTGCGTTTTTTGAGTCCTTCTGAACTAAAAAGGTGTTTACGACCTCTTCTCTTCTCCAATAGTTTTCGAAATACAGGGTGGCCGATATGTAACTGACTGGTTTGTATCTTGAATATTTGTGAAGTGAAATAAAATGCGTCCATTTTTTCCACCTTAATCTTTTATCCGGTGACCTTGGTGGCCAGTTGACATCACCAAATCGAGAAATTAAACGTCCCGGAAATATTGTTCGCAAAAGATTTATTGTTTGCCTAGCTGTGTGACAAATTGTTCCGTCCTGCTGGAAGCACATGTTTTGGAGGCTAAATTGTGGGATTTGAGGAGCCAGAAAGTTTTGCACCACATCACGGTATCGCTCGCCACTGACAGTAAGAGAATTACCTGCAGCGTCTTCGAAGGAGGAGTAAGGACCAATGACACCTCCATACCAAACACCGCACCAAACTGTGACTCGACGAGGATGTAGTGGTCGTTGATGGATGAAACGAGGGTTCTCTAATGCTCAGATACGACAATTCTGCTTATTAATAAATCTGTTTATATGGAAATGGGCTTCATAGCTCATTACCAGTTGCCGGTAAAAATCGGTATTGCATGACTGTATTGTCAGCGACTTTCATGGTCACTAGGCTGTAGTTCTTGGGTCTGAATTTCGTATGGCCGCAAATGCAAGTCTTTTTAAAAATAGTGCATAATGACGTGCGACGAATACCCAGTTCTTGAGAACGATGTCTGGTAGACGTATCAGGGCGCTCCACTACACTTTCACGACTCTCTCGATATTTTCTGGAGTACGAACATTTCGAACACGGCCCGAACTTGTTCAAATTTCCGCACCAACTGACGAATGGTGTTGACACTGGGCACATAATTTCGACAGAAATCTTGTCGTAGCTTCCGAATCTTTGCAACAATCGACTCATTATTTAATTAAAACGTTTTAACAATACGAACGCGTTGTGGGATCGTGTAGCGCTTCATGATGAATTGGACACATGTTGTGCTTTAAACAACTGCTACGGCGCCACCTACTGAAATGCGTGTATCAAAAATGGCGCGCAATTTAAATCACTCAGTTATACAGGGTGACTTCGAAGTTGAGTCATTTATTTTAACAGTGAGTAGATCTGATCAAAAGAAATGTTTTTTTCCTTTACCATTTTTCTGGTAAAATTAAAGTAACAAAGTTATAGCCCTTTGGAAGTTTGAGTACCGCCCTGTCTCAATAATATTATGTGCTCGTGTTTGGCGACAACGGATATAATCCGCCTTATCGGTTCATCGCACCGGAAACAAAAAAGCGAAAGAATTTGGAACGATGTTTTTACAATTATTTTATTCATTTGTATACAGTCAGTGTCAGTCGGTAACGCGTGAGTGAATAGTGGTGTCTGTTGCGTGGTTCAAACGAAATAAAAAATGGCACATGTTTATGCGGATCGGTTTCCCAATCGAGTGCAACCAACCCCTCGTGCCTTTGTTAATGTAGTACAACGGGCTCATGAATCAGGTGACGGCATGCCGGTGCTCCAAGACCTCACGATTAAATACAGGTCCGCACTGAAATACTTGTCGGGAGGATACTTTATAAAACAAGGCAAATTTTTTTTTAATTTTTTTTTTATTTTTACACACATATTTTGGTTTATCTTCCTTCTACAATCATTATCTGAAAATTAATGACTCAACTTGAAAGTCACCCTGTATATTGGCCACCCTGTATAAGCGATTTTACAGGTGCGAAATATTATTTTCAATCAAAACATCAATTTAAAAAACGAACATATCAATACTGCCAAAGGTCCTAAATATTCTCCAAACGTCAAATAACAAATTCCAAAGGAATTTTAGCCTTTGTTTTATAATCGTTAATCAAGAGCGCGCTCTCGCAGAATACACGTTGAGCGGAAAAAACAATTTTTAAAGTGTTCAGACAAATTTTGACACATTTTTAGGCCTGGCAACATGTAGATGCGTATTCGAATAAGATTATGCAAAAAACCGAATCAGAATAGTTTTCTGGACTGATACGACGTTACTTTGTAGACTATCTTGCTATATCAAGAGAAATACCCATGAACCGACCTTTCTCTCCATGATGGAACGCCAAAGAATGCAGTTTCTCTAAAAGTAATATGAAGAACGCGACGCCTACTTTCAATTAGTCACTATACCCCAGAAATTAGCCTTCAAAATTATTGAATTTTTTTAATCACACTCTACAAATTTATTTCAGATATCCACTAACAGGCGAATGTACACCGCCAAAACCCAAAGGACCGTACACGATAAGATCCGGAGGCATGATCGCTGTAAACTTCACGAATCCCTTTTTGGAAACCAAAGAGTTCCATTTCACATGTGATAACAAAGATTTTCTGTTAAGAAACAATGAAGAGGAGATACGGGGAAGAAAAAGTACCAACATAATCGTTACTTTTGTGTCTTCAAGATTAGAACATACTTCGCTAGCATGTCCATCTACTGCCAAAATGACTGTCAAGTGTCTGGATCCGGAACTACATCACATTACATGGTTGTATTACCTGCAGGGTGATAATGAGTGATTATATTTTATTTTTAATATATAATAATGGTATTTTTTAGTGAAAGATTTTTTACCATGTCTTCAACTTTTACGACTTAGCGGTCATTCTTGAATACTTGAATATGGCGGCGCATTTTCTTCTATACAGGGTGTCCCAGAAATAACATGCCAGAGTGACACGGAAGGTAGATTGTCTTCAGATCAATCAGATCAGATAAAATCAACATGACCTTAGTAAAAGTTTTCTAGTTTTCGAGATATTGCCACTTTTGAGTTTTTTCAAAAAATCACTACTTTTTGCTCCCTTTTTGCTTGTTATGGCTAGAAAGAACTTCTAACTTGTGATTTTTTCCCTGGGCTACCATTAATAGTTGGTTGAGACAACCAAGCAATTACTTCATTGAAAACTAGCACGGTATGCTGAAAAAAAAAACAACAAATTATTACATTTGGTTTCAATGCGAAAACCTTTGCTAAAGTTTTACTAATTACTGTGAAAAAAATGTGCCAGACTGAATCAGCAAATGACCTTAAAAATTAGCTATTTGTGTCCACATTACGACTTTGTAGTTGCTGTAATCGCAGTGAGCAGGTACTACCTGAGTGTTGCGAAAATCAATGGAAATAAAAAATACAACCTATAATGGATAGCTGTATTACTACTTCAATGACAAAACTTGGAATTATTTAGTTTTTAGTAAAAAAAGGACCTACAAATGTTATACTATTTTTAAAAGAGCATTAAATAGCTAATTTTTAATGTCATTTGCTGATTCTGGTACATTTTTTTAACCGTAATTAGTAAAACTTTAGTAAAGGTTTTCGCATTGAAACCAAATGTAATAATTTAGTTTTTTTTATCATACCGTTCTAGTTTTCAATGAAATGAATACTCGGTTGTCTCAACCAACTATTAATGGTAACCCAAAAAAAATCATAAGTTATAGCCATAACAGGCAAAAATTAGCAAAAAGTAGTGATTTTTTTAAAGAAGTGGCAATATCTCGAAAACTAGAAAACTTTTACTAAGGTCATGTTGATCTTATCTGATTGATCTGAAGCCAATCTACCTCCGGTGTCACTCTGACGTGTTATTCCTGGGACACCTTGCATACAGGGTTGGGATTTTCCTTTTCAATGCTAATGTGTTTTTTTTTATATCGAATCAGCCGGGCAGGCTGAAGACTAAATGCCGGAACACCGCGTCCCAAAGAAATTTTGTTAATACGATTTTTGAACTGCCTAAAGTTAGTAGAACTAGGAAACAGTAGCGAAAAACTAAAGAAAAATTAATGATAAAGAACTGATCGTTCATTTGCGGAGAAATTTCAAGTACGGCTTTGTCACCTAAAAGTACTGTTCGAAGTTGTCGCCATTGGTAAAAAGTTTAGTACCTATTGTAAACCGTCCAGCCGATTCGGGAAAATAAAAGGTCGAATGCCCATACCATGTACCATGCCGACCCAAGCATTCAAAATAGATGTTGGTTGAAAATCTAACCGACGGATTACCTGAGGATTTTTCAACAAGTACACATAAGTATTTCGGAAGTTGTTCACTCCGTTACGCGTGGAGGTTAATTCTTCCGTGGATAATATGGACTTCAACCTCGCATTATTTTCATATTGGTGCAACAACCACTGACAACACTCTTGCAGGAAAATACTCCGCTTGTACAACAGGGTACAATCCATCATCACGTAGCATTTTCCACGCTTTAGTCTTGGAGGCGCGCTTTTTTTTTCTACAAGATTCAATAATCCTTTCTCAGTATGGACTACTTGGGGTTGTCTAGGTATCCAGTGGCCCACCTTGGTAGCCCTGAGAACGACCTGTATCCCTAGCACTTTGCACAAGGTGAACAAATCTATGCGGTCCCGAATGATAATCTCTGGAAAGGCGATCTGCATACGCTCGCGAAGCCGCAGTAGCATTTTAAAAACACTCACCATAAATTGAAATCATGTCGACAAGTTTGATATTGCTGTACGAGTGTACCTTTTTGGTTCTTTTCAAACCGATTGATAATTAAATGTATGTTTTCCTTACGATACCTGCCCTTGGGTTGAGTACTGACGTGTTTTGTGCCTTCTCACTTTTGATCTGATCTAGATACGGGAGCGGATTTCGTTTGATTTAGGTTTGATTGATTTTGCGGACCAATCTCTCCTTGTGTGGTCCAAGGTTATGCAATTAAGTGGACTGTTTTTTTCTTGAAAAGTAAGCAAGTGACAAAAAAAGTTTGCCTAATCCAAAAAATATAATAAAACATGCACAAAAGTCAGTGGCGTCCATATTTTCGTCACAAATATTCGTTCAGATCTCGCTCGAAACGCCATTGGACTTGATAAATTTAATCAAGTCAGGACTAATTTAGCTCCTTAATGTTATAAATACCACCGCTAAATTGCAAGAAAATTAGGTAAAGGATATTTAGATATTTACGAAAAGCCATTTTGTCTTAAAATTACTCAAAGAATCGTCTGTTAAATTTAAATGTTTGGTACGGTGAAAGCTCTCTTAACGGGCAGCTCTAATAAGCGACCATCTTCCTTAAGCGGCAACATTTTTTGGAACCGATTTTAGTCCTATATTTTAACATAGAAAGTACACTCTAACAAGCGGGCACTCTAATAAACGGACGCGGGCAATTTTTGCACATAGGACGAAATAATATCTCCTCTAAGCGATCGCGAAGCTCTAATAACCGAGCAAATGAAGTTTAACCATTAGGTACTTTAATATGGCCATTCGGTGATTCCCCGCGAAGATTTCTGGGATTTACGGTATTACACAATCACAAGTTATTGTGTTGGAGGTTAGAATTTAGAGTTGGCAGTTTAGCAGTGTTAGTCTTGTTGTTTGTGTTTTAGTGTGCACTTTTAATTTACGATAATATTCAGCCGAAAAAGCGAATGTTGACGCTAAAAGAAAAGATGGAAATTGTGAATGTTATTGATAAGGAAAAATGATCAACTCGGGCTTGCAGCATTGCGATTTAATATAGGAAAGACACAAGCGACGTTGATTGCAAAAAATAAAGAGGATATCCGAAGGATTTACCTGTTATGTGGAAGTCAAATAACAAAACCTGATTGTCACGCGAAATAATGGGTGAGTGGTTAGCCCAGTTGGATCGAAAATAGGCATTAAAAATAGAAAAATTCTGCAATTTTTAGACAATGCTGCATCTCATCCTCGAGACTTCATTAAAAATTTTAAGTTTTATTATCGTAATCAGATTTTAAAACATACTTTCTTAAATATGGATGGTGTTTAATCATCCTCTGAATTATCAAAAAAAAAATTATGTTTTGAAGGCATTGTATTTTATAAAAACGGCATGGCAGAATGTTAATGAGACAACAAGACAAAATTGTTTCCGAAAAACTGGGTTCAGAAAAGCAGGGCAAGAGGTTCCTCATTTTGATCCCGAGGATGACTTGCCATTATCTGTTTTCGCAACGATGGTCCGAGCTGCGGATGAGCTGAACATTACCAACGGTCAAAATTTAGATGAATATGTTAGCATTCATCAAAACACTCCAACTGAAGAAGATGCTGAGCTTGAACATTTAGACGTAGAACTAGTTCTTGAATCTAATCAAGAAGACGGATGACGAAATTGAGGAGATTCAAGAAGAGGAAAATAAAGTAAAAACCTATGATGAATCCGTAATTTATGTAACAGAACTGAAAAACTTCGCAAAAGATGAGTATGTTGAACAAATTAAAAATTTGGAACGTCATTTTCAGAAATGTCGTGATGATGCAAAGCAAAAAAAACTTAAGCAAGCGACTATTCTAACATTTTTTCAAACTGTTTCTAAACAGGTTTTCTGCCCTTTTGTTGTTATTTGAAAATTTTACTCGTATGTAACATATGTACGTATTTCATTATACCTCCATACATATATGTAATTATAAATTATAATTTTATGTACAATGTGTACATACAAGTCTTATAATAAGACTTGATTTAATATATGTAATTATCATATTATGCTTTATAAATTGATACATGTAATAGTATGTATGTACATACATACATGTATGTTATGTTACTTATAAATAAAAAACTGTGCAATTCCTATATTTTTTAGTTTTCTTTTAAGGGGTCACCTCCAATAAGAGGGCAAAAGAGCTGGAACCATAGCTGCCCGCTTATGAGAGCTTTCACAGTACATAATTAATTAACACCCTGCATATGCCACTATAAAAAACCGCTTATTTTTTCTAGATCTATCTATCTTTTAGCGAAAAGTTCCAGCTTTGAGGATACCTTGTATATAAATGTGAATATCTGTCCAGTCTGTTAGCATCATGTCTAAATCACAAAGCGATAAGTGATACCCAAGGAACGTTATAGTTATGGTTTTATTCGTGAACTCATCATCGATTGTACAATATTTGACAATATTCAACTGTCGCCGCAAGTACGAGTACCAAAATCTCCGTCAAGCCGGCATCAGCGAGGTCTGCCATCATATTTTGTAACATTGATGGTACTAGCACAGCTTAAATAATAATTATCTACGTCTACGCTATGCTACTAGTTATTAGTGGCGCCACCTATACGTTCTGTAGGTAAAGCTGCGGAGCCTTAGCAGCCAGAACGCTAGTAAATTCATTCTTTCATCAGTCACAGGTGTCATATTCTGACATCATGTAAGTAAGAATGCAAATTCAATTTATAATATACAAGTTATACGAATTTTGCAAATACATACCTTTTAACTTCGCTCAAAAGAATATGCATAAAGATACCTCATAACGCCAGTTATCGATATACCCAGTTCTTATTCAACTCTCTTGAGATGACACCTCAAAACCTTAACTAAATGCAAATTTTTCCGATATAATTTCATTTCATAGTCGTCAAAATTCAACTGGTTCCATCACTATCTTGGCACCGCAGAGGTCACGCGCTAAAAGCATGATTTATAACTTGACTAGAAATCTGAAAAGGTTGGTATCTGATGGATGGCTCTGTAGCCAACTATATGCTCATATACGCAAATTTGGTTGACGTAACGCATACGAGAGAGAAGCGTGCAATATGTACGTTAGGAGTGCGCCGATTGCATCGCGGCAAGCCGCAGACTGCGTTCGGGGCCTCGTCACTCGGGTTGCTAGACAACTAGGCACTTCTATCTTTTTCTAACACACGTATTGCTCGCTTCTCTCTCGTACACATTACGACGTCAGTGGTAGCGGACAAAAGTTTTGAAACAAATATTAACATTATTATGATCTATATTTCATATACCTAAATTAAAATTGTGAAGGAACAGATAATATAAATATTAAAGTCTACCATTGTCCCGTACTAATACAAGGTTTATCTTGTCAATATTCAAATAGTCTGAAAATAAAAACGCGTTTTTTTAATACCACAGTTTTTGTAACGACAAAAGTATGGAAACATTTCAGTTTTGCTGTATTTATTCGTTCTGCAATACTCTGATATTGCGTGCGGTAAATATCAACATCAGTGAGAATGGCAAAAGTAAAAGAAAGAAGATTTAAGTAATTGAATTATTTAGAAGTGGTATCAGAAATGTTGACATTTCTCAAAAATTAAAAATGAACAAGGGGACGATTTCTAAAATTATTAGTAAATACGAGTATCAAGAATACGGCTCAACAGCAACGCGGCCCAGGTGCGGAAGACCGAAAAAAACCGAATATGTTTTGGATCGCTAAATTAAACATTTTTCCCATGAAGATCCTCGAATGCCAGCCACATAGATTTTCAAAAGAATACTAGAAGAGGGTGCCGAGAATCTTTCCGTCAGAACAGTGCAGACACGCTTGGTGGATTTTGGGCTTTTTGGTAGGCGTCCAGTGCAAAAGCCTCCCATTTAAAAAAAATCATACTGCTCGGCTTGAATTTCCTAAAATTCATCTAACTTGGACAGAGCCACAATAGATAACAGTTTTATGGAGTGATGAAAGCAAATTTAACTTGTTTGGATCTGACGGTACGGCATATGTGAGACATTCAATACGAAAAAGATTCGACAAAAAGTATCAGTTGCCAACAGTTAAGCACGGTGGAGGCAACGTCATAACAGGTGGGCTGAAAAGTCCGTATCGTTTCTATGAGATGGCGCCACCAGAATAAAATCCATACGCTTCTTAGCTAGTACCAACCTTCAAAAGATGCCTGTCAAAATTTGACAGCTGTCGGATCATTAGTTTTTGAGTTATCGTATCGAGAGTGACGCTACTTTTGTTATTTTTGAAAACCATGGAAAGTCAAGAGTTTCGTGTGTTAATGAAACATTATTTTTTGATGAAAAAAAGTGCCGTCGAATGCAAGAAATGGCTTGATGAGTGTTATCCGGACTCTGCCCCGGGCGAAGCAACCATTCGCAAGTGGTTTGCTAAATTTCGTACCGGTCACATGTCAACTGAAGACGACGCACGCAGTGGACGCCCAAAAGAGGTCGTTACGGACGAAAACGTGAAAAAAATCCACAAAATAATTTTGGGAGACCGCAAAATACGGTTGATTGACATAGCTGAGGCCTTAAACATATCAAAAGAACGTGTCAGTCACATCATTCATGAATATTTGGATATCCGAAAGCTCTGTGCGAAATGGGTGCCGCGCAATCTCACATTTGACCAAAAGCAACAACGCATCGACGACTCTGAGGCCTGTTTGGAGGTGATTTTGCGCAATAAAACCGATTTTTTTCGCCGATACGTCACCATGGATGAAACATGGCTCCACCACTACACACCGGAGTCAAATCGCCAGTCGGCCGAGTGGACGGCTGCATCCGAACCACCTCCGAAACGTGGAAAGACGCAACAGTCAGCAGGCAAGGTTATGGCCTCTGTTTTCTGGGACGTGCAAGGAATTATTTTCATCGACTATCTTCAAAAGGGCCAAACTATCAACAGCGACTATTATATAGTGTTACTGGAGCGTTTGAAGGCCGAAATCGCCAAGAAACGGCCACAAATGAAGAAAAAAAAAATCTTGTTTCACCAGGACAATGCGCCGTGCCACAAGTCCATGAAAACGATGTCGAAATTGCATGAATTGGGCTTCGATTTGCTCCCCCATCCACCGTATTCTCCGGACCTTGCTCCAAGCGACTATTTCCTCTTCTCAGACCTTAAGAGAATGCTCACCGGAAAAAAATTTCACAGCAACGAAGAAATCATCGCCGAAACTGAAGCCTATTTTGAGGACAAGCCGAAGGATTACTACCGGAAGGGTATCGAAAAACTTGAAGAACGTTATAATCGCTGTATAGCCCTTGAAGGCAACTATGTTGAATAATAAAAGCGAATTTTGACGAAAAAAATATTTTTTCATTGAATCGATACGGAATTTTCAGCCCACCTGTTAGTTTGGGGCTGTTTTCTAGTTCTGGAACGGGTCCAATTGTTAAAATTCCAGCACGATGACCCCAAGTATACCTCAAAATTCGTAAAGGACTGGTTAAGACTAAAAAATGTTAATGATCTTACATGGCCTTGGCAATTTCCGGACCTAATCCATGTAGAACATCTCTGGGAGCATGTTAAAAAAGATGTTAAAAAAGACAACTGACAAGAAAAAGTTTTAAAAATAGGGACGACTTATTTAATAATGTAAAAAATATTTTGCAAAATATCCCAACAGACGTCTAGAAGAAATTGGTGTCTTCTATGAGCAGCAGATGTCAGGCAGTATTGAATGTTAAAGGCTATGCTACCAAATATTAGCTAAACAGTATTTTTTTAATCCTTTTGTAGTTATTGTATTTAATTTTGTAAAAAAATATGTTTCCATACTTTTGTCGTCTCATTTTTTGTCACAAAATAATATGAAGGTATTTTAATGCTAGTCTGTACTACCACATCAAACACAAATTGTCATTTGTATCCTCAAGATTGTAAGCAAACTATATGAGAAAAAAATATTCCATAATAATAAAGAATGAGAAATTGAGGCTCTTTTTAAAAATTACTAAGAATGTTTCCAAACTTTTGTCCGCTGCTATATATTGATTTCACTGGATGCTATATCTATATAGTTGGCTACATCACCATCTCTGAGACCTTTTCAGAGTTTTAGTCTTTGGGAGAGGAGAGAAAGCTGTGAAAAGTTCTCATAGATAACGTCATGGAAATCCATTTCAACTTGGATAATTTTTTGGACGTTGCAATATAGTATTAGGCTGGCTATATCCAGAAGAGTACGTTAATCAATGGTTATATACATAATTTGCTAGGATACAACTTACAAGTGTTGAGATTAAGTTCTATTTTCATAAAGTTAAAAATCACAATTTTCGCGGGTGCATATGACGTCATGGTACGTCATTTCATCTCGGATAATTTTTTGGACGCTGGAATTGAGTATTAGGTTGCCTATTGATAGGTAGAATACGTTAATCAATTATATAACAATAGGAAAAATTCCTATAATAAATAAACTCCTTGTGTTCAACACATTTTATTTATCAAAAAACACCTTTTAACTGTATAACTGTACGTTTGTACATATAACAATTCTCAATTGTGAACCTTTACAAAAAAACAATAAAAGCACTTCAAAATTTCATCACTATGGAAATCAAAAAAAATTAGGGACACTGCTTCGCATTTTATCTCTATCCTTGACTGTACAAAAATAATACAAAATAAATCTGGACAAATTCATTCACAGCTTAAAAGGAAAAATATTTACAGCCTTTGTAAAGAAAAATAATTTATTCCACTCACATTTTTACACTGGTCACCGTCAAACTTTAGCGAACGGACATTTTTTCAGACAGTCCAAGTCAAAATTCCGTAAACGTAATACTCCAACTGCATGACATAACCTCACAAGCACAGTTGACATATGATAGCTGACACCTCCACACATCTAAAGCTAAAGTTGGACTGTAACTAACAAAATAAATAAGGACTCTGTTTTTAAACGAGACAGACTAAAGCTGCTTGGAGTTCTCTGACTTTGTTTTGTCAATACTTGGAGGTGGTGTGATGACTGGTTGTTTATCCATCTTGGGCTTTCCGGGCGGTGGGGGAGGTGACGTTACATCCTCTTTTTTCGCTGTTGCCGTTTTTTCGTCTGATTTGCTTTTACCGTCTTTGGGAGGGGGTAGTTTATCCTGACCTGAGCTCTGTTCCCTGCCTTTTTGAAGGGCTTTCTCGATTTTATCCTCCACTTCAAGAATTTCTTCTTTGTCTAAGAGTTCAAATAATTCTTCGATTTGTTTCCCACTTAGATTGACGTTTTCTTTGCCGATAATTTCTATTACCTGTAATTCAAAAAATTATTTGAAACTGTAAGAAAAAAAAAGAATGTGACAACTCCATTGTCTAGCTTAGCAGAATCAAACCACATACAGGGTGATTCACACGTCGTGACCAAAAATGGAACATCATACACAGCACCGCATTGCAAGGGGGTCTTCTATGTAACATTTTTCCGTCGAGGGCATCATTAAAAAAATACGGGGTGTTGAAGTTTAAAAATATATATTACTATCTTCAAAACCGTCAACTAGAATAAACTAAAATTTGGTATTTGGATTTACCTAAGTATTGTCCACATTCAAAAGTATTTACTTAAAATTAACGTGCACCAGTGGTGGAGATACAGGGGATTAGTAGCATTATTTTTCCAAATAAAAATAGTACTGTTTTTTTTTTCACTCGCAATTTTTCGCATTTCACCTTCAATTTGCTACATATAATTGCTCTTGTGTTTTTTTCCAAAAGTGCACTGTTATCGTAAAAATAAAAAAAAACAAATTAGTAAAAACCTTTGAGGTAGGTTGACGTCTGTTAGGAAATCTATGTAAATACTCCCGAGAAGCCGCTAAAGCATTTCCATTACAGAACCCGTACAGAAAAATAATATCGGCGTACTCATTATTGCTAAATTCCATTTCACAGCACTCAAAAATCGAAAAAGAAACGTTTGACTTGACTTTTATAAAAAATGGTAGTAGTAACGAAAAAAACCGTATAACACATAACTTTGACAAACTATCTCCCAGGAAACATCAAGTTGGTATCAAGGCCTCCTATTTTATCTTACCTTTTATCTCGGCTCCTCATGAATTATCTAATTTGTTTTATTTTTATGAAAACAGTGTAACTCTAGGAAAAAACACAAGAGTAATTATTTGTAGCAAATTGAAGGTAAAATTCGAAAAATTGCGCGTTTCGAAGAAAACCAGTACTATTTTTATTTGGAAAAGTAATGCCACGAATCTCCGCCATTGGTGCTTGTTAATTTTAAGTGAAAACTTCTGAATGTGGACAATATTTAGGTAAATCCACATACCAAATTTTAATACTAAAAAAAAATGTTTTTTATTTTTAAACTTCAACACCCCGTATCTTTTTAATGAAGCACTCGAGGAAAACATGTTACATAGAAGACCCCCCCCCCCTTGAAATGTGGTCCTGTGTATGATATTTGATTTTTGGTCACGACTTGTGAATCACCCTGTATATGTTTGAATTTCTGTGTATTGTACTAAGTTTTCGCCATCAAAGTGGCCTTTTTCAAGTACAATGACAATGACACTATATGTTTGTTTATCTATCTTCCTGGTGGCAGTTCATTTTTTCCTTTTCTACTGTTCTATATAGTGTGTTGCGTCAATAGATTAAATTATAATGTAGCACGCCGAGATCTCGCGAAGCCATCATTATAATTTTGTTATGGCACCGCGCAAAACCAGAATAGTCCAGGATCGCTTAGGGTAGGCATTCCCGTTCCCAAAGCACATATAGCACCTCGAAGCGACAAGCGAGCACCAGGTTATTTGTAGTTTTATAATGTACATATCAGACACGCAACCCGCGTCCGTCGTCCCGAAACCGCCACCATCCGCCAATATGCAATTCCGCTAAATTTCACATTCAAGACCAACTTGAAATTAAGTTAATAATACACAAAACTTAATTGTGTGATCTACCCTGTGTGCATTATCTAGCTAAATCTAACGTAGGGTTGAGGTGACAGCACAAAAACATAACCATACTAAAAATGTTCTACATAATTTTGAATTGGAATGGAGAGTCAAATTCAGTTGATTTACATACTGATTGAAGTTTCCATTGCCATCTTAATTACAAAGCTAACTTTAAACAAAATTACAAATGCAGATAACAAGTAAAAGAATTGTAGACCTCACACATGGTACCAAGGGTAGTATAAAAGTTATGCAATGTGACAACAAACGTACGCAGGAGGCTGCATGTTTCCGCATGTGGAGACATGTCTATGAGTGCATAATAGCCGCCAGCAGCACGTATGTTGATTTTGTTGTTTATTCCTATTGACAGTGTAAAGTGCGGACTATGGCATCGTGGTCACGTAGTGAAATAAGGGCAGTTTTACGGTATAACTTTACGAGTGGATTAAGCCTAGACTAGTGCTTAGAAGAAATGTCGCTTGCATTAAAGAATGATTATCCTCATCGTACGAGTATATTCAGGTGACACAGAGAATTAAAAAGGGGCAATTTCAGTCTGGAGGACGCTGAGAGGGAAGGAAGGCCTCGAACGTCCGTAACAGAGGAAAACATTACTGTTGTGAGGAACATACTTGACAAATAGTGGAGAGTGACATACCAACAGATCTTTTCAGCTTCATGCACCAGCAATTCTACATGCCCATTTACACAGAAGGAACTTTGTTCTCTCTGGGTACCGCATAGTCTGACGGAAGACGACTTGATGCCGAAGGGGCAATCTCGGTATGTGAACAGCATCGTGACAGATAACGAGACTTGGCTCTATTATTACGATGTGCCGACCAAGGCTCAAAACAAAGTTTTGGTCTTTGATGATGAGGACACACCCGTAGTTGTCAGAAGCTCTATTAAGAAAAAAATGATAGCTATATACTTCAAATCGAGCGCGTCGTTTTGGACACACAGAAGACAGTCACAGCTAAGTGGTACACGGAACAGTGCTTGTCTAAAGTCATAGTATATGAAAAACCTGCGGGCAGTCGAAAATGGATACTTGGTACCTCCACATGACAATGCTCCCTACAGTCCAGATCTTACTCCCTGCGACTTTGCACTGTTTCCGCAAGTGAAAATGAAGCTAAAAGGAAAATGGTTTTCTAGCGAACTTGGCAGAGCTGGCTTAAGGACTAGTTTTAGCGGATGAACAAGTGTATTGAATGTGGTGAAAATTACTTTGAACGAAGTCAATCAATCAAGCTGTATTGCAAAACTTGTATAGTACCCTTTGTATAATATGGTTTACAATTAAGGAAGTTTTCAAGTTCACGGCAAAATATCTATTTTGTTGAGTCTTTTGATATATAATTAAATCCATATGCATCACTCATTTGTTAATTAGAATAAAAAAAAGGATTTTATTGTGTTACGTCATCGTTAGTATATAAGTATTTTCTGTTTTCCTTTACCCGCGCACAAGGGCCACCCTTCTGCGGGCTCTTCATTTATTTGTCCTCTATAAAATTCTGTGTAATGGTTGTGTATTTTGGTGACAAATAAATATTACTATTACTATATTACTATATAATCAGGGAGGCAGGTGTAAATTTTCAGGCCATTGGTCTTTCACAAGTTTTGATTTAGGTACAACTAATTTAAGACCTTTTTTGCTATTTCTAAAATAAACGATACGTCAGTCATTATTTTAAGGTGCATGTAGCTCTAGGATAGCTTTTAGTTAAATATCTAATAGTACGTTGTCTGCATAATAATGATAAATAAAATAAAAATAATTTACAGGGCGTTTCACTTTGAATAAAAAACCAAAAGAGGGGCAATCGATTTTGCTAATTAATTAACGACATTCCTTGGCAATGTACAAAATGAAAGACTGCAATATCCGGGTTAAAAGATGTCGAATTTAATAAAAACAAAAAAGTAAAAACATCGATTCCGGCCCTGGATTTTTTAACTGTTCCTGCAATTTAGAGCTTTTTTATCCGCGAAACGTGAGATTTCCCTCAGAAAAATATATCCCCAAGTAAAAATCTCCCAAATTTGGGAGTAAACCGTCCAACCCTGTCAAAGCACCACTGGTACTTAAGGCGTCATGTTTCTCTGTCGTTTTTAAAGCAGGAACAGCATTGCCGTAGTTTCTCATGGTATAAAGGATCCATGCTGGGTATAGTAGGATTGTATAGAACCGTAATGGCGAATTTTCCAAATTTCAATTTCACGGGGTACAACCCAAACGGCTTGATGGATTTTGAGATTTGATTGCACAACTAAAGCTTCATTCTTTCACTTACTGCTGCCGGATTTTTTTATTTTGTAAAAATGTTCAGTCTGCGAAAACCAAAACTTCGCCAAATTGGGCCTAAGAATGTTAAAAATTCAGTTGAAATAAAGTAATCTCAAAATTGTCTTTGAGGCTTGTAAGGCAATTAAGTCGACCTCAAAAATTATATTATTCAATTTTTAAGCATTGAATATTCCTATTTTTAGGTCTTTCCACACATTAAATCGCTTATAACTCGAAAATGGTCAGCTTAAGAGAAAAGTTAATGGAAGCCTTTTTAATCGGAATGATCCAAAAAGTTGACCTGGCGAAAAAATGTAATTAATTTAAAAATATAAAATGCACCAATTTGATCTGGATTACCGTTACAATGATTAAAAACTTGATTAGACATCATAATTTTTGAGGTCGCCAAGTATCTAAATTCAAGATAAAACCTTGCTCAGCAAGACCTGAAAGAGTATTTTGAGACTACATAATTTTAAGGCGATTTCAACCTTGTTTTTCAGGCCAAAATTGGTGAATTTCTGGTTCTCGCAGACTGTACTTGTTAAATGAAATTGTTTGCAAGTTTTATGCAACTGATTCCTTATTATGGAAAGTTATCAGCAGTATAACGACCTTGACCCCTATCGTGGGAATCGTGTTTGATTCGATTATTTTTTATTCCTTGTTATCTAATCTAAAATACAGGGTGACATGAAACAACTAATACCACAACAAACAGAAATGTTTCTATGATGAAATGTGGTCAATAGAACACTTTGTGTTTAATCAAATTCACGAAACGTATGCTTTCGGGGAAGTCAACTGAAAAGCATCTAATGTCAATGTTTATCCGATTCTTTGCAAATCTCACCTTCAGCACATCATCAATTTTCAACGAACCATCATGATCATCGTCCATTTTTTTCAGAACAGTCGCAATTTGGTCTAACTTGCTCTGGTCTGGCACTCCTTTGAACTTTACGATCGCCGAGATTATGTCATCTATCTTCAACAATTCTTCTTTTTTCTTATCAGTAGCTTCTACTTCCAAATCTTTCTTCAGCTGCTTCTCTTTCTCCTCCATATCGACCAGCACCTTTAGTAAACATTTAAGTTAATATTTAAAGATTTTTTTGTAAAATAACATAATTGATTCTTCAAGGATATGCCCAATGATTATTACAACCATGTTTGCAAGTAAGATTGCAAAATTTCGCTTCAAATAAAAACAGATCCCATTTTTCTTTTAAAGAAAACTATTTCCAAACATGGGTATATCTGAAAGATTATGTTAATAATTCGACTCTCACAATTGGGATCTCGGAAACCGTAAGAGATATAAGTCGTCTGGGAAGGAGCAAAGTTGGCGTATTTAGATAACTAATAAAATGATAATTTAAGTTTCAAAATTCAAAGAACTTAAGAAAGACGGAAAAATTGAATTTTCCAAAAAAAAAATTATTTTTTCGCGACTTTGTAGAGGGATTTCAAAATAAATTGTACATTAACATTGCCACTTTTTCTCCTATACAAGATGGCTCAACTAGAATTTCAATTTGACGTTTCATATCTTGTCGTCCAGGATCAAATTTGTTTTTTTTAAAAGGGCGCAATACTGGATTTTTGCACTGATGAATAGTTTTTTTATTCTGATTCCAAAAATGTATAATGTCATACATTAACATTACCAAACTTCAATTATTAGAAAGAACAATTTCTTAGGTAGGCATTGAAATTAACAGATATATACCAGATTTGTCGCAAAATCATTTCATTTTCGTAACTTTATTTGACAGGATTTCAAAAGAAATGGCATGCTGTTATTGCCACTTTTTCTCCTCTACAAGATGGTGTAGTAAAACTCAATTCAAATTCAATTTTCAGGTTTCTTCGAATTCCATCGTTAACTCAGTTTTTTTCATATGGAAACTATATTGGAATTTCGTAAATTTAAATGGATCTTTTAGCCCTGATCTCAGCAATGCAATTTCTTAGTTGGTACTAAATTTGTTGTTGGAACGAAAATTATGTATAAAGAAACAAGTAGGTATAATGAAACCAGAACACATAATTAAAGTTTTAGTGATGGTAACAATAACAACGATAATAATAAGCAGATGTTTAAAACATTGTCCATTATTTTGTAGCCCGGCCCTTCTCTGTACATTGTTCACTGTTCAATTTAGTTCTAGGAGGTCTTCAAAACACCTTTTATTTTCTTTAATTTTCGATAGAATAAAAAATTCATGTCCTATTAAGGAAATACATCACTGAACTTAGGACTCAAAATTTCATTTAAATGTATAAAATTCCAATATAGCGTCCATATTAAAGGCCCCATCTCAAATAGTCATGAAAAAATAGAAATAATTTGCCAGTAAATCTGATATATCAAACAAATCTGATAATTTCAAGGCCTACCTAGGAAATCCTGTCTTTTTTTAATATCTAAGGCCCGTATCGTCAGTCGTCCATACAATTGTAGGGCGCGTTTATGTCATACTCCTTTCTCTCCTTCAAAAATTTCTAGATTACACTTGTCCCGTGTCAGCGTCAGCGCTCTCCTATTGTGAAGATATGTTTTCTTTTTAAATTGTAGGAAATTTCAGGCTGATAAAACATGATATAACTCAAAAGCAAGCACAATTTGATGCAAATAGATGTTTGTGACATAACCTCAAAATAGAGCTCTGACACGGAGAAGTAGAAAACTATGACAACCAAGGAGGCCATAAAGGCGCCCTACAATTGTAGGGACTACTGACGATGCGGACCTAAGACTTGGAAAATCCAATGTATGACATATTTTTGGAATCAAAATTAAAAACTCCATTCACCTATTAAAAAATCCAATATGGCGTCCTTAAGAAAAAATTAAAGTTGATGCTGGAAGACAAAAGACAAAACAACATCGAAATTCTAATAATGCCGTCTAGTAGAGGCGACAAAGTGGCAATATTGATGTGCACTTTTTTTGAAATCCCATTACCAATAAAGTCACGAAAAAATAAAAATATTTTGTGAAATCCGTTTTTTTGCGTCTCTCTCCGGAAGTACTTTGAATTTTGAAACTTCCTAAACCGCATTTTGTTAGTTACCTAAATAACTTTGTCCCTATTTAAGCGTTTCTGAGACCCAATGGTGAGGGTGTAATTTGAAACACCCAGTATACTGATGCAAAGAGATAATCATAGCTACCTTGTCCAATTTATTGATCATCTTATTGACACTCTTGAACAGTCTCTTAGCTGCCTTAGTTTCTTTGATCTCCGGTGTAGGTTCACTAGCCAATGTCTTCTCCAAATCTTCAATATCCTCTTTGTAATCTTCCACCTCTTTCTTCAACTCTTGTATCTCCTTATTCTCTACAATAAGCTTCTTCTCTTTCGATACAGAATCAATAGCATTCTCTATAATCTTAAAGTCCTTCGATTGCAAAGGTTCTTCCAGCTTCTCTTCAACCTTCTCCAATTTCTCTGTACTGATCTTCAAAGCAGTATCTTCCAAAATAGGAGTCGTGCTAGTCGAGAGGATTGGTGCTTTGTCCACCAGGATTTCTTTGTCCTTGACCTTTTCTTTGACCTTCTCCAGTTTCTTCTTTTCTTCGCGACGCTCTTCGCGCTCTTCCCTGATCTTCTTTTCTTCCTCTCTGAGGATCTCTACGCGCACCTTGTTGTCGATCTTACCTGGAAAGTTGACGAACGATGTAAGTAGATTCAGCCATATACAAGATATATTGAAAGTTGGAACTTTCACTTTCAGAAAGAGATATGTTGGAAATTACAAAGCTAATGTGCGGAAAAATGCAGTGAAAAATTACGATATTGACAAATCCACGCGGCGCGGGATGGACACATACAAGAAAAAAATTCTAATATATTCGCGAAGCATCTGCAGCTTTTTGAAAATACACATCATAAAATAACATTAAATCAACAAGTTCGGTGTTGCTACTTGAATGTGCGATGTCTATATTTTTTTCAAATCGGATATATAAACAAACAGCTTGGTTAATCTACACGACATGCGGATCATGGATACTGTCACACGACGTATCTTCTCGCTCAATTATTTACTGGGGACAATGACAGATTTGGTACAGCAGCTTGTTTCAGAGCTTATTAACTCAAAGTTGTCTTAAACTATGTCTATACCTCAGAGCCAGACTGAGTCCAATTTTGCCTAAAATGATTTTAACATGTTAATGTTCATGATATTAGAGAGTTTTCAGTGCAGCAAAAGTAGTGAATCCCTAACCCTTCCGTTACGTTATTTTTGTCAGCAATAGCAAAAAGGAAGGTTAGAAAGAGTTTTTATGAAAACTAAAATGAACCGTAGTAATTCGAGAATACTGACTACAGACAGTTTGCTTATTTTGTTATCGATTTTAACGTGGAGCTAACCCCAAAAATTTCAACACCTTGTTAATTTTTTTCATGGAAAAGTGAATCAATTTTCAAAATCTGAGACTACCTAAACCAAAACGATGTAACTCGCGATAATCTTCGAACTTCAGTTCACAAGTCTTCTGTGGCTTAAACATATCTGCATCGCGCGATTTGTCATTCCGTGTTTACTGTATATCAATGCATAGTAAGTAATGAGTCAGCATACTTGACGAAATATATACTGAGTAACACAAATTAAAGGTTAGACGAAATGGGCGGGTACATTTAAGGATCATAAGATTCAAAAAAATATATCTATGTGTAGATATAAAAACAATTAAGTCATCATTTACAAAAGCATCGCAGATCGCTAATGTGGCAAGTACTCCTGGTACTCAAATATTCCTAAAATATGTAAATATTACCCGACCCGTCCGTATCGACATCGACTTCAAGTTACCTCTTTATTGCGATTGTTACAGTCTACAGTGGCCTTCAGGACGATGCAGCGTATAGCGCACGCAACGCCGATTTTAGTAATTTCCAATTATACATCGGACTTTTATCGCTTACTTTTCCCGTTGTTGCCGGGATCAGAATCTTCTCAATGATGGAACGTATTTGACTAACACTAAAGACGTAACATTTACAACCCCCTACCCGTTACAATCCCCAATTTTCAACCCTTACAAAAAAAATTCAAAATGATTAAGAGCCTCTAAAACATCAAAAAACGAAGTTTGAGCGATTTTTATTTTCCTTTTTTGTTTTTAACCTTTTTCTCTGCCGCCATTGGACCGATTTCCAAAAACTACAAAGCTTGTGCGTTCTTAGCATAATACTAACATTAACATTGTGTAAAATGAAGATTTGAGCAGTATTTCTCAAGGTTTCAAGATTAGCCTACAGACCGACAGACAGACCGACGGAAATGAGTGAATTGGTTTTTTGTGATTACAAAACTTCCTCGCCCAGTGGCGTAGAAAGTAAAAATATTTGCAATGCAATTGTATCATAGCTACTTATTTGGACTAAACCTAGTCTGGCTCTGAAGTGCAGATGTTTTGAATTTGATTATTTTTCCAAGAAGTCTCTGTGTAAGGCAAAATCCTAACTTTAAGAACATCCCAAAAAATCCTAAATCTGAAAAATACATCTTTCTATTCTGAGAATCGCCTCAAAAATGAGACAAGTCACGAAATTCATACTTGACAGCTAGAAGGAATAGTCTCCAGAAAGGCTGAAGACTAACTATCAGATTGTTGTTGTTTTTTTTTTAGAGATTAGTCCAGTAAAAAAGGAGTTGCTTGCAAATGACATATTTACCCTCTTTTTCACCAATAGCAGCTTGCGTATGTTTGACAACAGTCTCTGGAAGGGCTGAGATGGTAGCTTTGAGTTTATCCTCTGTTGGTATGGTCTCTGGAAGCATCAATGCCCGAGATAACAGCAGAAGTGATGGAGGCACTTTTTTATCCAGGCTCAAATCCAACCATTGTTTCAATTGTTGTCGTAACCGCTCTTCACTTACACCATAAGCTCTCATACCCCTTGCTCTAGAATGAATATAATTTTTTGATGGTCATATCCGAGTTCAACGCATTATATTAGATAAATGTACAGAGTTTCGCAGCGATGTTCAAAATTGCTCCCGCTAGACGGCGCTTGTGTGGTTGAACTTGTTGGAAAAAAGACAGATGACCTTTTTTCGCATTTTGACGTAAAAGCTGACCAGTGGGCAGATCTGGTATAAGGACGGCTCGGCTTCTGGAGAGAGCTCTCACGGCAGGGTCTTTGGGCTAGAATTAGGCTCTCACTGCCTCTCGGCGGATACTATACTATAGTTGTAGTCACCGTTCTTGTCGGCTACGTCATCAATATGAAATAAGTAAGCAGATCCCTCCGTACCATGAGTGGAACACTGCGCAGACTAATCTTCAGCGCATCTGCTACTCTCTCCAGTACGCATGAAGTGGGCAAGAGGGGACCGCCGTTTTCATTCCCTTCCTGGAAATACTCTAATAAGTTTAGCACGAGATGTCGGCCTTCTCCATTGATCGTATTTCCGGGGATTGTACAATTTTATATTGAAGACCACCCAAATTCAACGCCGATCTCAAGTATGTTGTCATCCTGACAAATATGATTAAAAGGCAAGAGATATATAAAGTGATACAGGTAGTTTTTTCTTTGACCTGCCAAGAAAGGTGACTACAACTTTACCACTATTTTCCAGGCGGAAATCCATGCGATTCGGGCTTGCGTATCCCGCATTCTGAAGGGGGAAGGGCCTAGGGAAAGAATAACAATTTTCTCCGACAGCCAGGCTGCGATGAAGGCACTAAGAGCCTGCAAGATTACTTCGAGCCTTGTAATACAATGCAAGGAGGTTCTAGATAGTTTAGCAGCGAGGCATCCGGTATTGTTAGTGTGGGTATCGGGCAAGGGCGAATTCAGGATTTCGTCTAGGGGGGGGCGCAAACGATATTTGGGGCTGGTCATTTTTTAACCTCAGTGGAACTTCTAGAATTAATCCTATTATTGCTCCTTAAAACCACTGTGTTCTATCTGGTCAAGGCCAGCTTGAAAAAAAATGGAAATTGCTCAGAAATCCTCAGGAAGCCAATATTTTATTATATGAGAACAAAATAAGTACCATGATATGATAAAAAGTAACACAATGGTGTTAGATTGCAAAGTCAAATGTCAGACGTCTAGGGGCGCCTCCCCACTAAATCCGCCAGTGGTACCGGGGCACGCTGGGATAAACGGTAATGATATGGCGGACGCTCTCGCGAAACCAGCGGTCAAGGTTGTTGGTCCTCAGCCAGCCCTGGTTGTTGATGGGACTGTCGGCGTCACCTGCATGTGATGAGAGTAGCTGACGATCCCATGTGTGAGCACTGCGGGGTAGAGGAAGAGTCCTAGGCGCATGTTCTGTGTCTCTGTGAAGCTCTGAGTTACTACAGGCAGACTATACTGGGGTCAAACACTTTGGATCCCCAGAATGTCAAAGAGCAGGGAGCACAGTTATGTGGCCTATGCGCCGGCTCCTCATGGTGGCTGGTATGCTTCTAATTTCTTTATTCATTCGTTCAAACAGCTGATGCTGAGCAATGTTCGACTCATGGAGCCTATATATTAGGAGAACCGGAGAAATGAGAAAAACGACAATTTGAAAGGCAACAAAGCTAAAATATGTTCTATTATTTATCATCATATCAAAAAACAAAAAGTAAAAATACGTATTTATCAAAATCAGTAGTGACGCCACTGAAATTCATAATCATATTCTAATTAGTTAGCTCTAGTTAGCATCTTATTGCGATAAGCAATCCTGCCAAACTATTTAATATAACCGTCGCAAGGATCTTTAATATGTTATTAAAAGAACGTTTTTTGAACTTTGACAGCATGTAACCTGACAACCAGACTTTTTAGGTCACACATTTACGATTAAATGTTTTACTGAAATATGTTTCAGGAATGCGCCCTTATAATTATGGCCTATGATTAACCAACACCTTATATACATGTCAACCACCATATTTAGGTGCCAGTGTTGTCACCCCTAATGATGTTGCCATGTTACGAAATGTCATGTTCCTTTCTTTAAAACAAAATATGGTCTGATTAATTTCTTCTACTAGGCACACGAATGTGATGATGAAAATTATGTGATCCTCAAAATACAGCATAGGGTTGGGCATTATCATGGAGAATTCATTAAATTGATGCCTATAGTCATGATAGATAAAAACAAATTTTGCATGACAAAACCCTAGTTATTGGTGCGCAGATTCTGAATACGTTAACAATTTCGTTCTGGGACCGATGAATTAATCAAATAATTTAAATACAAGGAAAGGTGCAGTCAAATCCTCAAATGATTCACCTGCAAGCTTGTTGAACCTCAGCTAATGTCAAACTGTCAACTCCCTCTTTCTGTATCATTTTATCATCTGCCGCTAAACTTCTCAACTTCATTCTCAGCTGGAAACGTAGGAAATTATTTGTGCCTAGTGTTTGCACATCCAATACTCTACAGAGAGCTATCAGTTGACTCCTTGATAAAGAATCTAAGGTTATCTCATCTTCGAATAGCTTAGAAAATTTCATGATCTCATCCGTAGATACTGGTTCACCTGGAAATAGAAAAACAAAAACTTACGGGCTTCCACCAAACCAGATTATGAGTGAAATAAATAATTTTTTCTACAAACAACTGAAGCAGTTCGTTTTACTGCTCGTAAACTTGCGCGCCAAGTAAAGTTTCTGGAGAACCGCCGCAAAAGACAGCTTAGATGCTTCAGAGCAACAAAGTAGCAAAAACGCTCGTTATTGTAGAGAAACATCTTATATGCAATACAAATTTGTATGGCTCTCTCGAGGTACTGCCATAATGTTTCACGATGCCTGAACCAAACATTTTGTGAGCAAGAAAGTGAAACTTTTCTATAGCTAGCATTTCAAACTCACTAAATGATAAAAATGAAACAGTGGCAGTATGTATTGACTTGTCTAAAGCTTTTGACAGTGTCAATCACAAAAAAACTTATTGAAAAAATTTATAATTTTGGAATTAGAGGTAATTATTTGGAACTAATTAAATCCTATTTACAAAACCGCACACAACAGGTTGTTGAAAATGATTCCCGGGGTAGGCTTATTGCTTCTGAAAAGATAAAAGTCCTGTATCCTTGGACCATTGCTGTACATCCCAAGGAACTGCCCTGGGGTGCCGGGTGAGCAGACCATTCTTTATGGTGATGATACAACATTAATTTTTAGAACAAAAAAATCATGATTGACAGGCGTTCAAAGGGCCTGTGGCGTACTTGAAGGGTATTTTTCGGCACATGATCTCTGTCTTAATGTGCCAAAAGCCCAGTGTATTTTATTTGGAAATGTATCTTAAAAAAATACAGATTTCGGGACAACAGAAAGCATCTGTGTTAGGATTGACAGGTGACTGGCCTGGGGGGACGCACGTTGAGGATGTTGCATTGGGAGTCTTTGTTGTGATGTTGGTCTCGACGCTGCCCTATCGGCATACCACGCGTTTGTTCAATCTAAGATTAGATATGGTCTGATCTTCTGAGGAAGCTCGCGGAATATAAGCAGGGTTTTGATTCTCCAAAAAAATGCATAAGGACTCTATTTAAAATCATAGAAAGGAGAGTTGCAAAAAAATCTTCATCAGTAGAAAAATTCTAACTGATGTTTCTTTTTCTCTATTGGACGCTTTTATGTTTGTTTTTGAACACAGAGGTCTGTTTGACAATGCTACAAATAAACATAACCACATGCCTAGGCATAAAGAAGATCTTTCCCAGATAAGTGTAACTTTAGTTTTATGTGCTCCATATACTGTTCCGTAATTTACCGGAAATAAAAAAAATTAAAAGATTATCGCTAATTTAAAATTATTTAATCTCCAAGGCATTTTACTCATTGAATGATTTCTTTGAGGATAAGGATAGACTTACTCTATGAGTAAAGTTCGAATATTTTGTACAACAGGGTATTATATCATTGTTGCTCCTTTACATAATTTTATTGATAAACTTGACTATATGGAAAATTGTTGTTATTAAATAGATTATTATTTATGATTGTGAAGGCACATGAATTCTTTGAAATTGATATTTCTTTTATAATTAATTTTAGCTAGCTAGTATACTTCTCTTTAACAATGTTCTATGCCTTGGCTTATGAATAAATAAAAAATGTTCTATCTATAATTACCAGCAAAAAATTAGCTTTGATATCAAGTTCCAGTATTTTTTCATGTAACAAATAACACATACATACTTCATGTATATCAATGTTTTAATTATTTAATTTAAAAACCTAGTTATAAAATATTTAGGTATTGAAAGAAGTATCTGCCAATTTTCTAGACATACCCTGTAAGATTGTTATATTCATAACCTTGTAGGCAAAGATGAATTATATAATTCAATCCAACGATAAGAAAACAATTTGATAAAGAAATAATGAATCAGCAATAAACTCATTTCATTGCCCTTGTAACCTTCATAAAAAATAAGAATTTTCCAATGTCTTTCAAGCATGACTTTTATATTAACAACATCAAAAATATTTTTTAGAATATTTCAGGGATTTTCAAGGCAATACAGATGATTCTATATTATCTATTCTAGTTTACATAAAATCTTAATATTCTCATCATCTGATCAGCTTACATTAGTTGTTTAGGTACATTATCATAAATTATATGGCACACGATCAAAATGTATGTGAATCACTTTGTTTGTACATTGTAAATATGTATGTAAATTTCTTTGCAACATTTTTGTAGGCAGGAGTAGGAATTATAGATTTATAATCTAGCTTTCATGAATAATATTTATCTTATATCACACATTTTACTAATTCCTATTGACTATTCTAGTTCTAGTTCAATTTTGGAAATATATTTCTCATTGCATATGATATGCTATAACACATTTTGATAAAGTGTTATTTATACCCAACAATACAAGCTGTCTGTTGGAACTGTATCCCTATTCACATTGTCAGTCTGGTGCTATAGTAGATACATTCAACTCGTCATTGAACAAACTAGTAATATAGCCTTCATTCGTCCATCCATAGACAACCAACCATGGACAGTCGTGTCATACTATTTAACAACTCCTCAGCATAATCTAGGCTTTGTGTCAGGTAGGACAATGAACAAATGAACTATCCTCTATCTAGATTATAAGGTGTTTTGTAATAACGCTGCATAAACTGCCATCAACACAATCGACCAATGAAAGAGTCAGTTCCAACAGGCAGCTTCTAATAAAAGATGGCACTCTGTGCTTTGACTTATTTTCATAGACCTTACACTCTGGAAGAGAACATTTGCTCAGCTTTCAATCACTGTCCTATGTAAGACCAAGCCTACACAATAACATACTGAGGAGTTGCCAACTAGCATGAAACAGTCATTTAATGGTACTTTAACTGTATATAATTACGAGACTGATGTAACTGTTATATCTAAGACATATTGTATGTTAGTTTAGTATGTAATGCTATATATATATAAATGTGAGAAGTAGTCATTGACAGCTTGCACATGTGCATTCATTTTGGGCTTGATGAAGCCAACCAGCAGAAATATGTATCGCTTGGGTTACTTATCCTATTTTATGCTCGAATCCACTTTCCTCAACACACAAGTATAACTTATTTCATTCATGATGACATAAGCTTAATAAATACAAATATATTCTTCAAGAGATTGTCCTATGACAGCAAAACAAAGCTCAATGTTAATATATGACTCCTAATATTGTGAAGTTGTGAGCAGTATTTGAGAATTCATTATCCTACCTGATGTTCTAACTTTGTTGAACCACTCAACAAATTCTTTAGCCTTATCCGAATATCTATCTTTATGCTGGACTGCCATTTCATCCAGGGTACCCTGTAGGAACTTAGCCATTTCAAGTTTGACTTTCAAGCTTTGCTTTATCTTATCCTCTCTTTCTGTGGCTGTCTGGAATGTAGAGGGCAGCATCCCAGGGAAAAATTTGATGAAAACTGGTAATAACAGTTCCATAAATGGAACGATGATAAATACTGAAAATGGTACCAAACGAAAAACATCACCAACTGTTCTTGTCAACAGTCGATGCTCCCTTCTTGTTAGGTTTTTTCCATTTAGCACCCTCCATAATAGTCCTGTGGATATTTTTATGTCAATGAACAATAAACGAAACCCATGGTAGTAATGAACTAGCTCATGCCAGATTTTTTGAGCTATTGATTTTTTCACTACAGGTTTTGCTACTTCTGTTGGTTCTTCTTTTTTCTTTTTTAGCTCTGTGACCGTAACTTCTACTTTGGATGAGGGTTTTAGCGGCTCCTTTTCAAATCTTATAGCCGAGAGGGAAATATGCCTGGCCAATTCGTAACTAACAGGATTATGGGTTTTCAATGGCTTAAAATTATCGTAAAATACAATATGTTTGTGGGTACTTATAGTATACAATCGTTTCGATTCGATTAAACTTGAATTTGCTATTCGAATGTTTACGTTACATACGCAATGGGTGTTTAGGTGAGAATGCCGACAACCTGAAAGAGAATTGCATATGAATCACAGCAAAAAAGCAGCTAAAATTATATAATATGCAAGGTGAATCGTGTGTTATTCTAACCTTAAAAAAAAAATACAAAGTAACTCACATTTTAACAGGCTAGGTCGTGTGTGTTTTATATGTGGAGATCGCAGAACAACATACATTTTACAGCTGGTATCTCCTTATTTAATCTTTTGAGAAAATTGGCCTTTTGCTTGATTTTTCCATTAATTTTTCAGTGTGTTTAATACTACCTTTTATGTGTGGTGGATGTTTGATTGAATGACTTAAAAATTTTCCGATACATAAAATTGGATGTAAAATGACATCATTTTCGTGACGTTTCAAACCGATAATACCAACCAATGAAAAGTCAGTAATGATCATTACCAACCTTTATACAAAACAGTTTTCTACATGATCAATGAGCACGTTGCCAATTCTGTTTAATTCACCGGAAACTTATTTTTGGAACTCTCGGACACTGGCCTACTTCCTGTTTCTATCTATTTGCAGCCTGCGATCCCACGAAATGAAGAAGATTAAAAGTATCACAGTTAATGTGTTCGTATATTTTAATTCAAGTATCTGACGCAATATGTAATGCCTAGGGCCGTATCGTCAGGCGTTTCTAAAATTGTAGGACGCCTTTAATAGCCTTGATTTACACATAGTCTGTTCTCTCTTTCAGAAAGTATCAGGGGTATTTCTAGATTTGTACCATTCTGTGCCAGCGTCAGCGCTCTTCTATTGTGAAGTTATGTTTTCTTTTTGAATGGTAGGGAATTTCAGACTGATAAAACAGATGATATAAATCAAAAGCATTAACAATTTGATGGAAATATGTTGGATATTTGCAACATGACCTCAAAATAGAGCTCTGACACGGAATAGTAGAAAACTACGAAAATAAAGGAGGCCCTAAGGGACGCCTTTATGGCCTCCTTGATTTTCGTACTACTATTTTTCCCACTATTCCGTGCCAGCGCTCTATTTTGAGGTTATATTACAAATATCTATAATACATCAAATTGTTCATACTTTTGATTTATATACCGAACAGTTGAATGTAGAAATCTAGAAATATCCCAGCCTTTCTGACGGATCTGTCAACGCAAGGTAGTCAGAGCCGTATTTTGTTTGGTTTTTTGTACGCTACAGATTCATTTGGTACTTACTAACAGCTCTTTTATTTATAAAAGTTCATTTGCATGCAAAAAACAAAACGCCACATACAAGTTTTACTAGATTTATACCCGATTCATTATTGCCAACGTTGGAGACTAACACAAAAATGTCATTCGCTGATCAGCTGCTCACCTCAGTAGACATCAAAGCGTGATGGATACTCGTGAAATAGGGTATAGCATCAAATTGTTCATGTTTTTGATTTGTATCATCTGTTATATCAGCCTTAAATTTCCTACAATTCCTAAAGAAAGCATAGGAGAGCGCCGACGTTGACACTGAACAGTAGAAATATAGGAATTCCCCAGCCTTTCTCAAGGAGACAAAATACTATGAAATTCAAAGCGGCCATAAAGGCTTCCTACAATTGTAGGAACGATACGGCCCTTAAAGCTTACATGCATCGAAGGAACAAGATGAATCGAAGTATTTGCACAGAAAAACTGTGAACACATATTTTAATATCTCCAAATAGCTTATGAGTGTTTCCAAAGATAATTAGAACTAAAAAGTGTAATATAGTGATTATGATTTCAGTGTTATAGTTTTTCAGAGCTCCATCGCTAACATGATTTGAAAATTCAGAATTATTTGATTGATAAACTCAATATTTCTGGGCGGTTAATGGATATAAGCCTGCCGAATCTCAACTGAATATAAAGATCTGCGTCATGTCAAATTTCAGACAAGAACGACTACATACGAGTACATCCATATTCAGGGTGTTAATAAAGTATATGTAGAGAATCTTTAACCATCGGATCCTTGGTCAATTTGAAGACGAAATTTCCATATGAACATGGATCCGCAACGGATTTGTTTTCAAGCTAGAGCATTATTAGCTCTAATAGAAATGATATTGTTCTAAAAAATTATGAAAGAATGGAACGTATTTTATTTTAATTAGGTATGCCCTGTGGTGAGTATCACATGATTTACAGTTGTTTTCAGACTATCCATGTACGAAGATACGGATAATGTAATCCAGTATTTTTTGAAAAAATAGCAGGACATTGATTTGTTTTGACTATATATTGACCTTCTAAATAATTTTTTTTCCAAAAATATATATATAATTTATCATAGGTTATACCAACTGTTCAATAAATACATTTGATTATTCATATAAATATTTGGAACATTACTCGAATTTCTTTAGTGATAGTGGTCTAGGTCGAAAAGAAGACCGTTATGAACCCATGTTCATTTAAACATTTAGTCTTCAAATTGACCAAGGATTCGATGGTTAAAGTTTGTCTACATACTTTATTAACACCCTGTATACATCATATATTCTACTAAATCCATTTTTTTCTGTGATAAACGAAATTCAAATAGCGTCCAAAACTTTATTGGAAGTTTTCAATATTTTCATCAAGTTTGTCGACTTTTCTAGTTATATTTAGAAAACAACCTACAATGACCTATCTATATACGTATATTTACTTCCCAGAAATTTCTTGAAGAAAAACATTTATCGTGCATCATCCGGCAACATTGAAGAGAAGCATCGAGAAGAATGGTGGCAATGCGATGTTGCCTGATTCACTAAACTATCCCTAATCTTACTATTATCAACTAATATTTTTAAGAATATAACATCATTGTTCGTAAGAACTCAACAAAAGATGATGTGCTAATAAAGACACTGCTAAATTATACGTATGTTAAAATAGGGTGAATGTGCCAGTGGCCAGTTTAGACAAAAATGTATTACAAAGTGTAATTAACGAATTGTGTGTTCAAAATAACTAAACTAAATATTTTAGGAGGCTGTTGTTAACTTTTCGCAGAGAACAAATCTAAATTGCTTATAGATATTCCTGTAGTATTGTGAAAAGATGGCGAAAAAATTAAAGTGGCCGGTTACTGTGGAATGCTATGAAATTTCGTTCCTTCTAGTAGTAGGGGCTTATTTAATGTTTTTTTTGTTTGTTTAAGCCAAGAGAGACGTTTTAAGTCTCTACGATCAGAAAAAGATAGATTGACAAAACGATCACGCCATTCCAATAGTCGGACACTTGTCCGACTTTTGGATTTTGAATAGAAGAAATAGAATAGAACTTGACCTCAAAATATTAAAAAAACATATTGAGATTGATTTAATTCGCAAATGTTGAATGTAGCAGGTACAGCATTCATATATTGTCAGCTGGCGATTCCACTTTCCTTCAAAGTTTATGTCACTCAGTGCACAGCTGACAAAAATTGAGGAACAGAATGCATGCTGTTTCTGATGAGCTAATCCCGTCAATATGACAACCGACGATGTGGATTTTTTGTAAACTGTTACAAATTAGTTGATAAATCTGGTACTAATTACCAGCAAGTATAGGATTTCAAATATTCAAGCTTTTAGTAGTGTCCGGGGTTACCGGCGCATTCACCCTATCAACTGTGAACTCTCCACAAGGCGATTACACTCATTTTGAATTGTCATGAAATGTGTTTTTGAGTATGGATGTTTCCATCTATTGGAGATTGACGAATTAAAATTGACACTGATCAAATATTTTTCACTAATATCTTCTTAAATACCTAATAAAACTTGGATTTTGGGTTTTATGTGAAAATAACTTCAAACTCGCGCCGTCATCATCTTATGGAATGCGGTGTTGGACATCTGTCATTTCCACGTGTGCAGTTTAGGCTTTCAATTTGGTGCCTGTTGGCATCTAAAATTAAAAAGCAATTATCCAAAATGCTGCCAGTTTATTGAAACAAATCACATAAAACATGTATCAGGTTTGTCTTTCCTCGAATCTAGGACAATTTTTCTACGTAAGGTGAGTTTTAAAAGTCGATAAATCGCTTTGCACACATGCGTGCATCTAGTATGTTTTGCCCAGGCGCAGTTTACGCGGGAGCGGGATTCTTTTTCATTGGCACTGGCCTAGCGCCTAGCTGCCATGTTTTTCTAAAATTTCGGGGTGTGTGCATGATTTTACGAGGTTTTAACAGCTACCCCGCGCTGTAAGGTAATTTGTTCCCTTTCTATAGTCAACCAATACATAAAGTTCAATATTCGCATAGTGTCATTTCGATTTGTCCTGCTACATTCCATTGTAACGTGTTGTGCAATGAGAAATGGCGCATTGGCATTTTTCTGGTACCTAGCGCGTTCAATTTCTCTTTCTGTTTGTGTTATGGGGACTTGTTATGTTATCTTATTACTATATTTTTGCTTATCGGGCTCCGATTATAGAAAGTAATAGACTGAAATTAACCGTAACTCATTTTCTGTTCGAGAACACTTGGTTTGTGTGTGGCATTCTAGCCTAAATTCCGAGAGGAAAGTATTTCTGATATTCCGAGAAACTGTGTTTGTTTTATTCGACATACGTTATGATAAAAATGCTTAGGGAAACCCAGATTGCAATTTGACCGGTAGCATTGCATAGAATGATTCTGCAAGTTTAGGGTATGGCCATTGAGTGTTCTAGAATCATTCTAGCAATTTGCTCTCTTTAAAACTTTAGCTTTTCATCGATTTATTATCAAATTTATCACAGCTAAATGTACACAACATAGTTTCTGAGGAAATTATGATGCCCTTGAAAAGCCTATTTTTAGAACAAGTGCTATGAACTGATATAGGTACCTTAACCAGACAAAAATTTTGGCATGAAATGCAACCTATTTATAAATCTCTTTTTGTCTGTATCTTCGCAGTTTAAAGGAATATTTTTTCCATTGTTCAAATAACCTTTGTAGAGTTGTATATTTTAGTCATAATATATCCTTTCTGTTTGCAGATTTACAATGGCGGGAGGTACAATCATTCGGCTACAATAAATTTATACATTGCTAATATACAATTGACTACTGCAACGTAACTATGGATGGACCTCAGCTTTTGTAACAATGCACCTTAACACAGTTTGTGGGCTAAAAATTGTAGAGCCCGGTAACACAAATAATTCACACACACCGCTCAGGACTACTGCTTCTTCGCCTTTCTTTTTTTAATGTAAGTACTATTATGGAGTTTGAATGGTAATTCTAAAATAAAGAATGTACTTTCATGATTTGTACTTTTAAAGTTTGATTACTGGTTGAACATCTTATTGCAGGTGTTTTGTTTTACCATGTTTTGGAGATTTTTCTGGACCTTATTATCAGTGTATTATTCAAGTCTTTTCAAGCATTTATAAAGTCTTCCATCTCAACCTTACTTATTAACTCTCCAATGCTTGATAAATATTAATTTTTAATGACTGTTTTGTTATTATCACTTCTGTTGAGGCTAATTAGATAAGAATGAAAGTTTTTTTATTCACTCAGAAACTAGTATAATTACTTGCTACATTTAAAAATTTGATTATCTAAACGAAAATACATTCAAACAATATGGATAATATGAAACCCATCTTTTCATTTCTATGGCAAGCAAAAATAGAAGCTAGTCTCAAAAGGGCATGAAATGCAGTTAAGAGCCCAGCTTCAAACCTATTTCTTCATGCTTCTAGCAATCTAAGGTGATTATATCAATTTTTTCTCTGCAAATTGATGTTTCCTTTCATCCCAGTGATGAGAATGATATCAACTTGATGCAGATTTTTTGGGAAAATATTGAAAATTCTAGATTTAGGCCTGTAGGTCAGGACAAACAAAAAACACAGTTTTTTAGAATTGTTGGTTAATCTTTTGTGTTTTTCAACTGATATAGTTTATATATTAGGTACTGACATGTTTTATAAGTTCAAATAATTTAACTGCTATTATTATCATATTTTTCATTATGTTTTTGCTGTAGGATTGACTAGGTTTTGATAATCTAGTTATAAACTTCACTGACAATCAGTCATGCTGAAGTTGGTTTTAATTTGAATTTCGGCTGTGCCATGCTCAAGTGTCTAACATTTTTGGTTCAAATTAACCTGCTTATGTAATCAAAACAAATAATTTTGTTGGGCATTTCAGATGTGCTTTATGAAATGAGATGTAGCCAGATATTTTGGCAAAAAGCCACTTCTTCAGCTATTTGTTTTTCTTTTAAAACAACCCAATCCTAGTCAGAAATGGCATGAATCCAGTTGTTACAAGAAGACACTTGGTTTTTCTATATTTTTGGCTAGGAGCTCTTAATTGTTTGACAAAATACTGTTACATAATGGAACATAAAACCTGTTAGCATTTTTTATTCAAGGTCACCAAATTATCTTTACTACATCAGTAAATACAAATATACCATTATACAAATTAGATAGATGATTAGTTTTTGGAGTATATTGTATTGTGTACCCCATTTGGTAATCAGATTGCATAGTTTGGCGATCAGCAGGTACTGTTGTTTTTTTCAAAATTTCGCGCACTAATAAGTATCACATTGGCATTTTGCTTTTCTGTCACTATTCCGTCCCCATTGAATGTAGTAAACACACCTTATTAAGCTTCTCAATTTGATTCATGAAAGCTGTGGAAGGTTTTGATAATCCACTCTCTGTAAGATGGTCTATCCAGGAGTAAGTTTCATTTGAAGAACTTTTCAACCTCTCATCCTGCAATTTATGGCAAACAAAGCCGGCCAAATTTTTCAGCCCTTCATACTCCACCTCATCCATTTGTTCCACTAAAACTTCCTCGTTATAGTCAGAGGATACTTCAGGTGCATTCAGTTTATTCGTTAATGATGTGGTTAGTGGAATGTCTGAAGTATCCTTTTCCTCTACGCTGCAATACTCTTGAGTATGCGCCTTCGTTTCGCCCCCCAAAATATACCACCTTATTATATACTTAAACTGTAGGGGATAAGTTTTGCCTTTTGCCATGTAGATGGTACAGGTGATGATACTGACTTGGGTAAATTTTCCATAGTAATGGCACCATCTTTTAGAGCACGGTAACTTTTAGCGGTGTAACCCAAAAAGGTATGTTTTAAATTGACCTTATAGGCACTTTCACAAAAATGCTTCGACCAAACCCTAGCGCTTTTTACGTTGACTTTGACTTTTCTTTTTGTAAGATGTAGCCATTTTTGCTAAGGTTTGGGTCTTGAGGAAATCTGTAGAACTTCATGTCTTTGCAAGGATTCCGTTTAGACTGGTTGTCGGAATTACATCCCACAACAGCACACCGCATTTTTAACAATTTATCAACCACACAGGCTATATAAAGTATGTATAACTACTAGAACAGGTCACAAAACCACCAAAAAACACCAACAAATCGCACTATATAGTATTAACCACGATTCACGTGAACTGCAGTAACGTTACGACAATCCTGCCGCTGGTAACCACGAGCCGACAACTCTCCGGGTGACGTCACGAAGCTCCGCCCACATGCGCAATATCCTATCTCAGTGTATGTGTATCGTGATTAACGCCTGCTTCTTGAAGGAAGTCCATAGTACGACGCTGCTGGTTTTCGATTCAATCTCGCAAGGTTAGCCAACCTAAATGAATGCAATATCTGCATCCCCCTAAATATAACCACACAATATGCAAAACACTGGACTGGTCTAGGGACATATGCGTCTATTCTAAACATGCAAGTTTCTGAATATTCCACCAGAATTGCAATCTTGCATGAAAAATCAAGATTGATTTTCATCCAAGTTCTGGTAGTTGACTAATATGGCAGAATCAAGATTTTTTGTTGATACATCATAATAGTCTGCTGGGTATCATCTGAATATTCCACCTTGAACATCTTCCAAACCCTTCAGATTGATTGACAGAAGTCATGTATGTGAAACAGATTATGCTGAGTTGTGCTAGTTGTCAGCAGATGCAGTCAATAGCTATTTATATTCAGCAACCAAGCTAACTCTTACTTCATGCAGCAGTAGCTGGTATAGCAACTAGGTGCAACTGAATTTAACCATAACCTAACAAATAGAACGTACATACGGGTCAGTAACAATTAGTTGATTAATTACCGGAAAACGAGTCATTTTGACAAAGCAAAGGGTCGATTTTCTTTAACATGACGACGATGCAATGCTGCTGTGGACTGTACATGTTTTTCAGGTCATCATGTTGCACTTCTACGCATTGGTTGAGGCTTTTTCTCGGTAATCATATTTATTACTATATCCCAGAAGTACCCGAAAATGTGATTGAATAACACAATAAAGATATGGTCGATCGATAATCGGTGCGTAATATATTTGCATTCAAAACAAACAGATTCTGTAATAACCTTGCATATTTGTATTTAATGCATTTGTACCACTTTGTCAAATCGAGTAAACAAGCAAATTCACTGAAAGAACAATAAAATCTGTTTTGAACCCGATTATTAACGAAATAAACACATTTTGCGATATTTTGCCTAGCAATTGAATTCTTTCAACGTATAACTAAAAAAACAGACAAACATTAAAAGATGACGACAGATATCTATTTAATATGATCTTTTGTTTGATAACATATTTGTGTTCCATCAGTAATGAATTCAGAGTAATTTAGTTTAAACTACTGCTATCATAGATAAATACATGACTAACAATAGGGGACACATCTTAACATATGAGATTAGATAAATTTTGTGTATTCAATAGATGTGGAAATGCATTATGATAGTGATTCTTGAACTGTTGTTTAGTCAAAATGTGTACTTGATTTGTGTGTGAGTACTGGATGATTCTCCTTCCCACTCATTAAATGATATATTTCAGATAGATGTTTTGTGACGTCTTCGATGGTTGACGTTTTTGTTACCACGTAATATCTGTACTCAATATGCCATGAGACTATCCATCGAATATCAAAACGTCTCAAAACTCCATTTTATCACTCAGCTGTCGGATTATATTTGAATATAGTAAACAAAAACTGTCAGTGTGAAACTTTTAAATTTGCGATTTTGTTTTTCTTCTGAATAGCCAACCATGTACTGTATTCGAGCATACAAAAAGGGATCTGAAAAGATCTTTGCTCCATTTATTCGAATTGGGTATATTCAGGTGGAATATTCTAATCAATGCCTGAATGTACCCAATTAAAATAGGCATCAGAGAGGCCAAAAAGATATAAAAGACCCCAGCGCCATCTATGAGACAGTGGCACAACTAAACAATCTGTTTTTTAAAGTAGATTTCTAAATTCGTTTTTGTGTGCCCCATAGATGGCACCAGGATATTTCAGATCCGTTTTTGGAGGGTATGGTTGGTTATATTCAGCTGGAATACGTTATTCAGAGCTAGAATCTAGTCATGTATGAGTAGGTCTTAATTAAAAACAATTGGGGACAAGAATTTTCAATAGGAGTTGAATATATTAATTTATATTATTTACCTAAGACAAGGTGATAGAGTGGACTTTATTGAATAGGTTTTAGCGTCCGCTGTCTTTACATGGTCCATCTTTGTCAACCTCGAGAGCTGTCCGTATTTCTTTGTCGGCTGCAACTACCGACACACGCAGGGTTATTAAATATCTATATAATGTGAAAAAACCGATAAAATGGCAATTTGGTGACTAAAGTAGGCTAGCGTACAAATATTTCATTCCGCGCCTGCTACAAGTGACCAGTGAACGACAACTAGTTCCTAGTTCACATCTTTTAGGAAAACCTACATGATGTATAAAAAATACTTTGTTTGTGTGTGGCATTCTAGTATAAATTCAGAGAAGAAAGTGTTTCTGATATCTAAAGAAATTGTGTTTAAGGTTTATGCGATATGCGTCATGATAATGTTTAGGAAAACCCAGGATTGCAATTTCACCGGTAGCATTGCAAAGAATGATTCTGCAAACTTTGGGTATGGTCTTTGAGTGTTCTAGAATTGTACTAGTAATTTGCTCTCTTTAAAATTTCAAGGTTTACATCGGTTTATTATCAAACTTATCATAGCCAAAGAGCCAAATGTACACAACGTAGCTTTTGAGAAAATTATGATTCCCTTGAAAAGGTTATTTACAGAACAAGTGCTATGAACTGATATAGGTACCTTAACTTTTGTCATGAAATGCAACCTACTATGGATGGACCTCAGCTTTTGTAACAACGCACCTTAACACAGTTTGTGGGCTAAAAATTGTAGAGCCCTGTAACACAAATAATTCACACATAAATATTTTAGATAGATATTATTGGATGTTTTGTGATGTCATAATAAAGTGGTGCCACTTATTTTCGTAGGCTCGATGGTTGACGTTTATGTCACCACGAAATATCAGTAGCGTCTATACTCAATCTGTCGGGTTATATTTGAGTATGGTAAACAAAAACTGTCAGTTTGTTAAGTTGCGATTTTGTTTTTCTTCTGATTATTTTCGGGCATAGTCTCAATTTCAAAAAAGTGTTCATTATTCATAACATAACACCTGGAGATAGCCGTCTGTATACTGTATTCCAGCATACAAAAGGGGATCTGAAAGATACTAGCGCCATTTATTCCTAAATGTCATAAAAAATTTACATGATTTCAAAAATACCGGCATAATGTCACATTTCAAGTTACATAATACCCCTCCTAATAATATAATGCTTTCAATTTACATATTCTAGTTTCCATTCAAAATCTTGAATTAATTATTTACCTAAAAGTGGTTGCAGGTAAAATTTTGTATGCATCTCCGGCCTAATAAGCCATCTAAGTCTATTGGCGTGTTAAAACCTGGGGTGATTTGCACCCTGATCTTTAATTTCACGCCACGGGCCATAACGTCAGCTTTGCGCTCTATATAGATGGATAGCAATTAATGTCTAACTCTGTGTCAGATTGTTATCGATCATCTATTCAAACCCAAAAATGCAATAATAATTATTTATCATTGTTTACTGAAAAAAATATTGTAGTATTGTGCGAATAATGTTTCCCACCGTGTTCGTTCGTTTTTATTAATGCGCAAATGTTATTTATTGATAATAATTGTGTTGAACCAATATATCTTTATCACAAAATTAAGGCATGTATCTTTCTGATATGTCACATTTCCTGTTCAATAAACTTTGTATTATTTTTAAACAAAATAAATGATAACGGAAGTATTGTCTATTGAAAATTCATCTCGCAGTTAATATTTGCTCAAGTAATATAACAGGTAATACTCTCAGAGATTCCGGTTAGATTTTAATGTACATGCTACCTTTGAATAATAATCACTTGTCATTTTGAAATTGAAAAAATTGGTATGATAATCGCTGGTATGTTGTTTCTTTTTGCATTTCGTAGTTATACCACAAGAACACCTAGTTTTTGGAGGATGTATACCTAACTTTTTGTGAAATAAAAACTAATAGTAAACACGTATAATAATGGCTACGGAATATTCATTCGTCAATCTCTTTAAGTATCTTCAGGTAATCTGTAGTTGATGATTTCAGGAAACAGGGTAAGAAATGCTTGTCCAGTGGGGTAATTTATCACCACAAAATTGGCTCTAGGACATTTTAGAAATCTTTGGTAGTCATATTTGGATTTAGGTGCAAGCAGACCTGTCAATCTATCAACCCAATAAAACTGGAAACTAACTAAAATGTCTTTTGACTAAAATATCCGGCGAATGATTTATCAGATCGCAAGTTTACTTCGGAATAGTCATATATTAAGGGGCCTAATGCTTTCAAAGGACAATATAACGAGAAAATGAAAAAGTTGTCAAATCGGTAAATTTCACATTGTTTTTTCCAAACCTTCAAACTTTGAGTGTGTCTTCCGACCCAACCTAGGATCCTGAAGTTTTACAAAGGTTCATGCTTCCATAGGTATTCTCCAGGAGAAAAAAAGATTGAACCCGATCTCAGATATGACCAGCCAAACCAGGCCGTGGAATTTTAGTTTTGACCCAAAAATGGTGGGTTATTATAATTTATATATATATATATATATACATATTTATATAATAAAATTGTAATGATAGCATAAATAGCAAACCTGTGTTTAAAAAGGGAGTATTTGAATAAATTGAATAATGATATTAAACAGTTCTCGAATTTAAACAATTCCAAAGGTGCAATTAAAAAAATCACTTTATGAACATATAAAATTTTATTTTACCTTATATTAAAACCTACTTAATGTCATAAAAAATCGATATGGTACCACTTTTTAAGTTACGTAATCTGAGTGCTGGTCATATTTCAGATTGGGCTGAATTGTTTTTTTTTTTCGAAAAGTTTAAAGGCATGAGACATATCTATTCCATAACCTTTACTTACAAAACCTTCTTTTTTGCTACAATCTTGACAGATATTTTTAGTTCCTACGTTACTCGCAAATAAGTGTAGCAATCGCGAAAATGTTTTTTGGATGTTATATGACATGGACATCACGAGAAAGCGTCACTGATCTCCGTCGTTCTGTCTGTCCGCTAATCCTCGGTCCGTTTATAACTTGGTAAGTGCCGCTCGAATTTTGATAAAATTTTCACACAATGTTACTGGTATGCCAAGAGTGAAAAAGCTTTGTAGTTTCTGAAGATCGGTTCACTGGCGGTGGACAAAAAGGCCAAAAACGAAAAAAAAAATCAATCAATTTTCTGATGGTAATATTTTAAACGCCAAAGTTCTACGCACCTATTAGACAACATATTCCATACATCATAGATTTTCCGTACATTTGCTATTAAGACTTTTTTATTATTTTTATTAACATATTTTTCATGTCGAAAATCCCCAGTGTTTGTCTGGCCATTCAACACTGTATATGTATGTGAAAATGAAAAGAAAAACAAACGAAGTGTCACGTGGAATATGAATAAAATATATTGTCGAATAAGTGTCAATTGTACTGAAGAAGGTCATCATTGGGACCGAAACGTATACACATGCTGTTTGATTGGCCAGGGGAAATTATTGAATTTTTATTATTTTCTATATATTAATATCTTTCTTGCCATTTGAAATAAGGTATCGGCAGATTGTTAAGGACCATAAAATGACATAAATACTTGATAAGTTGCGATTCAGTCGACACTAATGTCAAAGTTACAAAATTACAAACATAATGTACAAAAAATAACAAACAAATCAAAGGGAAAAGCATAAATAACAAATAAACAAAAATTGACGGAGGAATAGTTACGCGTGCCGGCCAACACAGCGAGCTTACATTTTGCAATGTTGTCAAATCAATGGGGACTACGGACTAATCGTATGACCCTGTTTGACTGACATGATCCATTTGATTCCTTTATGAATTGATGGTAGCGTTGAGTAGGAAGTGCAGGGTGAACCTATTTCACGCCATTTTTTGTATTGTTGCAGTAGTACCTTATAATGAAGTACCCGCAAGCGGTACATTCCATCCCATCCTCGGTGACCGATTGGTTGGAGGAACAGCTGGAAGCCCGTGGTATCGAATCGGTTCTCTACGCCCGATACATTTTAAGCTTGCTGCGCACGCACACCGTGGACATCGTCTGCCCGGATGACGACGGAGATCTGCACCTGGACCACTTGAGAAAAGTACGTTTTTATCCACTTATTTGCATGTTTTATTTTTATTTTTCAAAACCTCGCATTCGTTTTCAATCATGATGCGGAATATACCATATTTCATGAGTATCCATTACGTTTTGACGTCTACTAAGGTGAACTGCTGTATTAGTCTGTAACGTTGGCAATAGTGAATCGGATGTAAATCTGGTAAAACCCAGGATCTTATCAATATCTGTTCACATATCTACATCTAGATACTTTTAGTGACTACGAATTTTGGCAATAAAATATACGAAGCACACATAGAAAAATGTTTATTAGAAAATGATTATAGTACATCTGGGATTTATTGATTACGTAAGTAAGTAGAACAGGCTGAGTTGTATTTTCCAGTAGCTATAATTTTACGTGCAAAAATGATACAGACACGTGTTTCTGGTTAATTTTCCGCAATGACTGTAACATAATTCAAATATGGATGTTTCATTGCCCTTCAGAATCATATGGTGTTTTCAGTTCTAAAAAGTAGAGATGATTAACAAAGTCGAAAACTGCTTATCTTATTTTATTCCTACCTGACTTGAAATTTCATAATAATAATAATAATAATAATAATAATAGCAAGTCCAACAGTTACCAATTTACAGGACAATTACGTGAACAAAATATATCTCGAGGACATCTAACTCTTTTGAGATTTTTTCACATGCGCAGGGGACTGGACCAATACGTTGGTCCTTGCTCTAGGTAGTTTAAAAGTGACATAATTACGCGAAGGAACCGGAGGTTTTCTTTTTACAGGAGACGTTCGACCAAAGTCACCGATCTCACTGCATCATCTAGGCCTTATTGTGCCTTGCTCCTCGAGCTTACAGTACCCAATCCAGCAGGCTAGTGTTCTTAACCAGATGGAACAGTTTTTCTGCCCATCGGTTCAATTTTTGGTTTCACGAAGAGTTTGTCTTTTGTGATCGAGCACCTCGCACCCACATCAGACATGTAGAGTTGATCCTGTTCCTTTTCCGCATTATCTACAGCTAAGGTCTCCATTGTACAGACCTATTTTGCTCAGGTGTTCTTTGAGGCCAATGTGTCCTGTTAGAAGCCCTGTGACTGCACGGAGTTGTTTCTACTCATTGCGAGCAGTAGCAGTCTTGTTTGGACATGGTCCCGAGATGAATTCTTGCCCATGCCTACATCCAGACACTAAGTACCAATGTTCCTTATGCTGGTTTCTTACCCATTCTTCTAGGCACCCCCAAAGGCAGGTTCTGTGTTTGTATAGGGCGTGGATGATCCTTGGGAACGCATCCGCCCTTTCATCTCCCGAGTTACCTGTGTGTCCTGGCTCTCACAACAGAGTTACTCTGTTGTGATCCGTCAGTGTCTTCAGTTCTTGTTGGCATTCCCAGATCAGAGCAAACGTCACTCTAGGACTTGTTAACGCTATGAGTGACGCCTGTCAGTATACAGGGTTATCCAAATTAAGTGTCCACCATTAGTAACTTTGTTATTAGTGAAAATACAAAGTTGTTTGAATTAGCAAACTAGTAGCATTTTTAACGCTGGTAAAAATGAGAAATAAAAAAAAACAATTGAGAGTCGTTATTTTGATTTTTTTCAGTAAAATAACATTTTTTTAAATGGAAACCCCTGTATATTATATTTTTTTCTGTTAAAGCATCAAATTTTAAACAAAAAAGCTTACAATAACTTTTCTCCTAGGTTACAAATTGTTGAAGTTATGGCCTCCAATCTGAAACAATTAAATTGTATCGACAAACTTTATTTTCAACATCAACTTATAATCTTACAAAATACAATAACAATTTTTTTTAAAGAAGATGCTCGAAAACACCACCTTGTTCTTCAATACATTTTTGGGCACGTTTTTCAACTGCTCGAACTGTCTTAAGTATGGTCCTACCATCTATCTGGGTTATCTTTTCCCTAGCTGCAGTCTTTAACGCGTCAAGGTTATCGTACCTTCGCTTGTAAATTTGGTTCTTTAAGTAACCCCACAAGAAGTAATCAAGTGGGTTTAGATCTGGTGATCTGGGAGGCCACTGTATTGGGCCATTTGTTCCTATCCACTGATCATTAAAAGTAGTACTTAGAAAATGATAAGTACCTCTGGAGTTGTGGGCAGGTGCGCCATCTTGCTGAAAATGCAGATGATGTCTACTTATAAGATCCAATTCGTCTAAGAAATTAGTCAGAATTTCTGACATAAATTCCACATATCTTTCACCAGTTAGGGTTCCCTCATAAAAGAACGGGCCAACAATTTTTGAACCAATTATACCGCACCAAACGTTGAAACTGAAACGGACTTGTGGGCCTCTTGGATGTACTAACAAAAGATTTTCTCTTGACCAATAATGGTGGTTTTTTCTATTAAACATTCCAGAGTTTGAAAAATTTGATTCATCTGTCCATAAAAGGTAACGAAAGTTATTTACATTTTGGCGACAGAAGCTAAGATACCAATGGCAAAAAACAAGTATTCTCTTTGGATCCCCTGCCAAAAGCGTTTGAACTGGTCGGTACTTATACGGAATAAATTTGTATTTTTTTAAAATCCTTTGAACAGTACCATAACTGAAATTAGAGTCCTTGAGAATATCTGCTATTGAATTCTCACGATAAGCTTCAAAATATCCAATAACTGCAATTTCCGTGGCCTCGCTTATTATGAATTCTTTTTTTTGCCCTTGTTTTAGCAAAAACATTTTCGTTGCCCCTAAATTTTCGATAAAGTCTCAGAAAATCTCGTTCATACGGTTGAATGCGAGCGGGATATAATTCACTGTAGTATTCTCTTGTTCTCAAGGAGGATTTTCTGCACACTAAATAGCATTCTAACATATCACACTTTTCTTCATGGGAGAACATTTTTCTTTAAATTAATGACACAATAAAGCTTATAAACAAGTATTTACACTAATGTTTGACATTATTTGATTTTATCATTGTTTTCCAAAGCCTTCTAGTTGCGAGTATGTCCAGTTTAACAATTTGTCGCTTATCTTAATGCTGTCAAATCGCGAACGCCATGTTGTTTTCATAGCCGTCTTAATATTATAATACTGCAAATAATTAAAAATATTTATCGTTATTTTGACTTTATTTTTGACTTTAGCGGAAAAGTCATTATGAACTTTTTTGTTTAAAATTTGATGCTTTAACAGAAAAAAATATAATATACAGGGGTTTCCATTTAAAAAAATGTTATTTTACTGAAAAAAATCAAAATAACGACTCTCAATTGTTTTTTTTTATTTCTCATTTTTACCAGCGTTAAAAATGCTACTAGTTTGCTAATTTAAACAACTTTGTATTTTTACTAATAACAAAGTTACCAATGGTGGACACTTAATTTGGATAACCCTGTATATGGAGATGCTTTTACTGTAACACGCCCGCTCAATATTTACTCTTGCATACTGCAAGGCTGTAGACTATCTGAAACCCAGGGGTATGTCTTCCAATCAGTATACAAAGGGTACTATAAAAGTTTTGCAATGGACGCAGCAGGCTGCATGTTACTGCATGTTTGTTGAGACATGTCCATGAGTACATATGAGCCACCATTAAAGAATGGTTGTCCTCATCGTACGGCTATATTCAGGTGGCACAGAGAATTTCAATGAGCCAATTTCACTGTGGAGGACGCTGAGAGGGAAGGAAGGACGCGAACGTCAGTAACAGAGGAAAACATTACTGCTGTGAGGAAAATGCTTGGTGAAGTTTGGAGAGAGACATACCAACAGATAGAGGAGACCTTACACCTTCTTGCACCAGCAATTCATTCAATTCTGAATGACCATTTACACGTAAGCAAGCTTCATTCTCCCTGGGTGCCGCATAGTCTGACAAAAGAGCAGAAGACTAGTCGTACGACTTGGTGCTGGATGCTGAAAAATGTTTGATACGGGGGAATCTCAGTATGTGAACAGCATCGTGTCAGGTGACGAGACTTGGCTCTATTATTACGATGTGCCGACCAAGGCTCAAAACGTAGTTTGGTTCTTTGATGATGAGGACACACCCGTAGCTGTCAGAAAATCCCGATCTGTTAAGAAAATAATGATAACTTTTTGGACACACAAACAGACAGTCACAGTCAATGGCACATGGAACAGTGCCTGCCGAAAGTCATAGAGTCTATGAAAAACCTGCGTCCAAAGTTAGGAATGGACATTTGGTACCTCCACCATGCCAATGCTCCAGCTCACCGCGCCAAAGCCTGCACCGAGTATTTCACCACTACTGGACTGAAACTGATTGAGCACCCTCCTTACAGTCCAGATCTTGCCCCCTGCGGCTTTGCACTGTTTCCGCATGTGAAAATGAAGCTAAAAGGAAAACGGTTTTCTAGCGATGAGGACCTTCTGAGGGCTTGGGGCAACGAGTGTGCCGCACTCTCGGGTGAAACTTGGCAGAGCTGGTTTAAGGACTGGTTTTGGCAGATGAAGAAGTGTATTGAATGTGGTGGAAATTACTTTGAACGAAGTCAATAAATAAAGATGTATTGCAAAACTTAGTACCCTTTATACTATGCCCAGGATTGCACCTGTTCCCATATATACCTGCACATCTTCCCTGCTCAGTTTTTGCCCCGACTGTGTACCAGGTAATTTCCCCTGGCAGGTTGTGCCTTTGGTGTTTCGTTCGTCTTCTATTTTGGTCACGAAGTTCCTTTTGAATACAAATCTGGGAGCTATGTGGACTTTCCTTGCACTTTTTGGTATTTAGATGTAAATTGTTGACATCGCACCAAGTCCGAATACTATTTAACTCTGCAAATCCAAACAATCATGAATATCTTATAGACAAATATATTTTCATGTCGTCAGCAAAACATAATAGCATACATTTAAATTTTCACAGAGGTCATTAATAAACAATAGAAGTAAAAGTGTTCCCAAGATAGACCCCTGGGGAAACACCAGATGGAGCTGAGTCGGCTTCGTACTTGAACCCACTGAATGCTATGTATAGTCATGATTATTAGAAGTAATTTT